AGATTAGGACCTCCATCCCGCGGCAGCCGTATGAGATTTGAGATCACTCCATTCTGTTGGGTCGATGCTGTTGACGCCAATCTCGATGCTAGTGTAGGTAGTGCGAGGTACTCCATACACGTGATTAGTGTACACTCAAGGGAACCGCGAGCTTATGCAGAGTTATGCGCTAGGTTCCATTCATGCCATTAGGGTCTAATACCAGACCATGTTGTAACAGGGATACCGTCCGCCACAATAGCGTCAATCGCATGATCGCGGAGGCGACTGACCTCGAGACGAAGCGACAGGCAACGCGGCGATGTGATGCTGGAGGACGAGGCCTAGCCGAGGGATGTACATGTAGACGGAAGGCGGCTCGACGATACACTAGATAGGAAAACTAGATAGGAATGAGAATGAAATCCTCGGGTGTTGGTTGTTATCACTGTTTCCCATCGGTACTGGGGCCAGGCACGCGCATAGCCAAGAGCAAACATGATGAACTCCGATGTTGTGCACCGTGAATGCAAGTTTGGCAGCTGAAGGGACCCCCCATCGGGGCCCTCGGGCCCCATCTTGGGCCTCGTAAAAGCGTTTTTGTGCAAGGTCAAGTCAATGTCATATGTTTGAGATTTGAGCCATACTACTACTGGTATGTAAGTACAGTACGTAGTACACTGCTACCTTGTTAGAGTACGGGCGGATAGAGGTAAGATGTGAGATTGTCCGTGCTGTAAAATCCCGATGGCGAACTACTGAGACACCCTCGAATACCCATACGGCGCTAATACGAGGCTACGGTAGCGTGGTGATGCAGTCATCAACCAATGCTCCCCTTCTCCCGCAACGAAGCTGGTCATTCCTTTGCGGCGTTATAGGCAGGCGAGGCAGGTAATGCTAACAGGGACAGTCTGTACCGCATAAATACAGAATGCGTACATCTGAGAACATCCTCACCCCTGTTCACCAATCCGGGGGGCTGCAAGATATGATAGATATACGATATACTGTACAGTACTGTAGGTATGACAGTGGGCGGCTTGGATCTGGGTCAAGAATCTCGCTTGTGCTCGAAACACCAACAAGTTATAACGCAGGTTGATCCTACCTATCAAGAGGATAGCACCCAATTCGTCGGTCTCAGGGGGCGCATTCCTGAATCGGATGCGTATCCGGGAGCCTGGGGCTCCATGTTCCGGACGGCTTTAATCTTTTCTTTTTTTGTCCTAGGCATTATACCTACCTACCTATATAAAACCGCGATACGTCTGGCATAAGTTCCGATCAACGTGTGCTGGGAAATAACCTAGAGTCTCACAAGAGTAGCGTATTGCTTCCCCGGTGCAATAGGAATGGCATATACATGCCACGCAGACCCGGCTACTTATATTGCTGAAAGAAACATATCTACCTCATCGTGCATGTGACACAGTAGGATCACCTATGGCGTAGGCAAACCAAGGCAATAAGGGTAGTGTGCTTGCTGTCCGTCGAATAATAATCCACCGAACGGCGTTTGTGCAGGACCAAGATGTTATTTTAGACATTTCCTTGCGCTGCTTAGCTTCGGGGTACCCATTCCATACCCATGGCTCTGCTCATGCAGACCCAGGCAAGCAGGCCAGTTGTTTCAAGAGGGGCCTACCTCTGAAGCGAGAAGAAGTTGGAAGATGGTATTCCTAGATACTGCCGGTATGTCTGAGCAAGGATGTAAGAATGTTGTTCCTCAACCTAGACCATTTGCAGTATCTCTCTGCCTCCAAACGGACACATGCATTTATATAACTATGGCAGTATACTAGGCGCTTCAGCAACGAGCATGCCCAGAACTAAAACATGCCATAATCAAACCATCGTAAGCTATCTAGATCGTAGTGCGGTTTCAAGCTCGGAGGTTCGGTCCTTAGTCAACACCGGATCAAGCCGATCAAGCTGATCTCGTACCTGTCACCTTCGTATATATCTCCTCTGTGCTCTGCCTACAGTACTTTGTAATAGTATACATCTCGTGGCCCTGCCAAGATCAAGTAAATGTAGATAGTATCATTGGCCAGCATGCTACCTAGCAGTTTACGATTCTATCTATGCCGCTCTGGATGCACGAATCGATGCCTCGCATCTTCATTCCCGTATGAGCTTGGAGGAAACAGCTACACATATTGTCACGCATGGTGCAGGCTGCATTCCAGTGCTCATGTACCGCAGACACAGGAAACAAAGCAGGGAGGCAGGGAGGCAGGGAGGCAGTCATGTTTGAGAACATTGGAGATATCTGAGAGCGGGTACTTACATCGGTGATTGATCTGATATCGGAGCACGACGCTCAAGTGTGACATGGCTCTACCCTGTTGGACAGCTATGCTATGCTATGCTACTCAGGATGTCATGATTGCTTGGCTGGAATGGTATGAATGATAGTAGACAACCTGGCCCCCGACCCGGTGTATTGTTAGGTGTAGGTCCCGTCCCTAATTCCAGTTTGACCATCGCTTCGTGGAACGGGGCTGAATCGTCAGGCATTGACAAGTCTAGATAAGTTCCCACCTCGGCATCGACGAGCAGAGGGGGTCGAGATGGTGACAATGCATCGATTGATCTACATTGCTTCGCATTGATTGATTGATTCTTGCAGCTAGCTAGGTACCCAGTAACACGACCAAACTACTACCACCCATCGGCTTTTCGTTTCGGGAACGCGTTTATACCTACATCAACGTTGAATGGCTGAATACATCCCATTCACCCGACTTTCCACGGAGTGCTTCTGGCAGTCTTCAGTCGTTCAGCTCGTCCCTGGCTAGTGCTCAAGCACGGTACCCAAGACTATGATGGAGGGCTTACAATTTCCCCGTTTCGACTCTACAACGTGGCACTTTGCGGTATCACGGCGTCGCACCTACTACCGTATGTACTCATGCACAGGCGTGATAGATGATGGCGCTTTACTAGTCATGGACAAGGTGCCCGGAACTTTTGCAAGCCACTTCCCAGCATCCAACGTGTAATCTGTATAGGGATATCCACAGTACAAACTTATAGGTACGTGTATATATATAGCCACATGTCTCAGTTTCGGTTCTGCATAAAACACTGGCACTAAAGAGAAACAGGCACCTGGTTCCGGATCGGGCAAGATCTCCCATGCAGCACAGCCGAAGTAGACGCACAAGATCAATGATTGGATCTTCGACTCAGCCCTGTTAGATGTTGGAGGCCATTTTGTCCCGTCCAGCGCCGTGCATGGAGAAGGAGATCGCATCATACTACACTACAGATACATAGTTACCCTACCACCTACAGTACAAGTACCTAGATAGTCATTAATAAGCAGAGCACCGATGTTGAATAATGCGTGATGCGCCGTATGAAGTATACTTTACCGCTCAGGTGTGCCAAGCGCTTTCTGGCAGCGTGTGACAGAAAGGGGAAGGGAGAATGGTCCACTCCGTCATGCCAAAACATTTAATACGACGACTACCCAGATCCTGAAATGCGAACAAACATCTCATGGGATAATAATCGTACGAGTCGTGCGACGTCACGGTGAGGTAGTGGACATCTTCTGCAGAAATGCCAAGCCTCCATCCAGGACCTGAGCTTTTCCTTTCCCCTATCCAGACCCTATCTCTCTCCAAGGACAAGACAGGCTCACCGCCATATGAAATATACCTGGTGTACTTACCTGGGGACAGGATAGGCGGAATCATTCCACACGTGAGCTCTGGGTTGGTTGAGTAGGGCACAGTAGGTGGTTGTGGTTGTGGTTAGGCTAGTTTATGACCAACATCTGTCAAGCAACATTCCGAGCCACCGGTACCTATTCAATCGCGCGCGTACGGCGCCAAGGAATCCAAGTAAAAGGTTCTCTCCCGCTTCGGACACGTACTAGGTAGCTACAGGCGAAGAAGGGGCTGATGATCATAACCATGGAATCTCGTTGTGTGGTTATATCTCGAAGTATTGGCACCGTTGGTTATTAGATCCCGCGGAGGTAGGCTTGTTTGAACCGCTGCGGGCAAGACCTGTGATGGATTATCACCTAACACAAGAATCCATCTAACAAATATCCGGTAGGTAGGTAGGTAGGTCTAATTTGACTTCTATTGTTACTATCGTAGAGGGCTGTTGCTTGGTGTGAAGCTACGGTCTCCGGATAACGCTACCGATAGATCTATACTATACTATATCGGCAATACTAAGTTAGAACACTTGTGCTCGTTGGAGTCAGCACGGCAGGTCCAGAACAAAGACGGAAAAGCCAAGGGGGAAGGATGCCAGTAGTAGGCTCAGGTCACGGGTTATCCAAGCCACGCGGGAATCGGGTGAATTAGTGTTGCGTAGAAGCTTGATGGTAGTGATGGTGGCTGACAATTTACAAACGGCTGCTGCAAGCTCGATTTCGGGTACCTACTATAGTACGAAGTATGGGATTTCATTGGCATTGTAACTTGAATCGGACAAGACAGGCAAGCCGAGGGCCCGATGCAAGATCTCTTTGGAGATGTGCGTGAGATGAACCCCCGAACTGCTCACGAGTCAGTCAGTGAGTCAGTCAGTCAGTCAGCCGGCCGGCCGGTTCGAGTTGCCCATCTACTACCAAGGTGGAGAAAGGCAGAGCGAGGCCTCGGTAAGTGGGAGGCTCGAGGTGTGGAGGGTTGGCTCACAGTTACACACGTACGTGTGCTGTAGGTAATACATACATCTGAGGACATTCAAGTTCGGCTTGTTGGCTCATTCTATCTGCTGGGCCATGCAAGGTCTATAGTATGTATGTGCTGTAGTGTGGGATGAAGATTATTCATACAAAGGGCCTTAGACGAGATGTCAGTCTAGTCTACTGTAGGACCTACCTGCATGAATCCACTCAATATGGCAACACGTTCTTGATTTGGTGATGTCAGCCATACAGACGCCAAGCGAGATAGATTTACAACCAGGTCCACGGATATATAAGATTCAGGACTTGCACAACGGTGTGTGTTTTTGGCGAGATTCTTGGATGCTATCTCCAATTTGCCATCATCTGGAGCTAGGTATGGTGGAGGTGCTTATAGCTACCGTAGCTTCGTGAGTCTACAAGATCACACAACCGCGCTAATTACCGTATCGTGCCTAGGTGAATGTGACATAAGTACGGCGTGTCGGTAAACTGCCTATCAGAGAGAGTATTTTGTCAATCTATAGCAAACGGCAGGTTTTGGCGAGCCCACTGTGTCTCTCCTACTTCGTAGGTACGAAATGTACATCTGAGAACGCAACCCAAACAGTACTAGTGATGCGACCTATATTGCCTCTATTATATTTCAACAGATCGCTTCAACATGCCGCTTGTTTCATCTGTACCGAGCACATGCATAGAGTACATAGAGTAGAAGAGCTGTCTAGCCTTCAGCTATATGTACAAATAAGCAACTTACAGTAGCGTGAGCATCTGGCCTCTAATCAACGCTTCGATTTACTCAATATCATATCATATGCTCCGACTATACTTGCTTCCGATGTCATTTGACGAATTTTGATCCCATTCCCTTCCGCAACTACTACTATGTATTCCCAAGTACATCTATGAATCAACGGGTGGTGGGGATGAGTGACGAGGGTTTCTAGTCTGTTACACGTCATGCTACTAGATAGTCCTTGTACATGATAGATACCTACCTTTTCAGATCGAGACATCACAAATACCTGAGGGAGAGAGGGAGACGGGACCCTTGCTCTCTACGAGATGACTATACTCATTAGAAGAATTGCAACTGGTAGCGGATGATCAGTGAGGAGCCGTCCTACTACTACCCTATCCCGCGCCCAGAGGAGGATCACTATCTCTTCTCTTCATCTGTCTGTGGGAGTGTATACATAGAGTATATTTACTATATCTACCTTCCCTCTCGCCTACCTAAGTACGATACGTGTCGTAGGAGCCTTGTGAACCTGTCTTTTGTAAATAATACATTGGAACACAAAGCATACACTTACGCTACTGGTTTAACCATGATTCTGGCACTGTCCAGCGGCTTTTCCAATTATGCAGTAGAGATCTACCGTACAGAAAGCTCTACGCATGTAAACTTATGCAGTACTTTGAAGACACTTCGACTGGGAACGTTAGCTTAGGTATCGTCTACATGTTAGATCAGCCACTGCTACTAGCAGGTCCACCGCTTCAACCAAGCAATCTTCGATCTGACCAGCGACTTGGACAGAACGCTACACTATATTCCGTTGGTTACCACCTGCCATGCGACGCTCCGGGGGCCTGTTACTCCACATGGAGTTGAGTCAGTGTAGGTACTTGGGAACGAAGGAAGATCTCACATATTGACACTGCTGAGATCACGCTGCCTACGGCACTTACACGGGCTATTCCCTTGTTGCGAACAACATCTGACTCTCTCCACTTGCCACTAGCCACTTAGTAACCCTCCGGTATCTACCTATGTACCTGTTGGACCTTGTTACCCACTGTGGAATGCCGTATGATTGCTTTGAAGATGGGTGATTCAAGGTATCCCCTCCCCTGCCCATACTGCTTTGACCCCCAGCTGGGTGTTTTATATCCTGGTATTCCCGTGAAAAACGTGCTGGCCAGATATCGTAATACCTAGACAGCCCCGACAGCCCTATCTTCCCAGGAATCTGAGTACATGTCTACCGACAGCACGCACGTTACGGTTTGTTCTGCTACCCTCGTAAGTACATGAAACTCTCAAAAGCCGCGATTCGCTCTTTCGCTACCTGGGTAGTTGTAGTGTGCCTACGATGTACATACATGTACCACGCCCCTTTGAAAACTTGGGCAGCTAGAGGCAGCTAACATAATCTGTATACTTATGTCCTAATACAGAATGGTGTGCAACAGCATACATAGTAGAGTAGTAAGTACATAACACTAGCGATCGTCAAACTTGATTTTAATTATTCTATTTATTTTATCCGACTCTTAAGGAAAGAAGAAGATCTTGGAACAAACTTATGGGATCTGGCATTTGTCCGTCCCTACTGAAGACAATTAAGTCCACGACAGACCACGATACCAGTAGGTATATAGGAGTATGTAGATGCGAGGACAATGAACATGTGTGTGACCATGATCGCCACAACAGGCTGTTGGGGTAATGTTACCAACAATGGCTCCATTCGCTCCATTCGGCCATCATCTTCTCGCCCGGGAATTTATTTGGCACTGTCTCACACTAGAGCAGGCGGCGAGTCGGCGGCGCTACTTGCTACTCCTACTATGTATATTTACGAAGTATGGTATGTACAGTACTCACGCATTCCTGGTCTGTCCTGGGTTCGACGCATGCTAGGTTCTGCTTGGGTCGAACCCCCCTGTCCCCCGGTCGTTTTTCTTTCTGGCCTGATCCCCGTGAACCCCCACCTTTGCTGCGAGACTGAGCTTATTATACGTCCCATGGTGGCATAGTTACGGAACCATGTGCGTATTGGCTTACAAGGAGGGGCTCGACAGGGTGACAAAGTGACAGGGTAGGTCTTTGGGCGTTCTTCTTCTTCTTCTTCTTCTTCTTCTTCTTCTTCTTAGCGTAGGTCTTCTCTCACGCAAGCTTGTACTGTACGCTACAAGTACATTCACGTCGATGGGCATGTGCAGGGTCTTGGGAAGCAGACTACATCATACAATAAGCGGTGCCATCGCACAAACCAAACTGGACTAGACAGCTACTACTGCTATAACAACTACTACAACTACTACTACTACTGTACAAGATCAGTTCGCGGTCACATTTTGTATTCTGGACGGCTTCTTTCTTTCCGTTTACTTTTCAGACGCACACGACTCATCTCTATCGTAGCTGCTTCTTTCCTTTTTTTTCTCTCTTCGGTTTTCATTTTCGTCATTTGGGCACAGCCGGCGGCTTCAATCGTGATTTTCAATTTCACTACGATCATCACCTCACTCCCATCCCTCCCTCAGTAGCAAGGACGCTCTGAACGCTCCGAATCTCACGAAAATCTTGAACGAGACCAAAGTGGACACAGACCGACTCAGCCCTATTGGGGAAATCGAGATATTACCTCCGAGACTCGTCATCATACCATCCGACGCCGATTTGTTTTTGCTGTGAGACATGGTTCCCGCTTAAAACCGTGTGAACCGAACATACAAGCTAGATATCCTAGTATAGTTCTTTGAACTCTGTCAGTCTTGAGGAGAAACACGGTTCAGGTTTCAAACCACAACCTGGCCCCGTATCTTGGAAAGTGACTACACGTACAGCAGAGGTGAGATCACATTCTACATTTTCTCTGCTTGTGATTGATCAGGTGGCTTGTCGCCTACATGCCGTACCGTGCCAGCGTCAAACACCAAAGTCGTTGGTAGCGTCGACACGGTGCAGAAAAAGAAACGGAGGGAAAAATAAAAAGAAGCTTAGCTCCCTTCCTCCCAGCACCCTATTGCAACCCCCTCCCGTGTACTAATAACAAGTCTCCCACCAGGCTCACCATTCGAGATTAGACTAGGGCCTAGGAGAAAAAGAATAAAAGAGAGGCAGTCTCGCCATCTCTACGCCACCACTGTTTCTGTCTTCGCTATTGACCTTTCCCGGCTTCTAGGCCGCTTGTCAATAAGCAAGCAATTTGCGAGACAGTCTTGTCTGCGGCACTTCCAGAGCAGTCAGACTCGACTACGTATCCGACGACCATCACAGCAACCCCGACCCATTTGACTAGGCTTGGGATCGAAGATCTAGCATCAACGCATTAGCTCAGCCCAGGCCAGCAAACTCCAGCCCAACGACTCCCTTAGTGCGAGCCGAGTCAGATGCATCAGTGCTAAACGCATACTGGCTGGGGGGTATATTCTGGCATCGCCGTTTCCTGGTCGTAGTCGCGCTATGGAAGCGGGTGAATCTGGCGCTAGGCAAAGGTTGGTGGTCGCCTCTGTCATTGCTGTTCGGAGCTCTAGCTGTCGTAGCTCGAGAGGAGCAGCAATGTTGTTTTCCTTTTCTCACGTGCGTGTGCTAACCAGCTGTTCTTGAATTATTACATAGTGCTTTTCCATCCGCCACAAGACCCGAAGCCTATACTCACAGTCATATCGAAGCACGTAGTAGAAACTTTCACGAACCACCAGCCATGGCTGCTGCTACTTTGCTGAATCCGGCCACGGCGTATCACCCGCACAACCCGCCATTCTCATCACCTTACCATCAGTCGCAGCCTCCACCGCCAGCGGCTACCATGATCCCACCTAGCGACGTCAAGCGGGTGTCGAATGAAGTCGCGAATGGCCCGCGTCAGTCACTCCCGTCCATCTCGGAGGTGTTTTCAACCGGCAAGCCGAATCACTATTCGCCTACGACACCAAGCACGTTGGCTGGCTCTACCAATCTCCCTCTCCCATTTACATCCGTGGGACCGCCGCCATCACAACAGCGACCCGAACCCGGGCCGGAGCCCCGGCCATTACCGCACGATGACAAGTATTATCGGTACCCGCCACGCCACGACTCGGGCTCCTCTCAAGCACCAGCACCTCAGCCTTCATATTCCTACCCCGAGCGTCGTGACACTCCTAAGGCGCCAGAACCTGCTCCAAGCAGCAGTCACTTGAATTCTCAGCCTCCTCCACCACCTCCTATGCCATATCCTCCAGGACAACTGCCGCTTTCAGCAGCCCCGGCCCCGACTAGGGACCATCCTCTCCCACCCTACGATACGCATCGCCCACCTCCTCCGCCGCGCGCAGATGATGAATATGGGATGCATCGAGCTCGTTACGATACAGCCTTGAATCGACACTTCGAGGCATGGGGCTACGCAGACTGCTTGAACAAGGTGGGTGAGAAACGAATTCAAAAGAAAAGTATTCAATTGCTGATGGTAGGATAGATTGCCTGGAACGCTAATACTGTTCGTAACTTTGCCGAGGCCTACATAAAAGTTGCGTCGGAGCAACATGGTGGCCAACCCATCCCTGAGCGTCTACCTAGTGAAAAGGAAGTCAGTGAACTTATCGACATATCAATTTGGCTGAAGAGTCAGTTGGAGAACGTTCGTGACATTGTACAACATAGTATGGCGGAGAAGGCACGGGACAGCAACCGTAACGATGGCACGAGCTACGATGGTGATGATGACATCAGCATGTATGGCGACAATGTGAAGCCGTCAGCATATGGCCTGGGAGAGTCCAAGAAACGACGAGGGGTAAGCAAGTTTGTTGCTCCTAAGCTACGCGACATCAGCGGTACTAACCAAATTGCTTCACAGCGCGCCGCACCACCTGGACGCTGTCATAGCTGCAATCGTATAGACACGCCGGAATGGAGACGAGGGCCCGACGGCGCAAGGACGTTATGTAATGCGTGTGGACTTCATTACGCCAAGCTGGAGCGCAAACGACAAATGGAGCAACGATCGATCCGTCCCAAGGCTGTGGAAGAAAGGCCTTGATTCTACTAATCGACAAGTAATAACTCCCCCCGTTACGAACTACCGATCAAGGCGAAAGTACCACCGACAGCTATGGCCAAACTTCATATCAGCCATCATATTCGCCCCGCCATAGTTGAGGGCATCTCGCATCGCCTACGATAACTACATTTATATATAATTCATGTCAAAGCACCTCGCACGCTGATGGGACTCTCGTTTTGTTTTGATATTTCCGGATCTCACTGTATATACCCTCACGTGGGCAAAAGGGTTTTGGGCACATCAGGTCACAGCATCAGTCGGCGCTTGGTTCTTCTTGGTGGAGTTTCATCTTTTTGGTCACATATTTATTGATGTGTTAGAGATAGGCATATTGGTCGGGGCAAGATTTATGTACTGGCCATCATCTATTATTTTTACCACTTTCTATCGAGTTGTGGGACGCTTTCTTTTTTCGTGCTATGAGGGTGTAGGAAGGAAGTGAAAGATGCTGCTTTTTGCGTTTCAAAATGCATGCATGAAGTCGAGCGCGGGTTGACAGATAATGCATTACATGGCATAGATGGCGGGCATTTTCTCGCCAAAGGCGTGTGGGCGGCGCTCTCTGAATACGTATACCAAAATGCATCTTATGTCTCACCTGCACAGAAAACCCCATCCCATATCCTAGATAGACTACTGCTTCCGTGAACTTACCTAGCTGGTGGTGGTACAGTGTTCATGGATGAGGCATTTTGAGATGTTTTGGGTCTTCTTAGGTCATTCGTTTGTAGCCTACTATGAACCAGGCCTGGTAAGGGACAGGTAGAGAGGCAGTATAGAATACTAATATCACCCACTCGTTCGAATATATGTACTATGTAAGAGATGACCATGATGCGGTTCTACTATGTAGCCTCTATCCTTGTAGCTCAGATAGCTCCATGACTCAGTTATATCTCTTAATATAGCGCTAGGTGATGGCAAAGGTGTGCTCCCATCTAACACGAGTCAAGAGGATTGAGCTCCGCTAGCCAAACCTACATGTACCGTACCTATGCTAACACAACCGGCAGTGAAGAGAGGCACTTGGATTTTCACGGCAACGGTACTGTTAATATCGGCGCTAACAGGAGCAGTATGCGTTGTGGGCGTCGCACAGCACCACGCGTGGGAAGCGTACTCCTTCACAGCCCATGCCATGCCATACGATGTGAGCTGTCAGATCAACAACATGTGCTTGAGTTGTTGCTTAGGCATATTGCCAAGTTGGCTGTGTCACAAGCGCGCGCACACACACACACACAAGGGAAGAAGAGGGCACGGACAGTAAGTGCTTTCGAACGGACGCCAACTGAATGAGACCGGTCAGAGAGGGGGAAAAAAACGGAATCGGCTGGCTGGACTAGGTAGGTCTGGTAGGTCATGGAGCCGAGACCCCTTTCCCTCTCCCGGTTGCATTTGTCTCACCTAAAATTAGGCTCTGGGTCGCCCGGTGGCTGACGCATAGTTTTCCGTACGGACGTAGGTCCCTTGACTGAAAGCTGGCAGTCAGGTCTCACTTCGCGACTTGATGTTGTGTGTCCCCGAGGAGCATCGCGCATGCTATAGAACCGCATTGCGCCAGCGCAGCGCTTGTGTACCCCTATGGATGTGTCTAGTCCATCGCTTGCTTGCCTGTTTCCCCTTGTCTGAAGACGTGCTAGCCACTCTGACTGAGCCTCGTCGTGTATTTGACTCGTTGAGACCCAACTTCGTCCGTAGCGTTTGTAAGTAGGAATCCTCCATACGCTACACTGGGACAATGACGTATGTACATTTTTAGATAAGGCTAGAAGCTGAAAGGCGGCTTGAACCAACTGTTTCACACATATCCCCCGACTGGGCAGATCACAAACAATGCCACTCCTATTACCGGTAGTATATGGGGAATGCTCTCAGAACTACTCACGTTCCACGAGACGACTGGTTATCTGATAGGATAGACAGTCACCTCGTGCTACTCAGTCATCTTCATCCTCGGATGTTCATACTCGGCTTCACGGGAAGAAACGGGAAATGTAGCTCACATCTGGACAGCAATCGATGATATGAAATCTATCCCATCACTTAGCGCATTATAGTACATGGTTTCGCTTGCGAGATCAACTGAGATATTCCGGTGGCGTTGAACTGAACTGCGACCTTGGACGGGGGAAACAGACTCTTGCCGCCGACCGAGAACCGGCGGCTGACTGCATATCAACTCCATGCGCCACCAGATGTACGCTTCTGGCCTCCCCCCTCCCCCTCCCCCAATGAAACGGGATGCGACCTAAACGGCGGGCCGGAGGCTGCGCTCTGCCGTCAGCAGCCAGCAAAGTAGGTACCTCAGCTCGAGAGCCCTACCGCAAATCAGAGCGGTTGATCGGGTTGCTAGGTCTGCACCTGCAACGAAATCTTACCTGTGTCCCGATCTTCAATATCTCTCATCAACCTGGTGCGACGACCTCCAATAGGGAAGATACTTCGTCACTGTCCGTGTTGATTGATAAGGGCGCCTCACCCGATGGTGCACCACATCTGCATATCTTTACCCCTGATGCCTACTCACTCCTTTTTTTGGAGAAGAAGAAGAAGAAGAAGGGATTGGCAAAAAGAAACGAGCCAAAATCTCATCATGTGGGCGTCGTGCGAGACGACTTGCTGCGGATCGAAGCAACGATGTGCGGCTCATGGCCAGCCAGTCATGGCTACGGTAGGTACATGTGTACGTTGCGCTGATACCTAGACTCACCGCTGCCACATGGCAATCCTGACATTGCCTTGATGGACCATGGCTGCAACCCTGGCTGGGTTTCCCGGGTCTACTTAAGAATTGTTGGCCAGGGAGTCCAGCCTGGGGTGCATTTGGCGCCATCTTGCATGTCGAAAGTCTATTGTCGCGGCCGTTGGTGTGCGACTCCAGAAGGACTCTGCGCCAGCAACTATCAGATCATCCCAGCATCAGATCGGCGACAAAAGAAAAGAGACATTGAAAGGAGGGTGGGCGAAAGAGACTTGCAGGATATCTCCCTCCGACTGACCCCCTTGACGATACCTCCAACGTAGTAGTATTAGTTTAAGTTCCCTGCCCGCAATTTCACCTGTTGGAGACCTTTTGCACCATGTTTGTCTTTCCGTGAGATGCCCCCGAGTATCGATCTATCTACCGTATCCTCCTACCTGGCACTCCTCGTGCCAATCTGTCATCACCTCCACTCCCGCGAATCCCGTCACACAGATCCAAGACACGGCCATACTCACGTCGCCCTATGGAGATACAGTCGGCAATCAGCCATCCTTTTGCACCATGTCGCAAAACTTGTACGCGTTGGCACGCCTATGATAGGGTCGCCGATCATTATGACACGCATGAAAAGCCCGTATAATCTACCTAATCCGTTATTCCCCGGATTTCGAAGGACGGCGTTCGCAGGACCCGAGATTAAGATATTGCTCATCTCTGATTTCAGAATGACCTAACATGCATTTGCAGCACGGCCGTGCTGTGGTAGTCTAAGTACTCCACCATTCAACGACCAATCAAGCCACGAGGGAATCTGGCCTCGATAGTTTCTCGGCTGAGGTAAGGGGTAAATCATGAATATCGCGAGATAGATAGATACTTTTCATCCTACGCCGGCCTCGCTACGGCCTGCCAGCCATAGGCAGACAGACAGGATGTCTTAAACCAACAGGCTCGTCTCCAACTTCCTCGGGCTAACGGGAATGTCTCAGACGGCGCCCCCACGCACAAATCGATGCCATCGCCCGCCCGTCGGTGTTTGAGATCGTCGCCCGCAAGAGCAACTATGTCTCAAACCTCGTGTATACTATCCGTCCAACCACCGATCTATATCCACTAGTATCGTGACTATACAATATATACAGAACCCGTACTTGTCTCAAGTCAACGCCGAGCCATGTCTCTGAAAAGCACGCTTTTGAGACATGACTTTAATCGCCCATGTCTTGAATGATGAGGGGAATCTGTTTGCCTTGTCTTGGGTCTAAGTCATCGCAACGGCCACGTGGTGCCTTCTCTCACCACCCGATCTGAAGCACAGACTCAGAAGGTTGATTTATTTCACGGATAGATAGGTAAGTAGGTGAGTAAATGTTTCATCTTTCATCTAGTTCATCTGTGTTGGCAACAGTATCGAAAGACAACGGCTGATGATGGTTCATCGGAACCAGCCGAGTGATCGCCGAACAGCGTACATCTCAGTCGTCGCGTATACTACAGTATCTACTGTAGCAATCGATGTAAGTATGGTTAGGTCTCGGCGTGTTAACGTCGTTGCTCCTCGCGTCCAATGACCTTGCTGCAATTCGACTGTGTCGTGACTATTGCGACTGGTCTACTTATGCCTGCCTTCGCCTTTACTGTAGACACCATTCTCACTCCTTCGCGCACGCCACAAGAAGACTTATTGTAAAGATTATTACATTGGCGCCAATGCAACGACTATCTCAGACTGTACTGCCATATTCCAAATACCCTAGCGGACGAAGTCTCGCGAATTATTGTCATATCCGGAGCTTATGCTGGAAAAATCAAGCTATGCGCTTAATTGAGAGTTCGCGCCATGTCTAATATATAGTTAGTGTACAGCGGCAGCCTAGTACCATCTCAATCCAACTTGCATCGTCGATCCGGCCATGCAAGCTAACAGATTCCAGTCTTCTACTTTTTCCGCCTCTCCACTCGCATCCGAGACTAAGGTAGGCCTCACTCTAGCTGTATTATAGTCCAAGCTGCAGCTGACGACGGGATGACCTGGGAAACCCGTCATACCAACTTAATCATCGACAAAAAAACGCCCCTTCACTGATATGCAAAGCCTATTCTAGATCAGATAGTTTCGACTAGATAACCTTCTTTTCCCTTGACAATATGTTCCTTGCCGCTTCGGCTGGGCAAGGCGAATGGGTAGCCATATCTCCTGACGTGAGGTCTTGCACCCTCACATCAGATCCCCTAGTACCATATTAGCGACGCCGTTCGAATCTTGATAAAAGGGACCCTACCGCATAGATGATCATCTGATCTCAGATGAGGTTTCATGATGGGCAGATGCGGTGTCAGTATAGTCAAGATTGCGTAGGTGTTTTTGCAGGCAGGTTCTCTTACTAGCTCGGGTATCTTCGCTCTCCTGTCTTACCTCCATAAGTAAGTAAAAGCTACTATAGTGCACAGTGTAGTCTATACATGGTGGTTTCATTCCATGCTTTTTTTTTTTTTTTTTCCCTCAAACACTACTACAGATGAAATTCCGATGGCGCAAGGGGGTTTGAGCGTAAGTAGGTATGTGTGATCCTTCTAGAGCCCCTCGTACGATGGACACTTGCCATGATTCTTGGAGGCCCGCAAAACGCTAGCTTCACTGCTTGTGTCTACCGCGCTGGGGCGAGATTCGCGACAGCTAGACGAGTTACCTAGTAACAGAACATGGGATGAGGGATCAGAAGCTCCCTACTTGGTACGAGATCATGCTCGAGTCCAGTCGTTTGTATATCTTTGTCCCAGTACTTTGCTGTACATGTCGGTCTTGAGGGGCTTCAACTACGTCATCTTCCATAAGCTTAGAAATTGAACGGGGCCCAGCGGGAGTATTTCCGAGTTCAACCCCCACAGCGTCTCATCTGTTAGTTTACTGTTAGTAGATCCTTTTGATGTCGTTGGGACTGGAGATTTTAGTCGGGATGAATCCTATCAGCGCTAGCATGTGTCTTTTCTTGTACAGTAGGCAGAAGTAGGCAATGTAGTCTACTACGTGATACTGTAAGCAAGCAAGCCAGCAAGATGCTAGCGGGGCGATTATCGAGATCTCGAAACAAGTCTTCACCGGTCTGCTGCCCCTTGCAGTCTCGCCACGATATAGTGGATGCCATCTAGCACTAGTAGACTGCGATCAGACATTCGCTTGTGAAAGTGGATAGCCAGGTTCTGGCCAGGTTACTGTAGCCGTCTGACTCGCGCACGCACGCGCGTGGGGCGAGGTGAAGGTCGACCGTTTTCACTAGTAGATACCCGAGCTTCTAGACTACTATGTAGAGTAAGGAGCTTTGATTCTGCTTATTAATATCTCGTCGTCAAGTACAACTAAAAATAAGTTTTAAACCTGGTAGCCTTATATTTGTGAATATACCTGGCTTTTCTTCATTTCTAACAGGGAGAGTATAAGACACTCGGCATTGTATAGATCAGGTACTACGGAGTATAATAGGTAGCATCGTAGATCGAGACCGGGCGTATCAATGCTCGTCATGTCGCTTATAGTATCCATCATTATTCCGTTGCATCCGGAATATCTAAGTACAGCATACCACCACACTCTACATATAAGATTCCTCATGAGATGTCATTAATAGTGCGTATGCTAACGTTTGTCAGGTCCTGTAAGTGGTGGGTGGCGACGTGACTTGAAAACGGGGGAGAATTAAAGATAAGCTACTATAGTACGTAGAGGAGAGATACCAAGAGGAGGATGAAAAAAAAGAAAAGTATTTCTCGCTACTCTATTAATATGTAAGTGTGGTGTGTGTGGTGTGGTGTTGCGAGAATGAAAGCAAGAACACCGGAATCCTTCCGGCCTACCGTACCTATCTCATCACCATCCTTATCACCGTGCCGTCTGTGCACTTCAAGTACACGTATACTCACATCAATCACACGTGAGTCTTACACAGTGAGGCGCGAATCTACTAAGATACGCCTCCCTGGTGATTGTCCTTTCCACCACGCTGCAAGATCGATCTTTGCGCATGAATATGTGTGACTCTGGAACGCATGTCTTTGATTCCGGGACCGAGAGGGAGACTTTTACTGTCTACTTTGCTGGAACTTACCTCCAATGTCCCTTTCTCCCCATGTCTAAGATGAGAACATGTCTTATCTCATATACATAGCAAACAGCCTACAGTGAATAGTGTTCGTATATGTGTAGAAATAAGTCGTCATTATCATACGAAGTAGGTATAGGTAGGTAGTGGTTATGCTAGCTAATGCGTGGCGTTTCTGCTTCTACCACAAATGGTTAGGAGAGGGTCTGTCTTCTATTCCGTACACCTGGCGACTGGTACACCTAACCTGTGGATCGAACCACCGTTTACCTACACTATTTCCGCGCGAACGATTCCAAGTACATAGTATTTTCAGCTCGAGTATACTATTCCGTTTGTTCTTCTAGTCTCGAGACTTTCTATTTTGCTTCTCCCGAACGGCTGGTCCCGCCCATCATTCAAACGGCCCACCACCTATGTCATGATAACCGCCAAGTCGTTAATTATGGTAGGTAGGTTCGGTGACATGGCGGTGTCACGAGAATATACACCTATGTACCCTTTACGCCATCAAGGTTGTTCATACAGTACTACGTACTCGACATACGGTCCCCGAGAAGTACCGCATCGAGTATGCGTAAATTACCCTCGTCCCGCCATCCTGGATGGGCGCTGTGCCGCCGGGGAAGCTTGCGATCGATCATGTTGGGGGTCATGCGATGGCGTACCGTGCCCTCAGGTTCTTTGAGACGGAGGATGAATGGCGTCCTACTATAGGCTCATAAAATCTCTTGTGCCTGTGCCTGCCTGCCGATTTACATCCCTGCATATGCAAGATGAATGTGATGTCTGTTCAGAACAAGTCCAGTGTATGGTCGATGGCACGGTGTATGTACATTTCATCTATACCATCTACGACTTGATAGGTTGATCGTTTCGTTTATCCTAGCTTCGCGTGAGTTGATAGATAGTCGGACCTATTCGCTCCCTCGCAAACACTTCCTAAGTTTGATGGTGGGCTGAAATGCAGCCCAGTGCTTGCAAGTACGAAGTAAGGAGGAAAGTATATACGAGGATGTATAACTAATTATTTCAACGACCTAACAATCAGCTTCAACGGCGAAGGGGGATAAATATAGCTTGCGCAAGTTCAAAACGGAACTCGTTTTCGGTACTTATAAATGCTTACGGGTTATCAAAGGTAGCCCTGTACCAAGACCATGTCTTCGAGTATCCATCTTTTCCGATTTTTATCTAGTATAATCATTATGCTATATCACGAATGAAAAGGTACGGGCTTAGCAAAATTCATAGCATGAGTTTTAAAGTGATTTCTCGCTACATGATACCTTTCGTGGCGGAATTTCCGTAGGCTACATCTGACGATATCGTATGGTAGGATCTCCAGCTTCAAAGCAGATGATACGATGCGCACGGTGACATTAGCGCACGCATGCAGTGCGTTAACAGGCGCTTAGGATTGATACAGTATATACCTACTGTACCTACTCAACGTGGCTTTACCCATACTGACTGTTACGGTAACCCGAGGGCTCGCATCCCAAGCCACAAGTGACAGACTGTTCACTACGCCCACGGCGGGGAAGAGTATAGAAAGTCCAGCTGAGTCTCTTAAAGCCGCCATCGACTGATTAATGCATGAAGGGAAGAAGGCTTGAGCCCGGGTATATGGCTCGGCGGAAAGTCGGAGTTGATTGATCAGTTATCTCGACTTTTATTGATGAGGCAGTGCTTACTGATGCTTGTGGCCAACATACATTTAATATTGAAGGAGCGCGCCACCTAGAAAGAGTTTCTTGAGAGCGAATTCGTGACCCAGGACTCGTCCAAGGCCTCGTAGTCTGGGTCTACGGTACATTGACGAACACTACAATGGTCACGTCACTAGACTACCGGTTCGAGCAACGATAAAGTAAGATGGTAAATAGGATGAATGTTCTTCTGAGGTACAACGCTGTCTGCTGTAGCGCATCTATAATATCGTTGATGATGTCTAATCGCTGAATACGGGACTCTACGGGGTTGCATCAAGCCCTGTCCTAGTGATTTAATAAATACCACCAGTGCATTAGGTTGAATACAAAACAATGAAATGAAATGTGAAAATGCCGGGACAACGAAAGCTAAAAGAGTTTAAAAAAGCAACTTGGAAACCGTCAATGTCCCCTGGATGTACCGTGAATATCCCGGGCTAGCGGAACGCCACAAGGGATGTTACGGGGTAACACCGCGTTGGTAGGTAAATCAGCTTATCTCATCCGATGACCGCTTCACGCCGTTGCTCCCGCATCCTCCCCTGAATTGGTCGAGGAGTTTCGCTAAGTCGGGGACGTTGAGACCCTTCCAGCCCCGGCCAGCCTGCTCACGCTCTCCGATGTCTATCACGGCGCTCACCAGCCCCTTTTGGATCTCATCGTCAACCACACTGTCGCATTTATACGCAGGATGTGTGGCGACAAAGTGGCGGATCCATTTCGCGGCCGTCCACAGCTCGCCGCTCGCACGCTTACGGATGAGGTCCAAATACGTGGATAACTCACAGCGTGTCTGCACGTCCACATTGACGGAGTCGAGGTAACTCTCGACAATGGGGATGAGGCCGGGGAAGTCGTGCTCCTCGGACTTGGACCCGTTGATCACCTCATCGACCGTCATCAGCGCGTATTCGTCCTCAACAGGGCTAACGGGGGTCGCTGGCCGGCTAGCAGTCGGAGAATTCTCATTTGACCCCACGGCGCTGCGAGGTGTTCGGTTAGGGAACGGGTTTTTCCTGAAGTAGAATTTCTTTTCAAGCACGGCGTTTCGCGCATGTGCTGTCTCCATGTTCTCATCAACCTTGACGATGGGGATATAAAAGTTCAGGTCAAAGCTCAGGATCGCGCGGGTGATGAGTACCATGAAGACGGAAAACGCGGCGTTCTCAAAATCCGTAATTTGGATCTCCATGGGTCGAAACTCGACACGCCAGCCGATGTCCGACCCTGCCGGCGGGGGCTTGAAGCGCATGTGCTGCCAGTTGGTGCTTTGCAAGTTCTCAAAGTGATCGGCTTTCGTAAGATCGAGCTCCTCCAGATCTTCATTGAAGATGACAATAGGATCCCGAATGAAGAGGTGCGCAAAGTGAGTGGCTAGCAAGTCATCCATGCCACCTTCAAGAAGTTGAGCCTTGATAGACTCATCAATGATGAGATTAGGGTCAAAGTACTCAGGCCGGAGGCGTGAGTCGGTACTTATATAAGTGGAATTTGATGCGTAGCGAGATTTGGGAATTTGCCATCGACTTTCTTTCAGGGGCTGGTGAAAAGTTAGCTGATAAGTCTCGGGAAATTGTGTCCCAGGTCTACTCACTTTTTCTCCCAGCTCTTCAGCAGTCCGATCATCAACAGCCCGGCTGATTTGATTCCAGCGGACATCTGTATCTGCCAGGAAACCTTTATATATTGGTGTGGCGGCCGTTAATGCTAGCATGATGGGGCCAAGGGGGCTGAGTTGATCATACATCTTCCTACCCTCGGTGATGTTCTTCGCTTGGAATGTGATTTGCAAGCAACAGCTTCCCATACCAAACACCATAGCATCCATGTGGATGAAGTTATCTGGCGCTGCTCCATTCCTTACATCACCATCTTCCGGCCAGTTGTGAAGGTCATAATTGACCGTAGGATCTTTCCAGGGGTTTGGTGTTTTCTCGTCATGAAAAACGGGAACATTCACTTGTACCTTTTTTCCTCGGCGCCATCTAATATTAGCAGCGAGGGTGGGAAAACGTATGTGAGGATTGGCTATCTCATCTGGGACGAACTGAGACCGTAGCTTAGGTCCCGAGGGGGGATAATAAGGATCGGTGAATACTCCAGGTACACCAAGACGTGGGAAAGTCGTAAGTGTGATAGGGTATTCCTCACTTTCCATATGCTCCTTAGCGATCTTTCTCCTGAGCTCTAGTCAGCATTCAACGCCAATGCATACTCGTGTAAGGCAAGGGCTACCTCATCTTCATATCAGACTCCACGTCTAACAATTCCTTGAAGCCAATACCCCAAGGCTTGCCTGGAGTGGCTTCTAGCATGAATCTCCCAAATTCGGGGTGAAACACAGGCAGAGGATTCGAGCTCTTCGTTTTGACATCTTGCAGATCGGGAACACCGCCGCCCTTGTTGGCCAGCTCCTCGTCCGCAGCTAATGCCTTCAAAATGTCGGCTTGCCGGAGAGAAAGGAGTACACTCGGTTCCTCCTTTGAATATCGGACAACAAGGTATTCGACCTATCAGAGAACGAGTTAGACGTGCGGCTCAGCCCGAAAGGAGCATGGCGTCGATCACCTCATCGCCCCAGAGCATGGCATCTCGCTCCTTGTGCTTTGCCTTATTCCAGATCTCGAGCAATTGCTACCCCTCAGTCAGTCTTAGGTCCTTCCAACTGGCGAGCCGTCACTGGCATGGTAGTACTACCTTGATACCCCATTCTCTGACTTGTTGCGCACGCTTCTGCGCATCTGGCCAATCAAGGGCAGTTCCCAAAGCTCTATAAGATGCGATCAGCGAAAGAACGGAGAATAGTGATGGGGCTCATCCATCCTCGACAGTCAGTCAACGTACAAGAGGCCCATCCGGGACAATAAAAGATGGGTAAACTAGTCAAATGTCTAGCAGAGAAGTGGATGAGGTGATATAGCCGCCTTTGGCAATATGATCTTCAAGCTGTTCTCTTAAATAGAAACAGGGAGCACAAAAATTTGTTTGCTCGATGCTTCCAGACGTGTTACGTGAATTGTATCAAGGTGTCTCTAGCCAACCACAATGCTTATTGCTCCTATGGCTGCCCCGGGCCCGGAAAATACGGGAATGTGGAAAATCAATGACCTGTCTCGGTGTGCCGATAGAGTAGATAGAGAGAAGACCCCGAGCTGTAACCTTATAGCCTTGACGGTCACTAGAAGCGGCTGATGCCGGTTTCACCTGATTGATAGTTACTCGTCACTCCGGTTTACCTTTAGAGGCTCTCCAAGAACTCCTGGCACCGAATCGATGAACCCCCACGACGATTCAGGGTTTCAGGGACATCGCTGCGAATGAGAGGTGTTGGTAAGCGTGCTGAAGAGGGGGCTTGGTCATGCAGTCAGTATTAGACCAAGCACGCAATCTCTCCCTGCTGCCACTCACTGTTGGAGAATGCCTTTACAACCTGGGAAAACCCCACGTCCCGTGTTTTCTTTATAAGAACCTGGCTATAAAAATAAAGGTAAATGGCACCGTTCCGAATGTCAGGATTCTACCATCGGTATGGCGCTATTCCGCCCGTGAGTGGAGAAGCACCAGGTTCGAGGATTGGGTGAGTCGAATGGTGTAACTTAAGTTTGGAGTATCGGATGAACAGAAGACCTCACAAGCCATGTACACTCTGTCACCTACACGAGAGATATCGCAGATAGCAGTAGACAACAGTAGACAGCACCGAAGATTTACTCTCGAATTTATTTTCCCTAGCTTCGAGATTTTCATGGCCGGTCTCGTCGATGCGGCGCGTGGGGCGCTAGGAGCGATTCGACAAGCCGCTGCCGGCAACGCCCACCCACACCTCGCTTCTGCTTAGAAATACAGTTTAGATTGAGTCAACCGTGACGGGGTTTTGTCGCCGGGAACAGCCTGTCGCGCTACCGCTGCGTTACTACGGCCAAAAATCTACTGGGTTTCGCTGATTAACTTGAAAAGCAGGCCGGCTTGTTACGGATCTCGGGGTTGTTCGGGTTTCCTGTTGTGGCGGTGCATCTTTCAATCCTCAGCCACATCTTAATCTCCTTCCCATCGGATTCCTTTCCGATCTGGACCGAACATGTTCGTATCTAGGTACCGGCCACAATCGGCTTAATTAAGCTTCTAGTGAAGAGCAGAGTCGGTATCGGCGAGGAACCCGAGATATAGATAAAAAAATAAATTAGATATTTCTCTATTATTCTATGAGCGCAATACAATCTACCCCTACCTATCGTATTTGAGAACGAGATATTTAAGCGATGAGCGAAAGGATTCTTTCAAGTTGACTCCATCGCTTCCTGTGATTACCTCCAGTCTGAATGAATTAAAGGGGCCGCGAGATCCCACAGCATCGTGTTTTCCGGTATGAACGCCAATCAAAACAACATGATAATCTAAACAAGAACTTTCCGTGTAGGATTGGTGTACTAGAGCTGGCGTTGGAGAAGGCAGCCCAAGCACCAGCGGAGGGAGGCACGATGACCGAATCTAGCGGGATGGTGTAGTAAGAAAAAGTTTCTCTCGGCGCCGTTGTTACACGGCTTTATGAGCTTTCTCGCCAGAGCCCATAGAAGAGCCATCATTCCCCGGGATGGGTGCAGCTTCATCCATATAGGAATGGCCCATAATCACGTCAAATTTCTATAATTGATACCATCGTTAGTGCGTGCGACCAAGACATCAATAGTTTTCATGGCTGCTCACCGGTCCTTCGAATGTCTTGCCGTACGCAATCCAATAGCCTCCGATCAGAACAAGGAAGATACCTATCACGGCAGTAACATAATCTGTTCAGATTAGCAAATGACGCTTCTTATGTCACCTCGGGAGGAAGGGCCTTTACTCATATTATTGCTTGACACAGGAAGCGTCCCGGGGAATGTAAAGAACTATACATCAAGAGTGAGTACCTCGCGTATGCCGATATCAGTGTATAGAATAAACCTACGACAGACGTAACAATGACGAAGATAGATGCGACCCAGTTAATAACCCAGCCACCTTTACCGAGTGCGAAATATGTATGCTCCGACTGCCACTGTTTGAGGACGCCGCGGCCGCGGATTAGCAATACCACTACGGGGAATACGTAGGACACGTTGAGGAAGATTGTGCAGCTGGAGACATAGGCACCAAACGCGACCGACGGCCCCAGGTAGAGTAGTCCGAAGAGCGCATTGAACACGAATGTGAGCATTATTGTTCGAACTGGCACATCGAGACCAGGTGTGATATGTGCGAAACTAGGCGAGAGGTCAGTATTAGCACGGGTATAATAACTGTCTGAGAGCGATCGATGGCTGACTTACTAGCTGTGGTACACAACCCCTTTATCTCTAGCCATTGCGTACAATCTGCAACCATCAGGGTTAGTTATTCCCACCTCTAACACCAGTTACTATGACACCGGGTCGTGGGAAGCTCCCTGACCGATAATTGTTGTCGAAAGGGAACCTTCATCAATTCTCTTGAAAGCCAATAGATCGAAAATAAATCGACGCTTGGGACCACTCACAGTCTGCTAGTGCTTGTAATGCACCCATTGGTACCATTAACAAAGCAAACCGCGAGCGCAAGCGTTAACACCGTCGCACCAGCACGGCTACCAGTCGCCTGAAAGATGAGCTCGGCAATTGGCATGTTCGTCGCCGTACTCAGCACGGTCTCGGGATCCGTGATGCAGAAGAGGATGGCCAGGATGAAGGCAGTTCCGCTAATGCCGAGTTAGCTGTGCCAACATCATACGTCCATCCCGTCCGCGCCTAAACTCACGTCACCCCGCCCACGGCTATGGCATAGATCATTGCTCGGGGGGCATCAATTGCTGGGTTGGGCATCTCTTCCGTCATGTGGAGGACGGCGTCGAATCCGATAAGAGACAGCGCGGATTGTAGCAATCCCAAGATCCAAGCCAACCCATCCGACCAGCCTGTCTCATTCTGAAAACTCGTGAATACGAAGCGGGCGTCGTTCTTGTCTGACGTTGCCAAGAGGACGATGCTAATGACAACGACAGCTAGTAAGGACCAGTATAGAGCGGCATCATTCCAACGGCCTAGGATCCTATTTCCCCAGATATTCGCCCCAGTCGTGAAGGTGAGGACGGCAAGGAAAATGAGATACGTCGCCCACTGCTTGATCTGATATGTTCCTCCTGATGCGATGACGGCTGCTGCTTGTATAAACTGCGCTGCATTTATCATCAGCCAACTAACATGGGAAACTTTCTGGCACCACTCTCACCACAGAAGAACCCCTCCGTTGTCACCAGCGTGAGCCAGCCGGCAATGTTGGTCCATCCGACCCAAAAGCTCTAAGGAGCAAACATTAGTCACCCCACGGACCTAAAACGTCAAGTTGATATGATGAGACCGTACCATGGATTTCCTCCATTTCTCTGTACACAGAGCGTATACAAAGTGATACTGCCCTCCCGCCGTCGGCCATATAGCGGCAAGCTCCCCGAGACTAGCTGCCAGTGCGAAATTGCACAAAACGCAGAAGATGAAACCATACAGGAAGGAAACGGAGCCGCCTGAGGGAAGTACGAGGCCAATCGAGCCAGCGAGAGCAATCCAAGTGCTGAGACAAACAAAGCCGATTAGTATCACGGGGAGCAAGAATCATCGAAGTTTATCAGTGACGTTATGTGTGACTAACTTGAGGATCGCAAATGTCAATGCGACCATCGTCAACCGCGATAGCCGAGGTCGCAGACGGCCTTCGCCTGCCGTACCGGCCGACGATGATCTTCTTAGCGACACCATATTGGCCAAACGCAGTAATTCGGCGTCGAATGAATGAAGAAGCTTGGGCTGACCACGGTGCCACCTACCTACCATGGGTTATTAATAATGCCTGCTGAAAGAGGGAGTTCAAGGGACAGATGATCCTTTAAAAGAGGTCGAAATCCAAATTCCGTATGCAGTTGGTCTTATCGGAGGGAGGCTCATCACTAGGTATCCCGAAATGTCGATCAATAGTCTGCATATAACTACTTACCTACCTGGGATACAGGTGGATTGATTTATCTACCTCACCGATTATCTGGAGCATCCAGCCAACCACGATTGACAGCCCCATCTGACGACGTCTTGGCTTGGCCCTTGTTTATCATGTCATGTCGTCCGGCAGGTTGTACAATTGCTGCTCACACACAGTACAATCGCGCTGACTGTCTGAGACTCTGCGAATAAGATATTCATGCTACCTCGGAGGGACTCAGAGGGGACGGGTCACCACTACAGCGCTGGTTATCTACCTAAGCACAGCTAAGTAGCGATAGCCTACCTTAAGTTCGATCCATGTCCTGTTCAGAATCCTGCTCAATTTCACCGCCTCTTTGCTTTCTTTTTCGTATAATCGGATGGACAAACAGAACGAAACAAAACAAAACGAAATGCCTTTCCGGCTTCCATTTGATATACCTATCACATTCCCCACTGACTATACACTTCCATGTGTGACGTGCATTCCAGTAGTGTATGTAGCAAACGATCCAGGCCCGTTCTAGTGCAAAGAGGGATCGCGGGGCATGACCTGGTGCATAGAATTATGCAACATACAACATACATACATGAACAAGTGAGACAAGGGGCGCGATACAAAAAGTAGATGTACAGAGTACTGTAAGGGACAATAGCACAAGTCTTACCAACATCCTGTTACGCGTTGCCGTTGCTGCCGCACCATCACTTCCGACAGCTTGACCCAATCAAATGCATAGAGTAATGACTGCATGATCTAACACGTTCTCATCACAGGATTCGGCCCCGCCTCAAAGATCTACTTAAGTATGGTTGTATGGTTTGCTCGAGATAAGGCCGCAGAGACCATTGGTCCAATTGACCAAACCTGCACGAGGACGTGCTTGTCTCGATCTCCCTCTCCCTCTCGCTTCTGCAGCTACAGGCTGGCTGACGTACTGTATATGTGCGGCGACGTTGCACTGCATCAAAGAACGAGAGAACGAATTGAAATGAAGATTATACGAAACCAGTGGACTTGAGAAGGGCAAGTTGGAGGGCAACCAAAACAACGTTGTATTAAGACAACGTGCCAAAAAAAAAAAAAAAAAAAAAAAAAAAAAAAAAAAGCATTCAAACCCCGGCCTGGCCTTGTCCCGGCAATTACATACATACATACATACCTTACATAGATAATTAAGCATAGAGACCGAGTGCCGAGCAATACCAGACCACAGACGTGAGGAGAAATCTAGGGATTTGCTATTGTTCATGCGAACTAGGATAAACCATATCCCTTTGCTTTGTCAAGCTTGAAAAGTAAAAGCGAGAGAGAGAAAAAAAAAAAAAAAAGGGAAAGACTCTGCGATCGCAAGGTCCTTCGTTTATCCCATTTTGGGACATTTAGGGCCCGGGGGAAGGCATGGCTATGCCTAATCCTGATAGCTCTGGAATCGAACGATTTTATGTAAGTGACTCGTTCACGACAAAGCCCGGTACCACGAGAGAGGGAGGGAGAGGGAGAGACACGAAGCTACCCCGGGTTCAATGTGATACGACACGGCTTGCCCATAAAATGGGGTTTGCATTGTGCATTTGCATTTGCGGGGACGGATGGGATGGACGCGGGGATGCGGCGCACACACACCAATACATGGATTGAATTCTATGGCTGGCTAAGCTAAGTAGGAGTAGGCTACCTAGGTAGATATGAATCACATTAGAAATAGGATGAGCCAAAAACATTCGACCGCTCATCTTGCTCGTGGGAAAACCCCGCATCGAGACACACCGAGCCCCTTGGTGTTATGAGTATATATAGTTGTGGACATGAGAACCCCCCCTCGGGGCTTTTGTGAGGGTTGCATCTGAAGCAGATCCAACACTATCTCGCTTATACTCTATCATACCCTATGATATCACATCCCACCAACTCGACCACAATGGTTCGCGTCGGAGCAGTCCAAGCAGAGCCCGTCTGGCTTGACCTCGATGGAAGTGTCGATAAGACTATATCACTGATTAAGGATGCTAGTACAACCGGGGTACAGGTCCTTGGGTTCCCCGAAGTCTGGATTCCGGGTTATCCATGGTGAGTGAGAGGGAACGGGGTTATCACCTCGGTGTCTGCAAGCTAACGCCGACTTTTGTCTCTCGTCTAGGTCCATGTGGACCTCCAGTGTCATTGAGAATACGCACATCATTCATGACTATATGGCCAATTCTATGGCGCGGGATTCACCCCAGATGAGGCGTATCCAGGCTGCTGTCAAGGAAGCAGGGATGTTTGTGGTCCTCGGATATAGTGAAAGGGACGGGGCAAGTCTGTACATGGCACAATCGTTCATCTCGCCCGAAGGGGAGATTGTCCATCATCGTCGCAAGATCAAGCCAACCCATATAGAGCGTACGATTTGGGGGGAGGGACAGGCCGAATCCCTCAAGTGCGTAGTACCGTCGCAATTCGGCAAGATCGGAGCATTGAATTGCTGGGAGCACCTACAGCCACTGCTTCGATACTATGAGTACTCGCAGGGAGTACAGATCCACGTGGCGAGGTAAGACCTCGTTCTCTTCGCGTCATATTTTATGCCGATGACAAAACTAATCGGGCTCGGCAGTTGGCCGCCGGAATTTGAGATGCCAGATCCCAAGAAGATTGCTTGGCTCTACCACGAGACTGGAGAGGCGAGCTACCGAGCGTCGCAGTTCATGGCAATCGAAGGCCAGTGCTTCGTTTTGGTCGCGTCGCAAATCCTCACAGAGAAGAGCCTGGAGAAAACCAATCTCGTTGGTAACCCTGTTACCAAAACTGTAAGATTTTCCCCCTCTCGCCACCGTCCAAAAAATCGAGGCTAATGTCGCAATATTATTATTAGCCTGGCGGTGGTTTCTCAATGATATTCGGACCTGATGGGAAGCCTTTGTGTTCACCAATAGGTGATGGCGAGGAGGGAATCTTGACTGCCGATGTGAACCTGCGCGACATTGATTACCCGAAGGCGTTCATCGACGTGGTTGGGCATTATGCCCGACCAGACTTGCTGAGTCTTCTGGTAAACCCAACAGTGGACAAACATGTGACAGAGATGAAGAAATGAGCTGGCTATGTGTTGCTCAAGGAAAAGAAAGCAAGACCGTAATTACAGGTGGCCGTGTGAACGGTGTTGCCTATGTTTACGGTTCCCAACCATCCCTTTAGATGAACCAGGGTGCGCTTAGGTTCAGATCAATGGTATCCCACCACTTTAGGGTTCCAGCTTTACCCGAGTCTGCCTGGAGATCTTGCTGTTTCCAGAATGATTCGATGATATGTCTCAAAACGAAGACGTTTCCAATATGTCTTTCCACATCCATGCGGTCTAGGGTTCGTAGTATGCTGATTCGCTGGTCGTCGTTTTCGGTCTCGCAGGCGATGACAAACAAGGGCCACGGACTTGTGCAGACTTCCAGACTACCGAGGATCTGCAAGGCTTGATGTATGTATAGTGATTTAGTGTCCTGAGACGTTTCAGTACTGCCAATTCTATGAAGATAGAGATATGTGGCAATCCGGTAGAGCTCGGCTGTAGCTAGAGTCCTGATGCGATCGTGTCGTGATAGGTGTTCCTCATGTCTTGGATCCAACCTCTGGGTTAATACGAATATTCTGTTCTCCAGTGCTTTGTATTCAGTCGCCTTGTTGGGCTTTTCTTGACCCGGCATTGCCACATCATAGCCTTGAAGTTCCATGGCGCGCCACATATTCACGCAGCTGATGATCTCCATGACTTCAACGGAGCATCCTAAAGAACCAATAATCTGTAAAAGCGGTTAGTTTCAGAATTTCTTGAGTAGGGGCCTTTGTCGCTGTACCATCGAGGTGTCAAAACGAGTGTCTCGCAGAAGACGGAGGGATGCAGGGCCGTTAGGCCACTGTTTGAGAGGTTGGCTGAAGCCACCAAGAACTTCGTGGTATAAGAACCAAGTGTAGAGAAATCTGTAGGCTAGATGTCCACCATGTATACTAGCCAGCTGATGAAGGATTTTCTGAGCCCCATATAAATGCAGGCTCCAGTTACCTTCAGTTTCATCAAACACCTTTCAACGGTCAGCCTATGGAGACTAGGTTGTTACAAGGTGAGATCCTACATTGTACACACAAAGCATCATCGACGTCGCCAGCTGCGTTTCCGTAGTACCGAATGATTCTGTTGACAGCGAGGACGACAACGACCTGATCGCTTCAGCTTTGTAAGAGAAGGCATGCTCAGGCCCCCATAAGTGGAAAGCGGAAACGGCCAATATGGCGTTCCGAAGACCGTGAGATGCTTTTCCGTCGCTAGAGAGAGCCATGGGGATTAAATCATCTCGGAATCCATTATTGACGTTGATGGTCGAAATCATTCGTGAAAGTTTATCATGGTCTACAGAGCAGATTAGAGCGATGCAAATGATGGGGGGAGGGCGGGGTAGGATTGTTTGAAGTGTGTTCATACAATAGCTCAGAAGATGCGACTCTCTTTCATGAATTTTCGGCAGCAGCGGGATGCTCCTGATCGGTCGCGGTTGACTGCGCAGAAGTAAAAGTTCGTTGAGCACCATCAGCCCCTTCCCGCTATGCATGAGGTCATCATAAGTCATATTCAGGAACTGTTTCCCATAGTCGAGAGGGATGTGTGGACTGCTGTGAAGTGCTTGGTCTGGAATTCGACTTCCTCTACGTCGGCCGTCCGGCTGATCCGGCCAGGCGAGACGGATCCCGTAGCCCAGACATTCTCTGCCCGTTCGAAGGCAGTTGTTACAGGCTGGATATCCACGATCACAGCCTATTTTCCGTCCTTTTGAGAACACATGACGGTGAGTGGGTCTACTTTATAATCAGAACAGCTTGCTTACTTACTCTTGCAAGTCCAGCAGCCCTGTGTTCGTCTTACGGTTTCCATGATTCTTCAATAATAAATACTACAGTACAGTCGGCGTGGCGGCGTAAGCTTAGGATATAATCAGTCGCAGGGCTAGCACTATAGCCTTGAGCCTTGCATTCTGAGTAAGTATTTGGTTGAATATGGGGATGACGAGGCTGAACGGAAGACCCCACCGGCGGCGGAATCGCAGCAGTTATTCGAGGAGGGGCGCGCTAATAATACAATAAGGATGTGAGGACGGGGGGACTCTTGATGGATGATGTTTAACCAGTTCTAGAAACTGCCACGATGGGACTCATTCATCGCGACGGGCTTGTGGATTTATCGACCAAAGGGGCAATGGAAGCAATGGGAGCTATGTGCTGCTGCTTACCATGTCCGGCTTCTGTTCATCAAATCGATGTAAAGAGGAACGATGGGGCGAACAGCGTCACTCAAGAAAAGAGGAGGTGTGCATTTTCCCCAGCCAATGACAAGGGTCAACATGGTGGCCTTTTTGATTTGTTGGCATGGCGCGCGAGCGACCAAATCCCGAAAGACCGCGCCCTACCTAGACTCCTAGAGTACATGTAGACCCCAAAGGGAACGGAAAAAAAAGAAATGGGAGCTTGTTGCAGTTGGGAACATGGGACATGGGGGGTTGATGGTCTTGGGGCGTAACTCATACCATCTAGGTTAGTTCATATTCTGGCACACCGACGGTCGTGTGAGAGAGACAGAGCACAAGGAACACGGCGCGCGCTTAGGTATCTAGGTAAGAAGGTATATCCTAGGATCATAGATCATATAGGCGACCTAGTATATAGCATACCTACTGAGCAGACATGAACCAGACCTATAAGCATCACATATGGGTACACACAGCACATATTGGCACATATACACCGGCCAACGCGAATGGGTTGCCGAGCCCTGTCACAACCGGCGTGTATGATGGCACAGGCGGTATCTCGGCAACGACATACCAACCAGTCAGGTATATACAGATAGATGGTAAATGGTGAATGGTGAATGGAATGGACGGGCTGACTCGTATGTAACCAAAGGTGGCTGGCTGGCTGGCTAGCTGACGGTTGACCTGTATGTGTGTAGCTGTAACTTGCAGCATGTCCTCGAAATATCACTGGTTTGCTGACGACCAACCAAGCCATTCCCCAGGGATTTCGTTTAATCTTGTTGCGTCAGACCTGGGCGAGAGTAACCACTTAAGGATGGTGGTCAAGCGAACCGCAGCAGTAAGCCGTGAGCATCCCGAGCGCACAAACGAACGCATCGATGTAATCGAACGCCATCGAACGCATCGGCTAGGTACCACATTCCATTTGTACCTACGTGATCTGGGTATGAGGTAGGTAGGTAGAGAGTGATTGATGGTGGGGTAATGCCGTATCTCCGACATACTTTGTAGTTATTCGATTGCTCATCGCAACATATGACTATTCTCGGACTATTTCGCAGGAATCTCTTGACGAAGGAAAACCGCCGTGGCGGGAGTGGAAGTAACCCAAATTGAGACTTGAACAAGCCTGGGATTTGAAAAAGACACCGAAGGAATAAAACGATCAAGAAAATGATGGGGGAAATGATGAATGGTAGTAGTGTGGTAGTGGTGTGCTGAGCTGACTTACCAACGCTTGGGCAGCAACACAGAGCCAGGTCATAGATGTGAAGAAGGTAGGTGGTATTCTAGAGCCTAGAATTTTTGAAAATGCTCTGATTGTAATCAAAACTCGAACCACGATGAACAAATCCGAGGAGATGGTAAATGGTGGTGTGTGTGCATGTGCAGTGAGAGCGTTTCCCTAGAAGAGCAGTCGGTCTGGTCGGAAGTAAGCGGCGATAACATTCGCTTACTGACATTCCACTCGAATGCCGTTGTGCCAACCATCTATCTATTCTTCGTCATTCTGGTCAGGTAGTGGTCGGGAGATCAAACTCCGTGCCTCCTAGCATGCGACGGTAACTGCAGAGCAGTGGCCAGGTTAGGTTGTAGATGATGATTACACGTTGGAGGTAAGGTGTCTGAAAAGGTGCAGACAAGGTGCAGACAAGGTGTGAGACATCGATATAGGTAGGTGCCTGCTCTCCGCTCCCCGCCCACTTACATGTGAACCGATCATCTACCGGTCTTGGAGAAATCATACGGGAATTGACTCGGGACGGGCCCCATTATCGACATCAACTACTATGCTGGGTACATGCAGGGTCGATTGTCTATCAACTCCTAAACTCCGAGAGACGGGAAGACACCCATCTAATAATATCCAAGGACACTTACCTACCGAACACAGCATATGGGCTAAATACCTGTAAGAGATAAGGCACCGTGATTAACACGACATAAGTACGGAGAAAACACCGCTTGGCTGATAACATGTTGAATAGTCTTGGCTTACGCAACCTCACCCGGATCACCTTCTATCTCACCTACCAGATTACATAGTACACGTCACAATCAGGTCACAAGGAGCTTGCAACAGGAAACACATAGTATTGTAGCAATTTGTGACTTGGCTGAATACTCTCAGCTGCATACTACCTATCTACGGCACCGGATTGGCCATACCACAGCATCTACTTACTTTGTATGTAAACTTGAGCACATGACTGCATTAGGTATGAGAGACAGCATCAGCGGTACTTAGATTTGGCTCTAATTTGTGTGGAACGGCTAGTACCGCTGAAACTAGCCTAGCTTGCGATCAATCCCAACGCCATAGCACTGACAGCCAGTGACAGATACTTAACAAAGCGCTGGCCATGGCAACTGGAGCGCTAAGTCTTCGCGCATTGGTGCTTGGTCCACTACACGTGAACGCTTTGGGTAATGGCCGAGGTTCAATTCACATGTGCGCGAGCGTCATCCCTTCGAAGCTTGGACACCTCGAGCCGAACAACCTAGTCGTGGGTCATAATACCAACATCATACCAACATACAAGAACCCCCAGACCTCCTTTCGCACTGACGAACACATCCCCGGATCTCTTCCAACTTACCGTACCCCATAAATTAACCTGCGCTACAGCTATCTACAAACACCTCTGTCACCTTTGTCAAAATGGGTTTCGCCAATCGTGAGTTTCCATCCTGAAATCCCCCAGCCCAAAAGCGAAGCGGCGCGGTGCGGGACAGCGCAGCGCATCGACTGAGGACTAACGCGACGACGACAGCCAAGTTCCCCGCCTCGGCAGCCTTCGATGCCATCAACAGCGCCCTCACCGCCAGCGAAGCCGACCGAAAAGATGCCATCAAGAAAGGCAGCGGCCTCTATGCCTTCACACTGAAGAACAAGGCTGGTGAGACAGAGAGCTGGCATATCGACCTAAAGCAGAAGGGTGCTGTGGGCACTGGCACGGGAGAGAAGCCTGACGGTGAGACTGTCCTGTGTTTTTCGACAGATGATATGCGCTCAGGCTAACCCATCTGCAACCTGTAGTGACGCTTGCGCTTTCAGACGACGACTTCGGTAAACTCGTTGCTGGAAAGGCCAATGCTCAACGATTGTTCATGTCTGGGAAGCTGAAGATCAAGGGCGACGTGATGAAGGCCACCAAGCTCGACCCCGTACTGAAGAAGGCTCAGACCAAGGCCAAGCTATAGACATGCATGGAAGGTTTCCATTGTTCAAATTCCCCGGGGCGAAATGGATAGAAATGGGCCCGGTTGGCAGAACTCTACCAATCTGTGCTGTGTATAATTTACTTAGTCATATGCTGTATACATGATACCACGTTTTCTCTTGTAGCTGTCTTCCTAGTTGACCAATCGCCCCTGGGCAACAACATTGTGATGCATCATCGTCAGGGTAATAACCATTTGAACGATGGAAGCCCTCCAACCGGCTTCATTGGTTTTGTATGGTAACTGACTAATCGTTGGCTGGGGGCCGCTGCACCTCACGCACGCTACGATGTCTTGGCGCCCCATGATGTTGGAAAAGAGCTATAATTATTTACCTATTCAATGAGACACACACGCTTCTATATCTTTGCTATCGCCAGTATGGAAGCATAACTGGACACGAAAGGTGGTTTATGTAGTAGATAGTAATTCTAGCCAAAGAGAGAGCTGAATCTACCCAAGTAGGTGAGGCTAGCACGATGCAAAGTATCAGTCCCCGACTACAGTCCAGCTCTACGGCCGCCCGATAACATAATGCCTTTCGCTTTTCGCATGCTTATGGCTTGGGATCCATTTTCACCACATACACATACCGGATTTTCCTTCAATTCAAAAACATGGGATTCTGAAGTGGTCGTCAAAGACGCAGTTCTGCAGATAGGAGACAGGCATCCATCACGTGCTTTGTAAGTATGTGTAGATAGATGTGATAGGTAGAGGTATCTATGTACATATGGATTACCTAACCAGGTGAATACGCTAGGCAGACCACGAGCAATTAGAGCAAGGCTTGAAAAGACGTGCCTTCGTTCGCCTTGGTCTCTTTGTTTTGAAGACTTCCCCACGCGTCATTGAGCCTCATCCCTGGCGTCGATTCTCCACTGCCATTGGAGGTATCGGAGTACCTGACCAGCTGGCAGTGCCATGTTGAGTAGATTCTGACAGCTGTTCTCTCCTCTTGGAGCAAACTTGGACCCACCCGACGGGTACCCAAGCTGATCCCCGTCACGCTTTTCTTCCCTTTGATGACGGCCTAAAAAATACTGCCCGTCCATCTATCCGCCATCCATCGAAGTTGGCAGCAAGCAACCTAGCGAAGCTGTCGATTGATTGTCTTTGCCCTAGTCCATCGAGACTCTCCGACTCATCTGACAACGCGTGCACTATATCCTCTGAGTCTCCTTCATCTGTCGACTATTTGTCTCTACTCGAAGTGTGCCTTTCGGGCATTCTTCCAGCCTGTAAACTTCCGTTGTTTTCATCCCATTCTGTCCCTCCCTTGACTCCTCCAACCATATACTTGGCCGTCGCCATTCTAACCCCGACGCGCCCACCATCGTCGCATCATCGCTTCATCCCTTTCACGCTCACGCACACATAACCCGCGACTAGAATACCATCGCCTATACGGCTACCGTTTCCATCAACCTCACCTTAATCTAGTTCACAATGAATTTCAATAGCACCCCCTATAAGCCGCGCCCACCCCCAGGCCAACTGGGCTCGTCACCTTTTCGTTCCAGCTCCGCGAGCAAGTTCCGATCTTCCCTCGTCCCTACCAGCAGACCATCACCTGTCCGCTCCCCTAATCCGTCATCTAAATCTACAAAGGCATCGACCATCGCGCGCGACCTCTTCCGTACCTCCACCCCGCGTTCGCAGCGCACTACCGAGTTTGCCCCAGATCTTCCTGCCGAAGCAACCCGCCCAAATGCCGGCGTGCGCAAGTTTGCTCCACGGAAGAGCGTGTCTGCTGGCATGTCTAACGCTGGTTCCTCGGAACATTTCAAGTTGAAAATACCCGATCCTGACCCCGATCTTACTGGTCAAGCTCTGGCGAAGGCAATCCCAGATGACCCAACTCGCACTGGCTCTATATATGCTGATCAATTCCTCGCTCACAAATGCCCGCCACACTTTGACGAGCTTCAGCGTCGCCAGTTCTTTTGCATTCTCGATTTGCGCAGACTCAAATATGCTGCCGATGAAATCTTCACCAAGAAAGACTGGAAGCTGAATATTCTAAATTTCGCCAAGGAATATGAAAAGAGCCGCAGTCTAATAATGTTGCGTTATGGTCTCTACGAGTTTAAGAGCTGTAAACCGTCCAATGAAGTGTTGAACAAATGGAGAGCAGCTCAGGGTCTGTCCGCAGAGGGAGGAGATGAAGGGACTGCGAGAGCAAGCCCTGCGAAGTCAACAAAACGAAAAGCGGAAGGAGAGTTCACGTCCGAGAGAAATGCCTTAACGACTTCAACCACCAACCAAAATAAGCGTCGCAACCTTGCCCAAGAAGCTGAGAACCCCAATCACGCGAAGCTTGCACCCTTCAAGAGTAAGCGCAAAGCAGAAGAGACAGAGGAGTTGGATGAGAACAAACCCAACAAACAGCAGAAATCCACCCCTTCTTCGGCAACGTCATTATTTGCCAGCATTCTCAATAAGACACAGAACGGCGGAGCTACTCCCTCGAAACAGGCTGCTTCTCAGTCCTCAGCAGTCTTTGGTATCTTGAAGTCAAACGATACGAAGGAATGGAAATTCGCCACGAAGGGGAACCCATTCGCGCCATCAAGCGGTAGCCTGTTTGCTAGTCCTGCAAAGACAAACAATACCGGTACCCCTGCTGGCTCGGTGCTTGCGGGTCCCCAGAACGGGGCAACACCAACTGCCAATACCGGAAACATCTTCAGCTACTTATCAGGAAGCTCCACTGGCAGCAGTGAGGACGAGCAAGAAGATGCGGACGGAAATGAGACAGACTCTGAACCTGAGCAGGATTCTGAAGAACAGGGTGCGAGTGCTGCTGTTAGCACCGGTACAAGTACTCCCCCTGTACAAAACGGCTCGCTCTTTGGCGCCAGCAACAAGACTGCCAACACTACCAATGTTTTTAGCGATCTGTCCAAACCTGTTGACCCGCCTGCGAAGGGTGGCTTATTTGGGCGAGTCCAAATGGGTGCTAATGGCCAACCTGTTCGGGCGGACTCTGGTTTGAATGAAAAGAAAGAAAGCTCAATAACACCAGCTAAAAAACCAGGCGATTTCACCTTTAACCCTGCAACCACCCCAATATCATTTGGGCAAGCTACACCTGATGTGTCAAAACCAGCCACTAAAGACATTGAATCTAATGCGGAGACTGGTTCGTCAGAGTCTAAGAAACCGGCCTCCATCTTTGCAACTAGTAGTCAGCCAAGTTTGTTCTCGGCTTCAACCACAAAACCCCAATCATCGGAATCACCTTCTATTTTCTCTTCACAGAAGCCTACTGCTGGTTCTTCTGGTCTCTTTGGTGTTACTCCTACTAATTCGGCTGCCAAACCATCATCTAGCGGCAATGAAGCTGCTACATCTACTGGTTTATTTGGTGTCACTCCTACACCAACAGCCAAAAGGTCATTTGGAGGCGATGAGACTCCAACATCTACTAGCATCTTTGGCTCAACTGCTACTAAACCGGCAGCCAAGCGAGTATTTGGAAGCGAGGAACAGACCTCTCAAGAAGATACCGCTACTAAGAAGCAAGCTGTCAGCATCTTTGACAAGCCTGCCACAAGTGCCTCTACTCCCTCCGAAACCAAACTATTTGGCAGCACAGCGGACGCCAAGCCTTCTGTAGCCAAGCCTGCTGCCGCTACCCCCGCTGTCAAAGAAAAGACACCAAGCATTTTCGATAAGTCATTTATTGAGAAGAGTGCGAAAAGCGCAGCTGAGCCCAAAGTGGAAGGATCAACTAGTCTCTTCAGTCGTGGCTCAAATCCACTTTTTGGAGCTCCGAAGGATGAGAAAAAGGAGAGCGACCAGAAAGATCAGAAGGATAACAAAGATGCTTCCAGTGCTCCCAGCACTGAGAACAAGACGCCGAGCATTTTCGACCAGGCATTCATTGCAAAGAGTGCAAAAAGCGCAGCTGAACCTAAGGTAGAAGGATCAACGAGCCTCTTCAGTCGTGGCTCCAACCCACTGTTCGGCGCCGAGAAGACAAATGGTGCCACCTCCAACGGTACTAAATCCATCTTTGATCAGCCGAAGACGCAACCTTCGACAGAGCAGACTTCCAGCAGTGAAAAGCCACAAGTAGCAATTGATAGCAACAAGGAAAAGGCGGGATCAGTTCTACCAAATAAGCCTCTTGCACCGTCAACAGCCACCCCATCGATTTTTGGTACGCCAGCGGCCTCTGCTCCAGCTACATCCTCTGCAACATTATTCGGAGCCAAACCACAAGAGGAGCGTGCTAAGCCGGCGGTTTCTTCAAGCTTATTCGGAACCAAAGCACCAGAAGAACCTGCCAAGCCAGCAGCCTCTCCAAGTTTGTTTGGGGCAAAGCCTTCAGCAGAACCTTCCCAGTCTGCCTCGGGCAATCTTGGCAACAGTTCGACAACGGCGAACAACTCGATATTCAGCTTTGGGTCTCAACCAAACACACAATCCACATCAATGACATTTGGCGCCGGTTCTACGGCCAGCCCGGCTGTCTCGTTCGGCGCTTCAAGCTCCCAGCCGAACTCAAAACAGGTTGGATTCCAGTTTGGAAGTCCGGCGCCCAGTGCAAGTAGTACCTTCACGTTTGGTCAGAGCTCGCCGGCCTCGGGCTTTACCTTCTCTGCAGGTGGCGAAAAGCAAACAATCAACAACCCCTTTGCGACATCACAATCTAATTCGCAGCCCTCGGCGCCGCTGTTTGGAGGAAACACGACTGCAAGCACGCCATCGGCCAGTTTCACGTTCGGCTTGGGTCAACAGTCGTCATCGACGCCCCAAGCGACAGCGCCGTCTTCCCAGGGCGGTGGCATATTTGGAAACCTGGCCAAGCCGAACGGGTCCGCGAGCTTCACTTTTGGGCAGTCCACGGGTGGCCAGAATAATAGCCAGGGGCCGTTGTTCCCGAAGCCAGCAGGACTGATGAACGCGTCCAGCCACCTACAACCCAGCGGTGATGGATCTACACGTGCCAGTAAGCCGATTCTCAGGCCATTTCTGCGTCGCGGGCCAAAGCACCGAAAAAACTAATCAGCGTGCAGATTCGCCGTTTCCGGCACCGTCCAGCATGGGGACGACACCCGTGAACGGGACACCCGAGCCTCAGGCGCAGCAGGAGGACGGGGAAGAGGCGCCCCATGAACAGATCTCACTCACCGAGGGTGGGCCGGGCGAGGAGGACGAGGCGATTGTCCACGAGGTGCGGGCCAAGGCCATCAAATACGTGCCGGTGCCAAAGGGGGACGAGGACGAGGAGAAGAAGTCGCCGTGGTCGACGCAGGGCGTGGGGCCTCTCCGGGTGCTCAAGAACAAGTCGACGGGGGCCGTGCGCATGCTGCTCCGCGCCGAGCCCCGAGGCCACATCGCGCTGAACAAGGCGGTGCTCCCCGACATGGACTACAAGCCCAAGGCCAAGACGGTCAACTTTGCGACTGCCAACGACAGTGGCTCGGGCCTCGAGACGTGGGTCTTGCAAGTAAAGACGGCGGATCTCGCAGTTCAGCTGGCAGATGTGTTGGAGGCTAACAAAGCTGCCAACAAGAAGTGATAGACTCGCATATTTTTGTCCAGGGAATTGTGGATGAGTGAGTGAGGGGATTAAAAGTCAGTGCACTGAGTGAGTGGATGTTTATATGGGGAGATGATTTTTTTTTTCTCCCGCGTATTCTGTATTTGTACAAGGACAGGGCATTCATCCCAATTCATTCTGTCGAGCGGGGGGGGCTCCTACTACTACTACTACTACTACTACTACTACTATTACTACTACCTGAGCATAAAGACAGGAATGATTTTCGGCAGGGGCGTTTTGTTGTTTTTGCATTGAAAACTGGGGTGGGTGTTGGTAGGATCTGTCTACTCTCATCATTGATGGGAATTTTGCGTTGTTTATTCATTATAGCCTGTCTGCCATGGGCACGATGTTGTTCGTGGAAACAATAATATGCGTACGACGCTTTGCCCATTGGAACATAACACAGTATTTGAAGCTTTGTGAGAAGTCATAACTACTACTGTACGATGGAGATTGATTAATTGGTTGGGCAGACGATGCATGATTGGGCACGCGCAGCTTCATGAGCTGGTCCCTGTTACTGCCTGGATCTGGTTACTGGATTTACTGCCTACTCTACTTGTGACTCCCCTTCCTGTCTTAGGCGCCTTAGGTAGATGCAGCCTGCTGTTACTATTACCTGCTGTGGCGGGCTGAATTTCAAAGGTTGTTACCCACCTTTGAAATCTTGTCTAAAAATTTTCCATCGTCGATTTTGATTAGGTAGGCAGGTAGTGCCTGCCAGTTAAAAGTAACCTTAACTAAGTAGGTAGGGTACGTACATGAGGTAGGCACTAATGGTTGCCCCTCCCCCTCTCCCGTCGCGTAGTGGGTGGGCTGAGAAGAGAAAAAAAAAAATAGGTATTCTAATCTTCATGATATTAATGGTGCTGTCCAGACGCTGTCTTCTTCCTACACTACTACTCCCCCCCATCTCATCGTCAATCACTAGACAGCTTGCTGTGTGTCGTCGTCGTCGGTATACTACGCGCTACAACGCCCCGTTGACCATCAATATGTCGTCTGAGATTACGCACGAGACCATCAAGGGTATGTCATGTCATGTCATTGTTGTTGTGTTGTGTTGTGTCGTGTGTTTTTTTTTTCTTGCTTGCTATCGTTATCGTTTTCGTTCGATTTGCCCCTCATTGAACTGGCTGGCTGGCGGGGGACTCTTTTTACCCCACGTCATATTGAGGCCAGGGCAGTCATGTACCATCCCATCCCATCACATGCCACCTTGGTGGTTTATCTTTATTTGTGAAGACGGTTGTCCGTTCAATTGCTATCATGGATTCGAGGTTATGGATATGCACCTCGTCTTTCTGCTCTTATATCTCTGCATATTTCCCATCTTGTGAATTGTTGAAGGATCCCCATTCCATATTGTTGCTGGATACCATCTGCCTGTTTTTCGTCACTAGCTATCTCCTACTTACCTCTGCTGCTATCGAAGACGAGTGATAGCATCATAGTTACTTGCTTCCAAGCTTGAATATACTAACATTGAAATTTGAATAGATGGCTGGTTCAGGGAAATCTCCCATATGTGGCCTGGTGAGTTGACACGATAGGCAACCCATCCCCCCATCATGAATCGAAGGGGCATATGACTGCTGGGATCCAACACCCTCCTCCTCCTCCATAGTTCTTAATTATCATGGGAAGAGAGGGAGTCGTCTGATGAAAAGGAATTGTTAGGCCAGGCCATGACCCTCAAGGTCGAAAAGGTCCTGCATCACGAGAAGAGCAAGTACCAAGACGTCTTGATCTTCAAGTCCACCGACTACGGCACCGTCCTGGTCCTAGACAACGTCATCCAGTGCACCGAGCGTGACGAGTTCTCCTATCAGGAGATGATCACTCATCTCGCCATGAACTCCCACCCCGACCCCAAGAAGGTCCTCGTCATCGGTGGTGGTGATGGTGGTGTGCTCCGTGAGGTTGTCAAGCATGAGTGCGTTGAGGAGGCTATTCTTTGCGATATCGACGAGGTGAGTTCTGTTCTTCTAAGACTTCCTTCCTATCGTTCCTCCTCGATTCAATCGTCACTCATCGCATCGTGTATATGATGAGTAAGGACTATGATTATGAAATTATCATAACAAAAGGGAACTCACTCACTCACTTTCTTTCATTAATAAATTAGGCCGTCATTCGTCTCTCCAAGGAATACCTCCCCGGCATGTCCGAAGGCTTCAACCACCCCAAGGTGAAAGTCCACGTCGGCGACGGCTTCAAGTTCCTCGACGAGTACAAGAACGCCTTCGACGTCATCATCACCGACTCGTCGGACCCGGACGGACCCGCCGAGTCCCTCTTCCAAAAGTCGTACTTCCAGCTCCTGCACGACGCCCTGCGTCCTGGTGGCGTCATCACTACACAAGGTTGTAAGTTTCCCTTTATAAAAAAAAGAAAAAAAAGTTGTTTCACAAGAGGTGTGAAAGGGGGGAAGATGGTAAAAATACAGAAAAGTTGTTATTTAGTGGTGTCTCGACAGCTGAAACTAGAAAACAGGTCCTCCCTTTCCGCCTCTATACATACCACCTTTTTCCGTCCTCCTTATTTTTACCCTTTTTTTTCTGCCTCTATTTTTTTTGAATCCTGGCTAGTCCGCCCGACGAAGGAGGAAAACTACGGTCTTGCCCTTTTGAAAAAAACCTCCCCCACCCCCTTTTTCCTTCTTTTACCCCCCTCCCTTTTCTTCTATACATGCCCAACTCCATCACTCTTTCTCTTCTTATTTATGCGATACGATATTAATCGTATTGTCCCCGTCCTTCGCAGCGATATAACCGCCCCCCACGTTATTTTCCAACCAGAAAATAGAAATTTCAACTAACGTATTCTCCTTTCACAGCCGAGAACCAATGGCTCCACCTCCCTCTCATCACGAAGCTCAAGAAAGACTGCGGTGAAGTCTTCGCCGTCGCGGAGTACGCGTACACGACCATCCCGACGTATCCCTCGGGCCAAATCGGATTCATGGTGTGCTGCAAGGAAGCCGGGCGGAACGTGCGCGAGCCGCTGCGCTCGTGGAGCAAAGAGGAGGAGGACAAACTCTGTCGATACTATAATGCGGATATCCACAGGGCAAGCTTCGTCTTGCCTACGTTTGCGAAGAAGGCGCTGCAATAAATGGCATGGGAATGGGGGCATTTATTAGGAGAAAAGAGGATGGGATTATGAATGAATTAAGAAAGAAAGGGAAAAATAAATAATTAGAGCTTTTCTTTTGAGCCAAGATTTTGATAGGAGAATTGGAACGTATGCTTTACTTACTGGTAGTTGACTTAGTCTGGTTAAGGTGACTGATTATGTGCATGCATGCGTATTGTAGGTAGGTATTGATTGGTATATACTAGAAGAAACAACGATATACTGGAAGGGAGGGGATGAAATACAACTAGCTCTCCTTCATAGAGTCTTATATTACACCACTATTCGCTTTTTTTGCCTTTCCGCCCCTTCTACCTCATCTCATCATCTCCCTTTTCTCCTTCTCCTTCGTCTCCATTATCATCATCATCATCACCTTTCTCCCCCTCTTTTTTTTTTTTTTTTTTTTTTTCATCGGTCGTTTTGTACTTCTTCGTTGTCGTCGTATGTCTCGTTAGATCCACCGTGTCGTGCCGTGCCCTATCCAATAATCAAAGAGTTAACCAAGCAACTGGGTCTTGATTATATTTCCTCCTCCTTGATCCCTCTGACTATTCTGTTCTGTTTCCTTTTTTGGGGATCACACCAGGTGGTGATATGTTGTTTTGGGTGGGTAGGTGGGTAGGTAGGTAGATATGTTATGCACGGATCGATGTGTGCCAATCCATGTTCAAGCAACCTTGCCTGCATAATACTGTACTGTACTGTGCGCTAGGCATCGTCTTGCTCCGTCTCACATGTCGTGTATACCATGTCGTGCGACCATAAGTGTTGTACTCATTTATCTCCCTATTAGTCTTCGGCGGTGATGTGAATTGCTGCTTAGAATATGTTCGTGCCCGTTGTAAGGCGGCCCTGCCCGTTCTGATCCTAATAAAATTTCATTCTCGGAAAACGTGGGCTGCGTCAAAGCCTTGGTTCATCGACTCGGCTTGTATCGATACTTCGATTTTGACTAGACGTCTCGAGCACGGAAGTTAGAGCGGGAGATGAATCATAGGAGTAGGCGCTGTATTTCCTCGGAGAGAAAAGGCTGGCAAGATAAGATAGGCGTGCCGAATTTAGATAAGTCTGAGATCAATACTGTCTCTGGACATAGGTGGCCATCGCCTCACTCTTCCCCTCGTGTTCAGTACTTATAGGTCACGATTGTCGCTGACATGCGGCCTCTGGACTATGTTTGCGTGAGTTTAGTAGTGAAGAATACCCCTCAATCCATGCGCATAGCCTCCTTAGATGATGGAAGCGGGACAGTTTGGCTACAGACATGTCCATTGCAAATGGCGAGCCGTACAGCCTTCCTTAAGACACGGCAATCAGTTCACCGGACGACTCTACTGGGAATTCCCAGTTCCATATTCCGATAGAGATAGTTGGACTTGAAAGGCGGCATTGTGGATTGAAGGGACTAAAGTCCTGAACATTTCTCTAAGATTGCTGAGAATATTCATACCCCAACCCCAGTGCCGGTGGGTAGATGGTTGTGTTTTTCAGATAATGCTTTCGGTTGACTATGGAGAAAAGAAGTTAGTAAACACACCTCGAAATATAGGCCAAATGAATGGGCGGATTCTTGTTCTTTCCTGTATCCCTAGCCGGATGGAACTAGTAATGGCATAAAATCCGGGAACTACTTACTCCCTGTCCTATATTCGAGCTGCCTCATCATTTTCTCTATAGGTCTTGCAGTTAGCGCAATCTATCACGTAGAATATCAACAAGTTGATCAAATCAATCATTTAGACGTACCTGCAAATCCCCATCGAAAACTGAACAACCAAAGACTTTCAAACTTCTCGGTAATAGCCTTTTGACAAGCATCGTGCTCCTCTGGAAAGATACGGGAGATGCATGTATAAGCGAGGATTACCCTATAGCAGGATGCGCCAGCAGGTGCGCATAGAACAGCTGGCGATCGCGAAGGAGAGTCAAAGTCTGTGTTGATCTTGCACGATATCTCGGTAGACATTTTGCAGGCGAATCGGAGTGCCGTAAGCGCGAACGTCAGCTCCGGGTCTGACTCGATGGCTGCGGGGTTACTTCGCTCTAGAAGAGCGAGAAACGGGGTATATAGAACGAAAAGGGCGCTGCAGTGACACATTAGTAAGAATGGACGATTCGTCGCGCATAATGATGTATGTATCCCAGCCAGGTCAACCAGATAAGGTGTCATAGGAAAGACTTGTAGGTAATGTTAGACGTACCCTATAAGCATAGCAAAACAGTCGAGCTTCGTCTCCCAGTCGAGGCTTTGCTCTAGAAGACTCTTTGTCGCAATCCTAATCTCATTATCAAGCTCAGTGAATGCGCTCACGAGAGGTTTCTCGGTCGGCCGCTTCCGCCTCTCCTTATCGATATATAGGGCTCTATGAAATATGCTAGCCGCCTTGGCTGATAATTGGAAGGAGCCCAGTTTCTGTGATCCGACTGCTACCTCGGTGGTTAATAGGCGAGAACTTGGGAGTGTCGGCCTGGGCGTTAGTGATGACGGGAGAAGAGGTGTCGCCATGGTTTGTGATTCAGGAAGTAAAGTCGTCCGACTTGGACTCTCGAAGACAAACGGTAGGTGTCTCATAGCATCGTCCTGAAGAATGAATCTGGCCATAATTAGCAAATGCATATTAGATTAGCATTGAGTAGACCCAGTTCAGGATTTAGATTGATGCTCTAATGTTAAGCATAGCCAAACTTCAACGGATTTATTCATCAACATAAGCATAAACTTACTGTTCAAGAATGAACAACCCCCACCACAGACAATTCCGTTGCTCCTCTTCTAGAGTCAGTGGCACATCATCAATCCCGCTATCTCCCTTCTGTGTGGCGGAGATTCCTAGAACTCGGGCCACCGGCGCAACCTGACTCAGCGTCTGATATGCCGTCTCTATCTCGCCGTGGCCATATTCGTACAAGGCCATCAATGCGCCACATTGGACAAGCTCAACCGTCGGATGGGGGCCATCGGCGCAAACCATGAGCAGCAAAGCAAGTATGCGCTTGACTGTTCGATATGTCTCATCAAACATGTGCTGCTCGCCAGCATCGGTGAGACGCATGCGAATAGTGAGGTTCATGAGAACAACGAGAAGAGCGAACTCCTTGGAGGCTAATTCCGGACTTCCAGTATGATCCGACTGACTTTTCGGTCCCGCGACTTGATGGTCCACCGTACCATGCGAGAACGGCGAAGATTCCATATCTGGAGGAGAGCGAGAGTCGCCCGACCCCAGCATGCTTGGTAATTGCCTATAGAACAGAGTCGGATGGACAACTCCATACCAGGGGTGGATGAAATTGAAATATAGTGATACAGAATGACGGTAGTCATGCTGTGATCCTCCTGCAGGCGTGTCTAACGATACCAGAGATAAAATCTGGGCAGCAGAAATACCTTCAAGGGGTTCAGCACCACGGAAGAGAATGTCACTCGCAAGGGAGTGAGATTGCTGTAGGAAGACGACCTGTGCACCACCATTGGGGTTTACATTATTGAAATTTGGATCCTGGATGTAATGGCACTTTGCATTCAACCTATGGGTGGGAATTAGCACAGACGGATGGTATAAGATCAAGCATCTTGCGGGCGAGGCGACCGATTGGAATAGCAATACGGGCCATCGTCGTTTATAGATGATGAAAGACAGGGAAAGAAGTAAGTGGGGGACTCGACGAAAAAAGGCGGATGACATAGCATATGATTCTGATCGCGCGAGGGATATCGCGGATGGCGGAGAGTGATAATCAACAGAACCAGCTTACCTCCTACACCTGTCACAAGATGGTAATTTCTTGTCACATTTCCTCTTGGACGCCCTGCACTTCTCACAAGCCCGTGGGGCCTGGATCTCCTGGTTGTAGTGTGCATCAGTCATTGTGGCATCACTACTGCTGATCGAGCCACCCGACCGACCATTTTGAAGCGGTCGTGGCACAGGCGAACGACTAGGTGAAGACACGGACACGGTGGTCGACTCAGATACGGGCGAATAGCCCATCATGATGTCTCCTGTCTGCATTTTGCTTGCGCAGGAACAGACAGAAGGTGGCTTAGGCTGAAGCCAAGCCCGAGACGACGACGGCAAGTATAGGAGGGAGTTTTATTTTAGGGGATTAAGTAAGGAATGGGAAAGACTAGCGGCAAAGGCTAGGACTTCGGGGGAACGGTTCTGTGGAGAGGATCCAGCGGTATGTTTCCGATAGGTGAGATGTGTTTGAACGGCGACGATTGAGATTATTAAATGTAAACAAGGTCTGAAGGTCAAGGCAGGCCTGACACTGACAGCCTTGCTTACAGCTTAGCTATACGACACAGCACAGCACAGCACCAGCACCAGCACAGTCTAGACGGTGTGCCACCAATGCCAATAAAGAGATGGTGAGCTGCAGGACTGGTTTGGCGCAGATTGACCCACCGCTGGAGTTAAGCAAGCTGATGACAAAGTGGTCTGTCTCAATATAGCAAGTCAAAAGCTTTGCCCAGGAGAGCGTCTGACAGGCAGGGCACGAACAAATGAACAAATGTCTACGTCGATTTGCGATGGCGAATAGTGTTGGACAAGATTGATTTTCCAAGCTGGCTAGATGCCGTGGTGGCGACACTGACGAGGCGGGTAAAAGAAGAGAAGAGGAGACATTTGATGTCCCCCGTCGACCCTCCCCCCGGATTATCTCTGTAAGGGAGGAGTAGGTACCGGTATGTGGTACTTCGCGACAAACTGGGTCTTCTTGGGTCTCTCCCACTCGGGAGCTATGTAAGCCGGGCGGGTGGGCAGTAAGAGAGAGAGAGAGTGTGTGTGAGTGAGTGGTACCCGTACCTGGGACAACCGGGCAAAAAGATGGATCAAACAAACTGTTGAAAGCCAAGTCGTGAAGGGTATGACAAATTGAATTTCTAGACACGGAGGGCGCAGGAACTGGTTGATCCTAGACTGGCAGCTCCAGATGGATTGATGATGATGATGATGATGATGATGATGGAGAGAAACGTCATTTAGCATGCGAATTGTGCATTTGTCGCGGAACGGTAGAACTCGGGCGAAGGTAGAATAGAAGAAGCTTTGATGTAAGTCTCTGTCGGGTGGCCATACTACTACTTTGTACTTTGTATGCAACAGCTGATGACGATGAGGGAGGGGGTCTTCAGTGACTCTTTACAGTAGAGCTACACTAGGTACCTAGGTAGGTAGGTACTGTATGAGCTCCAGGTAGCTAAGCTCTGCCAGACTTGCATGGGTCCAGGATAATTCATGCGATACTACCTACTATGTAGATACTGGAAAATAGGTAGGTAGGTGCCCAGTTAACATGAATAATAAGAACGAGGAGGACCCCGGCTTGGCTGGTGAGTGGATGTCGGTTGGGATCGGTAGCCAACGAGGCATAATACCCTTTATCCCACCCACCCAATGAAAGACGTACTTTTGATTCGAGAATCGCGTCGCCAAGTGAATCAATGTGACTTATGTGACTTATAAATCATATGGATATTTTGTGATGTGATTGGACTTTGTGCCGAGCACCACCTGGTGTAGGTACTCTGTACTGTACTGTATTTTGCTCTCGTTCTGGGCCGACTCACCTGGTCTAGCAAGTCGGAGATGCATGGAAGCAATAGTGATGGCATCCTGATGGGCAGAATTGGGAAACGAAAAAAAAGATGCCAAAAGTGGGGAGATACAATGAATGACAACCTTGAAGCAAGACAAGGGGTTGTTCTACGCTACGGTATCTTGTCTCTCGACCCAGACAAACTGATGTGAATCATTCTGCCCACCTACCTACTGTACTTCTACTGGTACAACAGCATATACATACATATACCATAGGATAGAGTATGTACTGTAGGTAGGTTAGGTATTTTCAGGGTTTACAGATATTCAACGGTCGCGTGTTTTCTCTCTCGAGGTTTCAAGATGAGATACTTAGATGCGTGTACACTACTTTAGATAATCGACCAATCTACACACACTTCCACAGAGCCCACCATACGATACCACCTACACCATCATACCATATTTTCCATTACGCAGAGCTACTTATGAGTCAGTCACTAGGTTAGGTAGGTAGGTATACCTACTGTAATATACGTACGTATATCCATCGAATTCTCCCATCCAGCATCATCGTGACTAAATCTCGCCAAGTAAGTAGGTACTGCGCGCTCTTCGTTTAGAAATCTCCTAGCGTCAATCAATACCTCCAGTAACGTCCCAAGGAAGGAAAGAAGAGGCTCACTCGGGGTTTTCTGCCACCTACCTCTGTGCTACCTATCCACTTACTTACTTACTTCCAGGACAAGGATACCTACATCAGACCATGAGATGGATTTGAACTCGGGGATCGCGTGGGGATCCCTTACCTACTGCGTACTGTAGAATATGGAAGTACACGTGAGTGCGCATCCTTAGATTCATACTATGCATGTAAGTAAGGATATATAAGTATACAGCGTGGGCGAATAGAAACTACTCTAATAATAAACACTTCTTCGTGATATGAGGGGGCGAGACTGATCGATCGTCCCACTGGGATTCGATAGGGCAGGTGAAAGCAACATTCACCTACTTACTTACCAAGAACAACTAAAGTTAGTATAGTTAGTCTGATCTACTTATAGCTCTCATTTGAACATTCTAGATACCTAATCTAATCTAGCATACGTACTTGGGTAGTGCAAATAGCCTACCTCCCTGCGCTAACTACCTCTGTACTTAAGTACGATCTCGGGATCCGAAGCCGATGGAAGGAGTGGACGGATGCCCGACAACAGTACACTAGCATATACGTTTCAGAATAAATAATTCGTCCATATTCAGTCCGATTCTGCGATGTCAGCTGAGTTGAGGATTTATGCTGTTCGAAAATGAAGACGCTTGACCATAGAGGAATATCAAGGGTATCTATTCACGGAAACTGGATTGCTTGCTTACTACCTACCCACGAACGAACACCAAATCGAGATCTAAGCTGGCTGTGAATGAGCTAGATTAGTGCAATGCTCGTAGGGTCCAGGCGATACCCTAGATACATACATACATAGAGTACATCCTGCATGTACTTCCTCGGCGCGAACAGTAGACGGTCAAATGAAGAGAAATACAACATTTTAATTATCTTATCGTAGTACTCCCGAAGCAATTCTCATCTCAATCTAAACAACCAGTAACGCCATTCCATTCCATTCCATGCAGTACCGACAAAAGATGTAGGTAGTTACGGCAAAACAAGAAGGGTATCTATCCGATTAAACAAAGATCCCCCCTCTAAGGCATATATACGTATACCCCCACTCGAGCACTCTCCCTTACTCCCATTACCGCAGACACGAACTCAATTCCTCCTTTCCATCATTTTCTTTAGCCGCATGCGTGTGCATATGCGTGCGTGCGTATGTATGTATGCGTGTATGTGCATGTGTGTCAGATAGTCAATTCACCGCGCAGCGGCAACACCCGACTACTCGGGCCGACATAAACCTTATAACTCCCGCGCTGCAGCGCCCACTTCTGCGCTAGAACATCCCAGACGCTCAGGTCGCGACGAGTCAAGCCAAAGCTCACCGTCGCCGAGGTAGACGCGTTGAGGAAAGGCTTCTCGAAGCCGCGCAGCTGTCGCACTGGTGCCCCGGGGATACCGACGTACAGCTGCGCGACCTCGGCGCCGTCGACGGATCCCGTGTTGGTGATTGTGGCGTTTACGGTGGCCACGACGTCCCAGAGATCGACCTGCCCTCCCTCGCGGATAGGTCCCGTGGGGAACGCGTCTGTGTTGGTCTCGCGGTTCATGGTGATACTCAGCTCGGAGAAGTTGAAGGTAGTGTACGAGAGTCCGAAGCCGAACTCGTAGCGTGGCGTGATGTTCTTCGCGTCGAAGTGGCGGTAGTCGATATACACGCCTTCTTCAGAGAAGTTGGATTGCGGGAACTTTTCAAATCTTCCCTCGGGAAGGTCGGGGGATAATAGATGTTCGTAATCTGATTCATTCCTTGCTACCGTGTATGGCAGCTTGCCCGAGGGATTCGTCTCGCCGTAGAGGAGGGATACGAGGGCTCGACCGGATGCCTCTCCTGGTAAGTGAGCGAATATAAGAGCTGTGACGTTCGGATGATCAACCCATTGATCTACCAATCGGATACCGGCGTTGTGGAAAATGACAATTGTGTTATTGCATCTGTCAGCCACGTGGCGGATGAGCCCGTCTGTGAAATCATCGCGGATTCCGGGTCGGTCAAATCCCTCCGAGGCGAAGGCATTCACTATCACAAGACAGGCATCGGATCCACTGACAACATCTGGATCAGGACTGTAGAAATCCCACATGAGAGCGGTGCCATCGTCATATGCTCGTTGGGCCAGAGCATCAAAAGGGGCGATAACCGAGGCAGGAGTCACGGATCCTGATCCTCCGCCGCTGAAAAGTGTCCCATTGGGAGCGATCTGCGTGAAATCAGAATCGACTACGCCAGCGAAGCCAGCAATGACATCCCGTCCCTCATAGGCCGATTCACCTCCAAAAGTCCAGGCCCCAAGACCTAATGCATAATTCCACTGATCAGGGCTTCGAGCCGAGTATCCGAATATTGAGAGCATTTTCGGCTCCTTCAGTGGAAGAGCTCTATTGATGTTCTTGAGAAGGACATGGCCTTCAACAGCACCATCTAGCAAGACTTTTCGTGATGAAATGTTCCGGGCATCGATAATTCGGTGTGGTTTTGTAAGGTCAGATGCGATACCAACGCCAGGCTCTGGGAAATCTTGGTCCTGTTTCATTTGATACCAAGACGCAATAACCCTCGTCGCCATATCGTTCAAACGACTCTCGGGGATTGAGCCGTTTCCGACTGCTTTGACGAGTTCATTGCCCCAGAGGTCTGAGTTTGGCATTACCATGTCCATGCCAGCTAGAGAGGTGGCAACTCCCGCGTGAAGTGCTCCCCAATCGGAGGTAACTGCGCCTTGAAACCCAAGCTCGGTCTTCAAAAGTCCATTCTGCGTTTTGCTGTTGGCGCAGCCATAAGAATTGTTGACTCGGTTGTACGAGCACATGATGTTGCCAGTTCCTGCATGCACGGCGTCTTGGAAGGGCCTATCGTTTGGTCAGTAAGTCTGTAGGGACATTGAGCATTTCATACTTCATATATCTTACCAGAGGTATAGTTCATGCATTGTTTTGTCGTCAATGTTGGATGAGATAGCTTCGACATGACCTTCTGTAGGGCTACGGTATGATTCTTGTTCATTTCCGATGAAATGCTTTGCCAGGTGAATCAGTAAGTTGGTCCAGCATGAGTCCAAGTATGTACACATACCTTTGTGCTAGTAATGACACCTTGAGATTGAATTCCTTCTACCGTTAGTGCGGCGAGTGCACCACAGAGATACGGGTCGACTGAGAAACCCTCCCAATTTCGACCACTACGGACTATGCGGCCAAGAGGTCCTACAACTGGACCAAGGGCAATGTTTGCTCCTTTCACTCGGAATTCTAAGCCCATGCTCTCTGCCCGGCGGCGGGTGAGTGCTTTATTCCAGCTAGCGCCAACGTGAATGCCACTTGGGAAACCGCTGACAAAATCAGTGGCCCGAACACCTTGACCAGCATCTGTAAGACATAGACCCGTAAAGTTCATACGATCAATAGCACCAATGTTTCCAGAGCAGCCGTTTAGTGTACCTGTAGTTCCTGTAGATGAGGTGACGCCAGAAGCCAAGGATGCCTGTGTCGTACGTTAACACGATTCAACCACCACCACTGAACACTGTGGATGAATGCACTGTCATACCTTTTCTTGCATAGTGAGCTGGTCAACAAACTTGACTGCCTTGTCGTATGCATTGGCCCATGCTCCTGTACCTGTTATTGGCGCTATGTATTGATGTCAGTTCAGAATCCCGTATGTAATTCTCCTGTATTCACGGATCGTGAAGTAGTTCATATGAGTATATCATCGGAGAACACACTTACGAGATGGGTAGACAGGGTCGGATTGGCCGTAAAAGAACGTATCATTAGTTATATGATTACCCTCATTGCCCGCTGCACCACCATTGCCAGAACCATGATGCCGATTGCGAAGAGCGAGCAGACCCAAGAGGCCAAATAAAGGTAAAATGGCGAGGAACACGACAAGAGCCTTGCCACGTTTTTTCTGGAGGATAGGAAACCGCTGCTTCATGCCCCGAGCCCGAGGAGGGCTTGAGACGGGCTCAGGAGTCTTTTCTCGTGACATTGCGAAGATTGGCTATGGAAATTCGCATATACCTATTAGGTCTGACTGAATAACGGAGAGATCTGGAAGGGATATCAGCAGCAAGCACTGATGAGAAAGTATCAAAGCAACGGGACTCACCAAGATGAGGACGAATCACGCGTATCCAACCTTAAATATATCGTCCCAAATAGGGAAAACCAGTTCGAAGCCTTGAGTTCATCAAGACAATACGACAACACCGGCCAGCACAACTAACTGCCTACTCCAAGCTGTCGACGGACGATCAAACCCCGCAGTGCAAACCAGACCAGACCCAGATAACTTCCAGTAACAGCGCTGGCTGGCGTTCGGCTAAATGCGATATTCCTTGTCACGCGTTTGGAATGCAGAATGCAGAATGTAGATAGTCCGGTCCTTTCGCTCACTGTCCGAGTTGCCCTAGCTTAGTACCAAGGTGACTCGGGACAAGGCAATTGAAGCCGACTAATCTTGAGAGACGTCAGTAAAATAAAGGCAAACAATAAGTAAGTACCCTCAGCAATGTTCAATATTGACTTAGTGCACCGTACTCTTGGTACCTACCTTATATCAGATATACCCGTCGGCCAGCACAGAAATATAACTAAGGTATCTAAGCATGCCCGTCAAAGCATGCCCATAAAGTAGAATGGGGGAGAAAACAAGCAATTAAACAGAAAGAGATGGTTCTGTTGTTGATGTCTACCATGAACAAATAGCGGTACCCGGCTACCTTACATGCCTACATACTTACATTAGGCACAGAGGGTTGGGATCTTCAGATGGGATCTGATGTACCTGCCTGCTGGCACTTGCATGTGTTTACACATTGCTGTTGCCAGGTCACTCACTCACTCACACACTCACTACCGTACCTGATAGGTAGGCACCTGCTCCGCTAAGCCTAACCCCGCAACTCGCAGCCACTCCCGCTCAGTTCACGCTCATCTCCAAATTCGAACCCCAAAGCCAAGCCAAGCAAAAGCAACATTCATTCAAGTAGAACCCTGGATCCAAGTCGGAATAACCTTCGTAATATATATGGGATTTCACAGAATCTAAACATGTGTACATTGTAGGTACGTAAGTGAGTGATTGGGTTAATCAATCCAAAGGGAAAGAGATCAACAGAGATCAACTTCTCCTAATCACCTGGGCGAGTGGGTGAGTGAGTACCTGCATACAATGTACATACCTATTCGTAAGTAGGTAGTCATGATACATATATCGTCATGAATATACGCAACGAATCGTAAATCCAAGCAAGAATTCCGTCCCGGGGGTTCCAGAGCACAAGCTCCAATATTATCTATTGAGGGCATGGGAGTTCATATATAGTATATATAACATGCGGCCGAGTGACGACGGCTTTGCAATAATAACCTTGCGGCAAGCCCCCGAAAGAGAGCCTACAATGCCTCCCGCCTTTTCCAGCCTCTTTCTCTGAATATCGGCCCCCCCTCCTTTCTTTCTCACTTTCCAAGTTCGCTGCTCAAGCCAAAATCAAAAAGTTTAGTATAGGTATCCACCGTTCATAAGCAAAATCGCCGTGACGTATCGAGATAGTAAAAAGGAGAAAAATATAAAAATCAATCAAAGATCCAAACTCGCCCAAATGCCAGCAATGGTCGTCGGGAAACCCCCTACGCGGCGATGCCTTCGGTGGGCGACGGGATCGACGGATCGACGGGCTCGACGGCAAAAACGCTACTGTGGCGTTGGCGAGCGACTCCGGCGCTCTGGTATATGATACTTCTGCAAACCCCCGCATCCCTCCCTCTCATCCTCCTTCTCCCCCTCTTCCTAATTCCTCCCATCTTCTTTCTTCATCTCAAACATCTCAATACCGTGAATTTTTCGTCCTTCGTTGGGTTCTTCATGATACACATTACAGACATGGGAGTGGCGTGGTGGTAGTGGTGAAAAAGTCCTTCCGTCTCGTCTCTCCGAATGCGCGTATACGGGGGCCCCAGGCGGTGGTGCACCGTCGTCTCCAATCAAGCTCGGGTGCAAAGTATACATTCGGCTAATAAACGTCTGGGTAGACGTGATGGTGACACAATCCTTTAGGTGATACTATATGCTCCAGAAAGTTCAGCCGTAGGTACTCGTACTCGTGGGAACGGTGGTGCTGGGCAAAAAATCGCAAAATCCCGCGAACAAGCAGACGCGACTACGGACAACCCGAACGACGAAGGCACGGGGGCCGCGACAGCGCGTCATCATACCTGGGGCGGGTGCGGATGCGGGATGGAAAATGCAAATGACACTAGGTACTGTCGGGGTGTTTCGAACCAGGTGACTCACAGGATCAACTGTTTCAGGTTCCGTTGTATAATCATGTCCTGTACGGATGTCATGGTAATCTTCAGCAAGTTCGTGTCGGTGGCATTGGTGAAGTGTCCATAGATCTCCTTCTCGGGGTTCCGGTTCAAGGCCTTGAATTTGTCCATGAAGTACTTGCTCGCCTGCTTGTGGTCATCGGGAGGGCCGCGGTAATCGGTGAAGCCATAGGACGTGATGGGGCTTGATGTCAATTTCTCTCTAAAGAGATCCATCTTGTTTAGGAAGAGAATAAGCGCCGACTTGGCGAACCAGTGCGAGTTCGCAATCGATTCCCACAACATCAGAGCTTCGTTCATTTGGTTCTGTGTGCCAAGCGTCAATGGTCTGGATTGAACTTGGACCAGATACGGAAGAACAGGTAGAGCGATAGATGTTCTAACTTACACCATCCTTGTCTTCGACAAGACATTGATCGTAGCCACTGATAGCAACCAAAAACAGCAAGCAGTTGACGTTCTCGAAGCAATGAATCCACTTCTTTCGCTCAGATCTTTGTCCACCAACGTCGAACATCCGGTATGTCAATTGTCCTAGATCGAAAACAGTCTCGGTGATGCCAGTTGTTCTTAAACGAGTTCGCAAGAGGTCTTGATCGGTCGGTATATAGTTCTTATCCCACAGACGATCTACATCGTCACAGAAACTTTGGGGTACGTCAGCAACAAAACCGGCGCCTAATAAAGGATTAAGCGATGGAGTACGTACTATGCAATATTGTCGTGAAGAGCATATTCGTTGCCCTTAAGGATGGCCTTTTGAACGCCAGCATCAGCCCAAAGGGATCTGATGGGCTCGAGGTAATCTTGTGGTAAGGGATCCTCGGGCCCTATCTCTACATCGACAAGAACTAGCACTTTGTTTTTCTATTGATTGTGACAGACTAGTCAGCTGTGTGTGCCGATGACGGGAATAACGACGACGGAAATAACGACAACGACAAGGCTTCTTCTGAAGAATAGCACTAGATGACTACTATCAAAGACATGGCATGGCATGCCACCATGACTGCTCGGGTTAAGGACTCACCTCGTTTTCCTTTCGTTCAAATTCAATTGCATAATCTTCCATAGCATCGAAGATGAGCCGCAACGATTGGATGACATTAATTAGCACAACCGGCTTCCATTCTAGTTTCTCCGTTTTACTGAAACCTTGGGCGTATATCAATTTCATCTGTTTGAGAACGGTAGACTTGCCCGATTCTCCGGCACCTGAGCGAAAGGATACGTGGTTAGATGATGCGGCTTGTACGACGTGGGACAATGAGGGTCGAGAGGTTCTTGTTCGGGAACCACGGGGAAAGATACACAAAATACACACCGAGGAGAAGGAGTTTAACTTCTTTTGCCATGCGCTTCTCATCTTGTTTGATGACCTTGTCGAGCTCGCGCGAGCGAGCATCGCCGGCCTCGTCCGTCTTCCTGCTGCCAAAACACATTTTCTGGGTACAGCCCGATCGGCTCGCGGGTTGGCGCGCGGGCAGGCTCGTGGAATTAACTTTAGGGGTTTAGCGGAAGAGGGCTTCGTCCGATCGTCTGTCTGTGTGGAGCGGGGAGAAGGTTTTTGAGTTGAGATGGCTTTGGTTCGGCCGAATTTAATTGTCTACAGTGGTGAAGTGGTGGTGGTAGTTCTCGAAGGCGCTTTCCTTTGTGGCTATGAAGAGAATGGGCGCCGAGATATTACAACGTAGCGAGGACGCCTCGGTTGGATCGGACGGGAAAGCGACAAGGTTCAAGGTCTCACACGAAAGAGAAAAACGTGCTAACGATGAAATCGGAGGAGTCGAAGTTGGGATACCCAGACCCAACAGGTAAGGCAAGGTAAGGCAAGGCTACGACAAAGAGACTGGCGCTGGCGCTAGAGCTAGAGCTAAAGCTAAAGCTTAGAGCGATAGCTGACAGGCAGCGAACAGCAAACGTGCAGAAGCACAGGCAGGATAAGGCCGAGGGCTAGGGGGGAATTCAAGTTGGGTTATTGGGATAAGTAATAGTAAGAATAATAAGAATAATAATAGGTAGATTTTGAGTTGGATTAGGTAGATGGGGAGATGGTGTGTAGTGTAGGTAAGCTGGAGGTGATGGAAAGCTGGGTATCTGGGTATCTGGGTCTGTACGTGTACGGGTAGGTACCTAGGCTATGTAAGTATGTAGGTAGGTTGATAGCTGGGGTGGCTGGTGGGTTTAGGGGAGGTCAGATCGAATTGGTAGCCCCGAGACAGACCCTAAAGACCCGCGAGATAAAAACGATACCGGGCGATATACCTAGGTATGGTGTGGTGCTACCCAGGCAGTACCCAGGTCAGTTCAGGTAGGTAAAGTACCTAAGGTCCCCTCACAAGCCCGTCAGTCTGTCCATCACTCCCGACTCTATCTTGCTCTCTCGGTCAAGATACCGAGGTGTTGCTGTTGAGAAACGAGAAGGTTCATCCGATTGGATTGGCCAGGAAAAGGGTCTGCTTTAATTACCTAGCGGACCCGTACGTATTCCAACCAAGCTGAAGCAGAGCAGACCTAAGCTTGTCTTTGCCTAGCACTTATTCTGAGAAAAGTCGAACACTGGTAGGAATAGCGCCCGGTAGGATGAGCAAGCGATTAGCGAAAAGAGGAAGCTCTCAAGGGGTAGCACTGGGCGCAGCGGAGGGGTGGGGTACCTCGTGAGGTGATAAAATAGGTACCATACCTTAGGTAAGGCTTAGGTACCCAGCTCGGTAAGTTTACATGCTGTAGTTGGTTGCTCAGTGGGTCTTCAGGTGTTGCAGCCGTATAACATGATGTATCTCATCAAGTACTCCAGGGTGAGTGTACGAAGTGTACTACAGATTACCGTAATACCCAGGTGAAGTATGTACAAAGTACCTAGGTATGTATGCCGGCAGGTAGCTTAGTTATTGAGATAGTGGCTTCTAGCTACCTATACCACTAGAAGAGGTACTTGGATGCAGATCCAGAAATACTCCTACACCAGACACCGGTACCTACCACTCCTAAGACAGGCTACCTACATGTATAGGTACCTATGTAGGTAGTACTTACATGCACTATCCACCTGGTAGGCAGCTCCCTGCATACACTAGGTACAGCACTGTAGAGTAGGTACTGTACCCAGGGCAGCCCCGCATGCTTGAGAGTTATTTTAAGCACACCACTAAGTGCACATTCGGCACTCCTAACAACCCAACCTAACGAGATTAGGCCGTCAATGCGACCTTTGCGGAAGATGGGAAGCTGACTCTACCAGATCTACTACCAAAGCGATACCTGTCGAGCCTACCTATTTAACAATCAATTATATGGGCAACGCTGGAGGGAGACGTCGATAGATGCCTATATATACGGAGTACAACAGAAGTGGGCATTGCCACTTGAGTCCTATACATAGGTTACATGTATCATAGATCGCATTACAAAACTGCACATCGGCCCCCATTTAAAGTCGATAGTGTAAATTGTGGGATAAGCTAACTAGGTACTTACATAGTAGGTACGTTAGATACTGCCAACATCGAAGGATGTCATTTGCATACCGTAGGGCACATACATATATTTACTTGTACTCCTTAGTAAGCACGTTTGAAGTACCGTACACTACCTACCTTAGGACATAGTGCAAAGAACACATGGCATTCATTCTCGCTTCAAAGCCAGCCAACCAGAGATCAGTCAGTCCGCTAGCAGCGCTCCTAACAGTTCGGCCAATGTTTCAGAGGCCAAGATTGGCAAACAAATTGACCAGCGACCAGATCACGGTCAAAAAGTTGAGGCCGGTGTGAAAGGAATACTAAGTATAGAGCTAAGTACCTACCCAGGTATGTTTGCGCAGGTGATACCGGTAGGTGATATGGAATGTTTCAGTAAGACAGACAGACAAGACACTAGGTACCTACTATGTATGAGTCTATGACGACAGCTTGGAAATCACTACCTAAGCTGCCATGTCAAGTACAACACCTTGTCTGGTGTTCTGTTCTGCCTTGTCTGCGGCAACATGAAATGGTAAAAAGTACATGGTGCAGACGCCGTGGGTCGAGCGAGTCTCCCTGTCTCTCTCCCGTCCGCCGCTGCTGCACAGGACTCGGCATGAAATACATGCACAGATCTTGGCAAACTGAGTCACATACCTCAGTCAGACTCAGTACTGCCATGAGATGTACTTAGTAAGACCTACCATCCCTGTAAATGCATTGTTCAAAGCCGACATCATCGCCTGTCTGCCCCCAGGCAGACCCGGCTCCCAGACTCCGATGCGATGTCATGAACGTCGGGCGGCAGCCGAGTGTACGTTAGCTTTACCGAGCGAGCAAGCACTGCTTGGTTGACCTGCGTCTTATCAGCCTTGCAGTGACTGAGCAATATAAGGCTGGCTGATTTTATTCTATAAACGAATTCCAAAACTGTCCTCATACTATGTAGAGACGATCACGTCAAGCTCACTCACACACTGCCGATGCTATGCGCACAAATCACCAGTCAACATCACTCGATCAGTGCGCTCTTACGATGTCTATGCATTACCTAACATCAACATCGACGCACAGGTGACTTGGACAGGGCGGGTAAGCTACATTTGGTTCTTACGAGTGCACCTGCTTGTATGCCTTGTCCATGCCAGTAAGTGCAAGCTTATATAGCATGCACCAATTAACGTGCGCATCTTTTGATGTTGGCAAGAGCCTCAAGAGAAGCGTGAGTGGGTATTGCGCTAAATACCCGCGAAGTATACAATATACATACATCTATTACCAAGAAGAATGATCCCACGAAAGAAGCACTGCTAGGACGAAGGCGCAGCTTATAGTGTAAGTAAGGGTCCTACCGGTAACTCTACTACTGTATGTACTTAAGTATGCGCGAGTGAGATTCTGATTGAACCAAGCTTGAGTTCCGAGACCCGAGCTCTGCCCGAGCTAACCCGACCGCCAGCAGCTGACCTCTCCCACGCCTCACATTCTTTAAGTAGACTCCGACTCCGAGGGCACACAAGTCCGATAACAATACCTAATCCAAATGATACGGGTCGTTGCATGGTTGCATGGTTGCATGGCTGCATGGTTTCGAGGCTCTGCACGAGATGCTACTTATATAACAAACACGGACCGTATCCTACCTACTCATATAGCAGTGGGTATACTCCAAGATAGACGTCATCTGTTTGACATTGACATTTCCGTAAACGCCCCCTGAATCGTGCTTAGGCGAGGGAAGGCTGGACGTCGTGTCTAAGCTGTCGTAACGCTTACTTGCCTGCCTACCTATAGTAGGCTCTTCTGTTATGGGCACGATACCTGCCTACCTACCTACTTTGTAGGTAGTAGGAGGCTCGGTGAACTGATCAACATGACCGACAGGACTGACTGGCTACCTGTCCCAGCAACATTATCGGCGGTATTACACGTGAAAAAGACGGACGGATCCGATAAAGCGAGAGGAGGGGTGAAGAGACAAGACAAAGGAGAAAGAATGCCTGATGATCAACCATGACCCCCAAGTTGCATACATAAGTACTACCCTGACGTAGCATCGTCTCTTATGTACTCGGTGGAAAGCTGTGACTACCTATCCCACCCTCCCCAGTCCCTCCCTTCTCTCCGCCCCAGGAATTAGCATGATGCGGAGACAGGAAGAACGAACGTGCTGATCTTCAAGGTTCTCGTCCTGTCAGCGCCGCACCATTTCACCCGAGCCATGCGTCGCTTTCCCTGCCTGAGTATCACGTATCATATCGGTCAAAGGCTCCATTACATTCACACTTGTCCATATTACTTATACCTATTGGGAGGTAGGTAGGCAGACAGATACCAGAGAGTAGAACGGAGAGCTAAGGTCATGCTCAAGGAGGGCGACTGACCGACTACAAATCTTATCATGACAGATACATCATGGCTACACTGCATTTTTGGGATTCTAATACTAAAATTCATCGTCAGCCACAGATTCTGCGGGATGCATCTGGAGACTAGGCAAATCCTTCACGATACACAAAACCCCTTATAGCGGTTGATGCATCATGTGGCGTTCGTTATGCCTACCTAGTACCTACTACACACACTACCTAGATACTTTACTTGCCTACACCACTCGCACAACACTTGCATTGCAGTAGGTACGGTATTTCGAATCCCGTTGTGTATCACCTACGCCAGGTAGATACAAAAGTACCACACTACATACACATATACCTGTATATACCTGGATCTGGGATCCCTGGTTTAATAGGTAGACTCAAACATAACAGTACGCATTTGCACAGACGGCAGTGGACATGGGTTATCCCGCCCGCCCACTAAGTTTAGCTACCTAGATCTTGCTCGAGCAGAAAAAACGTGGTTGATCCTATTGCGTGATTTCATTGGCACTTCTCGCGGGGAGGGTGTACTTAAGCTAGATCCGATAACGCGCGATGGACAACATCTCGATCAATCAATTAACTGAACACTACTAACATACATACATACCTACTTACCTACTTACATACCTACCTATGCACCTACATGTGTAGGTAGGTAAGTAGGTAAGCTGTCAGTACGGCACCGTAGTTGGATTCATGTCAGCTTACTTACATGCCTTTGCTCCACCATCCGGGAGATAGAAAAAGGTCGAGGCCAAAAAGTTGTGGTTATACCCTGCACTATATACATTTACAGCTGCTTACCTACCTACCTACGCTTCTAGTGTCTACCACATCACCCATATCAACATATCGTATATTGTAGCCGACACTACCCTCCTACTCCATCACCACCTTGATGGCTACATGATCAGAAACATGATCAGAAAGGAGGATTAGGAAGTAGAATCCACGAAGCAACTCTACCGTCTGGGAATGGTACGAAGAAAAAGAGGCCAATTCAACACGTCTCCCATATGGCTTGCAGATAGGAATGGATGTAGGTAGTCAGAAACCACGCTGACAGGCTGTTGTGTGCATGTTGCAGGGTGACATGAGCCTACCACTGACAGGCAAACGGGCAAGCTGTGAGACAAGAAACCTTGAAGAAAACGTTTCTATAGGAGACAAGTCTCGGCAGATTGTGCTTCCTTCATAGCAGGAATGCCACGCGAGCCCGGTTATCTGTCTCCCCTTTGGAATTCCTTTGCTACTGTCATTTCCCTTACCTTACAAAACGCATCACTATCTATCTACCTATGTGTGTACCTAATACCATACAGTAAGTAGGAGGTCACATTGGGATGATTCCAATACCTATAGTATTATGCACATGCACCAATGAAACGTCTCGAGGAGGGGGAACACAAGAATGAACCACGTTTTCTCTTCCTTTCTCTCTTGCCAACCCCTAACCTAGAAGGATGAGCGAACATCCAAAGGCGTCGAAATTGTGTAACGTTGACGATAACTGCACACTGGAGGCAGGGGATGTGTATAACTGTAGTACCGGTAGGTATGATGTGGAATGCATGTACCGTCCCAGCGATGGAAGCTGCCGGCATACGGTACTTAAGATAGGTATCACATTCATCACCGCCTTGAGCGTACCTAGGTAGTAGAAAAGGATTGCAAAAAGCCCTATTATCCTCCACAATTTCTATATGCCTATGTTGTGCGATAATAACCATCTTACGTACGATAATCAACCTTGAAAAGAACCTAGTTAATAGCAAAAAAAAGTAAAAAAAAAAAAAAACGCCCTGTGGTCCTACATAACCACGCGAAACGGCGGTAACCATTACTACCTACCTAAGGTATTTATTTATTATTAGCGCACAATAGTGTACTACGGTACCTCTGTAAGTAAGCTGTAGTGTGACTCAATAGTAGCGTGCCGGTACATCGAACTCATGGGCTTACGAAGCACTTACTTACATCTTGCTTTCCATCCCTCCAAGAAGGTAAGTACATAGGTAGGTAGAGGATCCTTTCCCTCTTTATATGCCGGAGAGTCGAATGAGAGTCGAGTTTGAAGAAGTTTAGCGGATCAAGGTTGCAGCAGCCTATAGTCCACCATGATCCATACCTCACAACTACCTACCGACAGACTACCGACAAGCAGACAGACTACAAGGCACACTATCCGGACAAATGCATCATGTCCTACACAGTAACGTACATAGATAGACTATACTACCTCTTACATACATACCGCCACGAGAGAACCATCAATCTATTCATTCATCAGCAGTGGAAGAGATCGATGGTCAGCCCCGACCCCAGTCGCCGCCATTCTGTCTGTCTGCTTGCCTGCCTCACCTACCTACCCTGCATCTAGGTTAATATGTAGCAAAGGAAAGTCAAGGCGAGGCAAGGCAAGACAAGACAAGACGAAACGATCAGGCAAAATACCTTCAACATCTGCAGCAACATTTTCCTCAGTCGCTTCGCTCTGCTCACTCACCCATGACCAATGTATACAACCTTACCGTACCATCAGCCCCGTCGTCGTCTAAATATGTGAGACAGAAAGACTGTACGATGAGAGCCGCCGCGTATCTCCCACTCCACTTGCTTGCTTACCGGCTCAACAAACCTCTAGATCATCACATCCTCCATCACCACTTTTTTTTATCATTATTATTCCTACCTAGGTACCTATGCTTTTACCTACCTACCTACCTGTACCTCTATAATACACGTGTAGGTAGATATCACACTCACACTCACATTACCTATACTACAGTAGGGATCCCGCTTTCTTTCCATTGACACTACGACGCTGCAATATAGGTATAGGTATACCTAGTCCCAATAAGATGAGACGTAGAAATTGCGAGGTTACATATCTACTACCTACACTACTAGGTACCCCATCCCTACCTACTGTAGTGTAGATGGTATAATAATAGCAAGAAAGAAAGAAAAGGTAAATAATACGACCGTTACATACGGATGGAGTACTTTGCCTTGCACTACGAACGTGAATCAAACGGTCCCTTGACACGAGATACTACATACATATAGTACCGTACACCACAGCATCACATACGTCTCATACATAACATACATACATTGCACATGCTTTCCACGTGCAAGCGGCTCTGAATACTCCAACAATCTCGGATGACCAGGGCCGGGGCACTTACGCGCGCATAACAGCATCCATCCCCCTTCCCGCAGTAGAACATGTGCACACTACCTGGTCTAAAGGATCGAGAATTGAGTATAAAAGTCGAGATCCAGCGTGAGATACCATGCCTTACTTACTTCCTTACTTACGTACTATATAGCCTGCCTACACTACCGCATTTCCGCTCTTCGGGACGGAAGGATCCGCGTTTCGGTCGTGGGGCCCTCTAGGCTAAGTGTACTTACGGCACGGTAACCTACGCTACCTAAACAATAATAAGCTTGCTACCTACCTATGTTTCGGCCCCCAAGGAGAGGAGAGGAGAGGAAAGAAGGCCGACCGGGCCTGATTTCCCGGGGGCGGAGCACAGAAGTAGGGCCTTTTTTTCTTACTTATGTATAACGAACGGTATATTGTTAGGTAGGGAAATAAGCAGACAGACAGACAAGTCAAGGCAAGAATAAGCTAGGACGAAGCATAAGTAGAAGTAGAAGGAAAAATGAAGGAAAAAACAACACTCCTCTTCAAAACGTGGTTCGGGTCGATGGAATGGATTGTTACCTACACCATTCCTACTACATACCACCCAACAACGTGATTACTTCGGCCTTGTTTTCGGCCACTTGAGTAATGGGATAACCTAGGTAGGTAATCAACTCCTTCTCAGCTCGCAAATGGAAATTTCTTTCATGGGTAATACGTACGTAAGTACGACATGTTGTAGTAACGTTAAATGCTTAGATACCATGAAGGGTCTTGTCAATCGAGCTGTACAGTTCGCATAGAATATACCTACCTAGGGTAGGTAGCGTGGCATACTTAAGTACGTACGTACGTACACGACAACATACGACGTGCAACACACCTGTTTTTATTACCTAGTCTTTCCATCATATACTTGGTGTACTTACTTGCAAGGCATACAGACAGGCGACATAACGCTGCTATACATGTGTGTGTTTCTCTGTCTCTGTCCCTGTCTGTCCCTCTGTGCGTTTCCTATTATATAACATTGTAGTCTGTAGTGCAACTCCCATACCCAAGATATATGTATACAGACCCGCGCAAACTCACCTACATAAAATATTGCCTTTCTGTCTACTTACACTACCTACCTACCTACCTGCCATATAAAGCAAAGAGCTACCTCCCTCCCTTGAGCACTTGATAGACATGACAGACGGGACAGGCACAGCAATCCTTCTTCCACCGCGGCACTCTTTCCTAACTCGGGACTTAAAGCCGCGTGTGACTTTTGTCGTCAATCACGTGATGATTTGGACGAGCGAGGATGGCTTTACATACCTGCTCAGTACCAATCACCATGTATCTACTAGGTAGGTAGATAGGTATACAATAGTATATATACACATATCAAGGGATCAGATTCAAGAAATAGATGCTGTAGGTCTTATCATTGGCATTTGGCTGAAGCTATTTCTTATCCCTTCCATATACAAAATACATGCCTATCTCTTCACACTTAATAAAGATCCCCGCAGATATAACATAACACCTTTTCAACAATCCATTTCATCTACCTCCCAACGTTCCTAGAAGTCTTCTTATCCTCTATCTGCTCCAAGTCCTTCATCTTATGGAAGTGCGGTGCCACTTCATTCAGCCACTGCGGACGGATGGGCATACAACTCCTCATATACTCTTTATTCGTCAGCACCAGCTCGTAGTAGATGAGCGTCTTCTCGGGCGGGTCTGATTTCATGAGGACGGAGCTAGGATGGATATAGACGGTGGTGTTGTTCTTGAGTGTACGGTAGCTGTCGCCGCCGCGCTGTAGTCGTGCCGCGTTGGGGAAGAAGCCGGCTGTTAGGGCCTTTTGGATGGGTTCTAGATTGGAAGCGCCACAAGACGATGGGGCTACCTCGACGCGCTCGCATAGCTTGGCGAGTTGGTCTCGGACGTCTCGCGCGCGGGTCAGGGAGCGCTGTTGTAGGAAATTCTCCTTCGCCCAGATTGGGGAAAAATCACTGTCGACCCACTGGTTCCAGATATTCAGCAGAGTTATATGATCGCCTCCATCCTTGACGGTGAATCGATTGCGCGCACTGTCTGCATGAATCTTCTTATCCTTGGGCCGGAAGAACAGCGCAGAAGCTTCACTAAGTACGGCGACAATAGACAGGACTTCATCGACACACTTGAATTTATCGGCGGCCAGCACGGATTTGGCAAGCATGGGGTCCGTGGGAAATTCGGCCATCTGGCGACCGACCTTCGTGAGATCTCCTTTGTGGTTTAACGCCTGCAGTGCGAAGAGCTGGTTTAATGCGCTAATCAGAGATTCAGTCGGCGGAGGGTCTAGGAACTCAAACTCAAGGAGCTGGTTTATGCCAAGACTTTTCAGGGACAGCACGACAGAGTTGAGATTCGTGCGTTGGATCTCGGGGGTCGTCGATTCGTCCATCTCATTCATATAAGCATATCTGGTATAAAGTCGGAAACATTTTCCAGGGCCCACACGTCCTGCACGACCACTGCGTTGATTTGCAGAGGCTCGTGAGCAAGGAACCACGACTAGGTTCGACATGCCAGTAGCTGGGTTATAAATGTTCTCCTTGACATAGCCAGGGTCGATAACGTAGGTGATACCATCGATTGTTAAACTTGTTTCCGCAATGTTCGTGGCGAGCACGACTTTGCGGGCGTTTGCTGGTGTAGGTTCAAAGATCTTGGCCTGCAGATCTGAAGGGAGATTGGCATATACAGGGCAAATGATGAGCTCCTTTACCCTGTTTCCAAGCTTTCGAGCAGTATCAGTGAGTTGCTGTTCGGCAGCTTCGATCTCGTCCTGACCAGTTAAGAATACCAATATATCCCCTTTGCCTTGGGTTGTGTGAATCTGAAATATAGTCGTGATTGCCGCTGTTAAGTAATTCGCCTCGGGTGCTGGCGTGTAGTAGATATCAACGGGGTATCGCCGACCCGGTATATTGAAGATGGGAGCGTCATCAAAGTACTTTGCGAATTTCTCGGCGTTCATTGTCGCCGAGGAGATGAGAACTTTCATTTCTGGCCGTTCTCTTGCCAGATCCTTCACCAAGGCTAACAAAATGTCCGTGTTCACTCCTCTCTCGTGAGCCTCGTCCACCATAAGAGCCGAGTATCCAGAAAGTTCGGGATCTGTCATAAACTCTCGTAGCAACATGCCGTCAGTCATGTACTTCACTATAGTCTTGTCGCTCGTATTGTCTTCAAATCGTATCGAATAGCCGACCTCATTGCCAAGCTTGACTCCCATCTCCTCAGCTACACGAGCTGCTACACTCATAGCAGCAACTCGCCTTGGCTGCGTGCAACCAACCTTTAGACCGCCCTTTGTGTAACCCGCTTCATGCAAGTATTGAGGTAGTTGTGTGGTTTTACCACTACCCGTCTCACCGACAAGAACCAGGATTTGGTATTGCTCCATGGCGGAAAGGAACTCCTCCCTGTATTTGTATATTGGGAGGGACTTCCTCGTTTCTTGTATTGACAAGGCCGCCTTTTCTGCCGCTTCGATTTGCGCCTCAAGAAACCGTTGCTCTTGAGTCAACTGCTTGCCTTCGCCAGCCAGGGTTGAACCCAAGTTCCACTGTATGTACTGCTCGGGATCGAGAACGGGGGCATAATCACCCTCGTACTCACGCTCGGCTCTGTTGATTTGGGCTTTTGCCTTTTGGGTCTGTTCTCGCTCCCATTCGTCATGTTCCGTGACGAACTTCTCCTGTCCGTACTCATCTCTTTCGACATAGCGCTTGTATAAGGCGTCTTCTTTTCTTTTCTTGTCAATCTTTCCCTTCTCCGTGATGTAATCTTCGGGCATGTAGTAGCCATCTCGGTGATCATCGATCCGTAAGCGCTCTTCAGCAAGCCGAAGGATTTCGCGGTTCTTTGCGAATTCGGCCTTCTCCTTTTCTGAAAGACGCACACCGCTCCGTAGTTCCGCCGTTTCCTCAGCTACCTGCTTGCGCAACAATGCTAATCGTTCCGTTTCCCGCTTTTTCAGGTAGTCCTGTCGGGACCGCTCTCGTAGGTCGGGCATTGCGGCTCGATTGGCGGCTATTTCATCGGCCAAACGTTGGCGTTCCGTCTCGGCCTTACCCTCCTTCTTGGATTTGCCCTGGTCGCGTTCTTTCAGCCGTCGCGAGAATGCTTCTCTTTCAGCCCTATCCTTGGCGGCGTCGGAGTCTGCGCCATCTTCATCTTCAGCTCTGTCATCATGACTTAGTTTCACCCTTTTCGGCGCAGACTCTTTGAACTCGGGTTCATCCGCTTGTTCGTCCCCAGAAGGTGTGGGTTCGGGTTCCTCATCGCCCCAGCGGTCGTCATAGTCGCCTTCGCCATGTCTCCGTATTGACTTGGACTTTTTCTTATGACTGTCTCTGTCTCTGTCTCTGTCTCGGCGCGGCGAGCGATTACGATCCCGGCTTCGACTTCGGCTAGGGCTTCGATGGCGATGGCGATGTGATCGATCGCGGTCGCGGTCACGGTCATGGTCGCGCTCTTCACGTCGGCGAGATTTCGACTTTGATTTTGTTTCGACTTTCTGCGGGCCAACTTCATCATCGTCCATAGGGACGAAAGCATACCGTTTGCTCATGACTGCGATGTATGCAAGTATAGGTGCCAACTAGAAAGACTACTCCCGATCAACTCAAAAACTGGCGCGATAACATCCATTCCAGACAAATTCAGGGACCGTTTCGCGCAGTTCTTTAGTATCAATCGTAACGTCGTCGATGTTTAGATGGATACCTACATGTAGAGATAGGTGGAGCCTGGCTACCAGAACTAAAAAGTCCATAGCACGGACATGTACTGAGGTTACTTGATTAAGTGGGCCAGGTTAGCGTGCCGAGCACAGCACAGAGATGCCCGCTTCAGTATGTCTCAGTGGGTGATAGCCAATCAAGAGCCACAAAAGCTGCCAAGATAGAGCATATCCCTGGCCAGTGACCAGTAACCAGAGCACTAGCCAATCTCTTATCTTATCGCCTGCATGCTAATCCTGGAGCTCGGGCTGGGTACAGCAAGCATTGTACATTTTAACACGTTGACATGGTGTTCTTCTGGTTCAGCTAACAGTGCCTGTCTGGGTATGAACCAATATCATATTCCCATTACCTGTCTTATTTGTGAAGAACCAATGTAGCAGCAATTTCCATTGGGATTCATCTGTAACAGTTGACGACACGCTGTTCAGATCTGTGTTGTGTTCGCAAACATCCGTTCACTTAATTCCCTAACAACAAAAACTCTATTACCTCCAACCTTCAAAGTCACAGCTTCCAAGGATATTAGTTAAACCACTATGCTCCTTCGCGGGGCGGCTTTTCTGCTGCTCTGTCTATTTGTGCAGGTCATATTATGTGCTGAAGATTATTACAAGGTAAAACTACAAATCGTCCTTTTTGTCCTTTTGCCTTTTTCATATGCTCTTGTTTCAACGAGCCAGTTGCGCTAATCCCTGTTGTCCGAGTCTAGGTCCTGGGCTTAGATCGCAATGCAAATGACAAGCAGATCAAGTCGGCATACCGGAAACTGAGCAAGAAATTCCACCCAGACAAGAACCCGTACGTTTCTTATACCATATCGCCTACGTCCTAGCTGTTCGTTGGCCAAATTCTAACATCTCCTTGCAGCGGCGACAACACGGCGCAAGACAAGTTTGTCGAGGTTTCCGAAGCCTACGAAGCCCTCATCGATCCCGAGTCGCGCAAGATCTACGACAGATATGGACACGAAGGGTTAAAACAGCGCCAGCAGGGAGGCGGCGGCCACCACGACCCATTCGACCTATTCAGTCGGTTCTTCGGAGGTGGCGGCCATTATCAGCGGGGCCAGCCTCGTGGTCACAACATCGAGGTCAAGATTGGACTTGCTCTTCGGGACTTCTACAACGGCCGCGAGACCGAGTTCCAGTGGGACAAGCAACAGATCTGCGAGGAGTGCGACGGTACTGGCTCTGCTGATGGTGTTGTCGACACGTGTCCCCACTGCCATGGCCATGGCGTCCGCATCATCAAGCACCAACTAGCCCCAGGCATGTTCCAACAGGTCCAGACACAATGCGACGCCTGCGGTGGACGGGGCAAGTCGATCAAGCACAAATGTCCAGTCTGTCAGGGCAACCGAGTTGTTCGCAAGCCCACGACGGTCACGCTCAACGTGGGACGAGGAGCACCTAGGGACAGCAAGATTGTATACGAAAACGAAGCGGACGCCAGTCCAGACTATGTTGCTGGCGACCTGATAGTGACCCTTACCGAGAAAGAGCCCGATATGGAGAATGAAAATCCAGATCACGTCGACGGCACGTTCTTCCGACGGAAAGGTGATGATCTGTTCTGGACAGAAGTCCTGTCATTACGCGAGGCTTGGATGGGTGACTGGACTCGTAATCTTACCCACTTGGATGGCCACGTTGTGAGACTCGGGCGAAAACGCGGCGACGTCGTACAACCCGGTCATATTGATACCATCCAGGGCGAGGGAATGCCGATATGGAGCGAGGAGGGGGATTCAGTGTACCACAAGTACGAGTTCGGCAAGCTATACGTCCAATATGTCATAGTCCTCCCCGATCAGATGGAGTCAGGCATGGAGAAGGAATTCTGGTCCGTTTGGCAGAAATGGAGGGGAAAGGTCGGCGTAGACCTGCATAAAGACAGTGGTCGACCGGATGAGCCGATAGTGACCTCTATACATGATGAGTTATGAATGTGACATAGTAGATAAAATGATAGAAAGGATATAATAATCCAATATGAATTGCAAACTTACGTTTCCCCTTGCCCCCCTTTGCTAGGCAATGATTCCACCATATATGTATGCCCTTACAGATGAAATATGAGTAGATATCCATGACAACTAGCATTCGCGAAATATATGTGGAGTTGATATAGCTCGAAAGGGCTCTAGAATCCCTGGGGCTTCGTACGCGTCTCGGTGGTATTAGGATGCGGAGCCATTTAGGCCACGGCACGACTTGCCTACCACGGGGATATCTGCGGTCAGTCAGTCCTCCTTCCATAACACGCACTTCAAATAGAACGTCTAGGATACGCCATAGTCACACAAGACTACTCGGCGGTCTCATGATGAAGTACGAGTAGGTACTTAGATAGGTAGTCATATTTTATCAATTTGGTTGAGTCACTCACTAACTTATCGTCGCCGCGCAACTTCGGGATAAACGCCGAGTCCGTCCAGCGAACGTAGATTGGTGCTGCCCTTCCGCCGGCGGCCGATTATGTAATGCATATCAGGGTCTTTTTCTTTATAAGTGCCCATGTAGGCTACGATTTTATATCTTCTTGCCCCATTCACACCTATTCTCCTTTCATCTCTTCTCGTATTTGCTGATTGCCTCACATTCTTCGTGGCTGGACATGCTTTGAAATTCCCCATGCCCTAACGGTTGCCAAGCCTCGACATCAACCCAAATTCTCCCCCTCCCAACTCACATCTCTTATATACACCCCCTCCCCCTTTCTTGTCGTCTTGCCTAGGTAGATATCTGTCTCTCGGGAATTGAATAAAAGGAGACACTAAAATGTCAGACCCTCTCCTCACTCGCACAAGCGAAGCCCTTCTGGGCCTCGTAGACCCATGGCTCTTCCTAAAGCTCTCGGCGACTTTCATCCCATCCACTATATCCCATATCTTCCGCACAGAGTCATTTCTCTCGGCCCTGCGCATTGTCCTTTTCTCGCCATCGCGGTTCCGCGAGGCTTGGTTCGGACAGTTCTGGTCTGTCGCGGGACCCGGTGTGCGTGACGGCGCCAAGGTGCGCGTTCTCCCGCTGCTCGATGGCCGTACTACCGGGGGCCGTGTGGTGGATGTCCCGACGGGACCTGGGATAGGCGGTGTTGTGATTGAGATTGGGGCGGGCAGTGGCCTTTGGGTGGATATTTTTTCGAATCGCCATTTGCGTGGTGCGGGAGAGGGTGCGGCAGGGGAAGGGGAGGAAGGCGGGAATAGGGCGGCATCGGCTCGGCAGGAGATCACGCGTGTCTATGGCGTCGAACCGAATCCCGAGCATCACCATGCGCTCTGGCATGCAGTCGATGACGCGGGGCTGCTGGATGTATATGAGATTGTGCCGGTGGGTATAGAGGATTTGTCTTCATCTTCTTCATCTTCGGGGAGGAAGAAGTGGGATGGTAACATCGAACCTGGATCCGTCGATTGCATTGTCTCGGTGCTCTGTCTGTGCAGCATTCCCGATCCGCAAGAGAATATCCACGAACTGTATAAGCTGTTGCGTCCTGGCGGTCGGTGGTATGTTTATGAGCATGTCAAGGTTCGGTATAGTTGGTACATGCGGCTATATCAGCGTAAGTCTCGATCTATCGCCCGTTTCTGCTCTATTTCATCATATATGTCCATCTATGCGTTTATGTTCTGCATGAGACATGTGGCGTCTTTGCGTCAATTCTATGTTGTGACACATATCTTCCCCGCTGGGCATAACGCCACCAAGTCTAGATATAATCTATTTTTAAACCACCTGCTAATGAAATGTTTTCAAACAATAGGCTTTCTCAATATCTTCTGGCCGCGATTCATCGGCGGATGCGAGCTATGTCGGCCGACGGAGCAAACACTACGGGAGACGGGTCCATGGGCCAAGATCGATGTCGGACAGCCGGTCGATGAACCGTGGTATCATTGTGTGCCGCATATTTTAGGAGTATTCACCAAATAGATTCAATATAGGTAATCTGAATCATCTTCGCCTGGGCCTCACATTTGCACTGGCATATTGTACAGTATGCAAGTATTAGTGTTGGTAGCTTCGCCGCATGTAAAGTCGCATTGGCGCTGAGTATGTCAGAACAAATATGATTGGAATGGTTGACTAATTGTTGTTCTTGTTGGTAGACTAGGCTCCTGTGGTTTTTGTTCGCTACCTACTCCTTCATCTCTGATCTTTCCTATACGGCACCGCAATCCTGCAGTCTACCAACCATGGCTCCTCAAGTCACACCTGAGCTACTCCGGAATCTTTCAAAGAACTCAGGACCAGACGTTGAGATTCTAGTCGACAAGAACAGCTCCCGCTTTAAGGAACAATCCAAGAGATGGACTGACATTGACAGAGATTTCGTATTCACCATCTCTCATTCAGAAGACAGTATGTTAATTGAAGCCAACCTCAATTTTGTCCGAGTCGTACTAATTTATACCACTCTGTAGATTCGTTGGGCATATAGTACTCTGTGCCTTTTGTCACCAAGAGCGGAGGACACAGCAGTCAACAATAGGCGAGCACGGTATAGTCGTCGACCTGAGCAAGTACTCGGCTATTAGAGTTGACGCTAATGCTAGGACAGCGACCCTCGCAGGGTCAATTCTTTGTAAAGACGTAGCGGTGGCACTGGCAGCGAAGGGCTTCTTCACTGGTGATATCCGCCCTCCCAATTTGAGTCACTACCCCTAGGAAATGGCAACACTGTTAGTGCTATTCCGTACTTTATAGATGGAGGAGCGTCCATTACTACGTCCATCGCGGGATATGGGTCGGACCAAATCTGGCAGCTCGCATGATTGATGAAACTGGGAATATCATCAGTCACAGAGAATGATGAGTCGGACTTACTATACGCTACCCGGGGTGCCGGTTAATCTTTCGGACTCGTGTTCGAACTCACTATCAGGGCCACTGCTCTTGGAGAGCTCGGTAATGATCAAAGAGTCATTTGGACAGGCGCTTTTATATTCCCACTTAGTTGGTCCCCTGAAATGAGCATAGTAGTCAATGACAGTAGCCAGGCAACAGCAGGCTTAGTGATGGTTCAAGCTGCACCTCCCACCATACGTCCAAAATCTCCAAGCTAGCTAATTATTATGAAACATTTGAAAAACCCATGGTGAATATTATGACCCCAAGTGCCCACAGCCTTGATATTCTACCTTCAGTAGTGTAGGAGCACAATGCTCCGGTTCTATTTCGTTCAAATTACGCGAGCTAACACGGACATCGGCGACAGACGAATGTACTCGGACCGTATAGTGAGGGCCCTAGATAGTGATTCCAATCTCAGGTCCTCGATGCATCTGCTCAGGAGAGTAAAGTATCGCGTATGGGCGAAAGGAACCCCATTACCACACGAGGGGCCCCAATTATCTAGTAAAGACTAAATCTCTACCCCAGATCAGAGACCCAGCTGCCTCCTTTTTCTCCATCTGGGGACTGTGGATAGTGCAGCAACCAGACTGGATTGGAAAGATGCGCTATCTACTAACATGGAAAGTAAATGCAAGGCAGTGGACAAGTCGGCCGTCTATGCTGGACAGTGCATACTATTTACAATAGTTTGACGAGATAATCGCCATGGCACCGGTACGACAAGCTAGAGTATCGGCTGGGGCAGTGCGCTGTCACTCTCCTTCGACGTTGCCATAGTTCCGGCGGCACGGTGATCCAGCGTTGGAGCACTCGAATAGATTCCGGAGAAGCAGTACGCTATGGATGAGGATGCTGCACTTAAGCGGGTCGTAGTCCTGGTTAGATCGATGTATATGTATCCCAACGGTTGTACATTCCGTACCTGTCGCAGTAAGGTATCGTAAATGGTGAGTATGTGTGTCCAGATAACGTTCCGTCTTTTGATAGCATCGCGGCATTCGTGCTATACTAATATCATATGATAATGCCTTCCAGAGTCGTCTGTCTGTTCGGAGAGGGCATATAGCGGTGTAAGGCAATCATCACGCATGGGCTGATGTTCTGCATAATATCTACGTAGGATAGACGTATTCACACACCCTTTCAAATGATTCCGTCTCTACATATGTTCCCAAGCGCTGGTTCCGAGCCCTGCCACATCAGCCGCACAGCCGGACGTTTCATTAACCTGACGAGCCTGAGTATTGCATGGAGATAAGAGTCTTGTCGGTGGACAGATGCAGCCAGTCGTAGCGAAGAAACCATGCTTACGTGCATGTCGTGCATTACTAGCTACATGGATATGAGGTCTACCGTCAGCCGATGCTATACTAACATGCACGAATCCTTGTAGCCGGTGAATTGGAGATGTATCGGTTGAGGCAGTACACTTGGAGGAAGAAGATACTCTCGACTCTCCATACTGTACATGAAATTACTATTGGTAAGTAGAGGGTTTAGTGGATTTAGTGTAAGAATAGATTAATACCCATGTGGCAAAATCTCCGACATTGAGGTTCGAATACATAGTCTCGATAGTTACAGATATTCATTCATTGTACTGTAAGTCCATGAAACGTTTCAGTGACACGTTACGCTGCCAGGGATGCTATTGTGAAAGTATTCATCACCAAATAAGTAATAGTATCTGCAACGAGGACCAACAGGACGATTGGTATTCAATCAACGGCCCAATGCCTTCCGTGATATTGACCCTCTTTTTCGTTAACTGCTTAGCTCTAATTCGTGTATAGCCTTTGACTTGGTCTGACCTGGTTAAGGCACAGCACTAGTATTGATACTAGGGGCGGTCTGGGGAGAGATCTTGAACCGAATTTTTGTTATTTTTTGCCATTCATACGCTAGGAGACTTCCTCTGGGTGAGCGATCGGAGCGTGTTAGTAATACCTGACTGGGAGTGTGAGAAATGTCTGTCTATTATATGTAAGTATGACAACATCCAGCAGATAGAGTCTTCTGTAAAAATTCTTGCTTTGAAAAACCCTCTCTTTATCTATCTCGTCACAGGCCATCTGTGACATATTGATATGCGAGAAAATATGTGGCTCGAGAGGAATGCCCAGATTTCAAGTTGTGAGAGGGTGGGAGAAGATCGTTTTTACAGGGTGCAGCTCATCCTGGCACCACCGACGTCAACGTGCAGCGAATCCACACCAAAACCACGCCGTCACGATGCAATTAGGGTAAAAGATCTCGCATTATGTACCTGAGTTGCCCGACGGATATTGCGCTAAATCGTAGCCGACTTGGCTGGCTGTCCCTCGGGCTGTCTGGGCGTCTGCAAGCGCAACCACCGAGAACCACACCAAGACAACAAGGGACAACCAAGACTGCCTCGCTGTGGCCTCCCCTGAACACGACCCTGAGAACGCTGCCCTGAATATCACCCACCCCTCCCCTAGACAGCGATTGAGGGTATGTCGATAATCAACTGATTGGCTCTAGGCAAGACGGGTAGGGTGTGATGTTGCGGGAGTCAAATATGGATAGCATCATTCCATGACCTATGTAGGTAAAGTCATGTACTATGATAGAAGCAACGTCTCGCTCCACCCCCAAAACACCAGTCGGCACGATAATGCCGATCATTTCACCATCGCCTACTATTATACCGATACTGCATAGCTAGGGAATTCGAGTATCCATAATTATTACCCATAATGGTAGCACAGGTCGACAGGCATCGAATTATCATACCTCCATCGCAGTTCAGGTGGGGACCGAAATGGCCCCGATGGGAAAACGAAATGCGGCCGAAGGAAAAGTCGGGTGCCTGTAAGAAGAAGAAGCCGGGATGAACGATAGGCAGGAAAACGAAGACAAAAAAAATTCCAAAAAATGAGAGGCTTGCGCTGATCCCGTTTATCCTAGACAAGAGGCGGTCGGTTGGATATTCAGGGACAGCGATGGAGGCTTAAAATGTCGGGCCGGGAGACGAGGCTTGAACAATCTCGGATGCCTACTTCAGGTATACGCAGTGGCTTGGGCAGGCTTGGGTAGGCTTGGTCAGACTTGGTGTTGGAGGGGTTTGGAGGGGTTATAGGGAGGGGTTAGCATCCTTTACAGGCATTACGGGGAGGGGCTCTGGAGGGCAGAGGAGGGGTCATCTTCACTACACGCCCCTAGGTCTCTTTTTGTAAAGTGTTACCTAAGATCGACCACTGCCAGCTTTATTGACAGCTTTATTTTGGTAGGTTCCTGGCCTGATCTACCACTCGATAACAGCCATCTAACCACTGGTCAGATACTGGTGATATATCGAGTCTGATCGAGGTTACCTAATCCAGAGGGCGTAAATGATAGTCCCCGATAATCCAAGCCAGTCTAAGTAAGCTCATCCGTTCGCGCGGGCTCTTGATCCTTTCAGATATCCTTCCAAGTGGTGGCACAGACTGTACGCCAAGGAATGCCTACCTCCCACCTACCTACAGTACTGTACATATCAGAAACAGTAGAGAACATGGGGAGTGTCAGCCTCCATCAACCTATGAAGTACCTAGCCATGATAGCGAACTCGATCAGTCAATACCTATGCCACCGTTGTTATGATCAGTACTGCCGCCAGCACATATCAGGGAAGTCCCACTAACCCGTGGGTGGGGTAGATTTGACGTCATTCTGCGGCCACTCTTGCAGCCACTTTTTTTCTTGTGCATTTTTTTGCGGCTGCCACGCACTATCAGGGGACACTGCCGAGCGACTAGGTATCACTGCTGCGGCGCCGTTGTCGTCGTTTGTCTCCACCATCGTTCCGGCTTGTTCTCGAGATGTCTAGGAATAGCCGGCGTATGGCGGCTGTCTACATCTTCACCGACGCCTGCCTGCCTGCCTACATCACGTACCTGTACGTCGACGTATCTGTACAGTTACGGTCAACCGGTCGGTGAATCATGTAGGCAAGTATAGTATCATCTACTGTAGCATGGTACGGTATGATACAGCAAATCCCGTCTTCGTCTGTCCCTGGGTTCTGCCTGAGCTTGGATCGTCATTCCGCGTTAATCTGTAGTCTGACACCATCAGTAGTCTCTACACAGCTATCGACAACCCGAAATCACCATTGTCTTTGGTACTTTATCCGACCACCAATATGCCTTCGTGTGTGACTGGACACCTACCTAGCATACCTACCTAACCGAGACACCCTGGCCAGGATCTTGGCGTGGCACATATCACGGCAATCCTGAAACTTCGAGAGAGAGGCTCGAGAGGGCACCGTACTGTACAACATACGTACAGTACGCCGTACCCGCCCATACCTACACCTATACCAGGTTAGCACCCATGCCTATCGCTTATTGAATTCCACATGAAAGGGCCTTTCTTCACGCTACCATAGACGCGCTACTATACCACTCCCCTTTGACATGTGCCTGCGTGATGACGTGGGTAGTGTGTCGTCATGGTCACCTCTTCATCACCCTCTACCAGCTTCATCAGCTATCGTTCAGATGTATGACGAGCGTGATAGCAAACGAGCGGTCAATTACGGGTATGGGAAAGGGACAGACAACGAAAAATAAAAACAAAAACAATGGAGATGATACTATTCCCGTGAATGATGGTGGAGATATCCCGATCGTGGCTGATGCGGTACTCTTTTACGTTATGGCTGGTGCTACTACTGTAGGTACCTACCTAGGTACTTACATAGGTAGGGCTGCTGTACTACACTCTAACGGATCATAGGTAGTAACTCAGCAGGAAAAACTAAAGGCAGAAAGGCAAGAGACAAGAACTTACAGTGTACCTAGACGACATGTGATTATCTCATCTTTTGGCGGCGTCTACCGCCGTTGTCTGCCCAGACTGCCCTCGCCGCCCTTGCTCAGTCGTTGGGGAGTGGAACACGCCATGCAGGACCAAGACAATGCGATGACCAATCGGCGCCAGGCTGCCCCCGATCACCACTCCTTCGGGTACGCCTCGTCCCACCACTTCATCAACCGCATCGGCAACCCGCGCGCAAACCTGTGTATCGTTTCTGTTGCTTCCGCTGAGTAATCTGGCCACGGCTGCTTCTCTTGTTGATCTGTGTAACGCACGGCTTATAGCCATATAGCAGCGAATAGGTACCTGACATGGCTTCCCGAGGCTTACCTCTACTGCCCACGGCAGCATCGTAACATGCCCCCGGTCGACAGTAAACTCTATGCCCGTCTTCTCGAAGCCAATATTAGTATAGTTCATGGTCCCTGATCCACACGCCCTGGTATCGATGTGGCATCATTCTACATACACTGGAAGGACCCTCACTTGGCGGCTGGTGTGCATCATCGATGCTCTGACATTCTCTGCTGAGGGATCTGGATACTGTTGAGAGTTGAGTTCAGAACTTTGTTCACTCATCCACACTGACTTCATCGCACCATCTAGCATCTAGCAGAAAATGCAACACAACCAACAACTTGACAAATATGCTGGATTTAGAGACTAAGAGAGTGGCTCGCATCAGCTTAATGGTTATGAGTCTATGACGGGGACGTCAATCCGAACTAGAGAATGTTAGCTCTCTCTTTGCTTGGTTACCCTCTCTTATGGTTGGCCCATGCCTGCCTAAACCTACAGTACATTATAGTAGTCCCAAAGACAGGGACGCAAACTTACCTCACCTACAGTAGTTTCACTAGTGCTGAGGTGGAATTCTCTTCATCGAAGATACCAGTTGGCCTCCTGTATCCTGACATCACCTTCGGCCAAATTCAGAGGCACGGCAGCAAGAAAAGAATAACGGGGTTGGGATTGATGCTGCTGCAGACCGAATGTGACTGTTTTGTCGGGTTATACACATAGGTGTATAGGCTCGACAGGTAGATGGGACAGGTCGGTATTCAACCTCTCTACCAGATCTTACCGCAAAGCTACAGCATCGCCACAAGTATCAAAAAGGTATCTATTTACACTCCCTCCCTACATATTCTACTACGTACAAGTACACATATACCTGTTGTCGCTCGAGGTAGGATCTACATCGAGTGGGTGACTATATCCACCTGTATTATCCACATCCACATCCACATCCACATCCACATCCACATCCACCTCCATACCTATCCACATCCCCAAATCCACTCTCACCCATACCTTCATTCCCGTTCGCACGTAGCCATCTGGGTGGCTACAGACGGGTTTGGCATCGCCGCACTAGTCAGACATTCCCATGTGTCTAACCATCGACGTCGTTGAACGTAGGTAATTGTCGATAGTCCGGACAGTACCGTACCTGGCACAGACAATTTACGCGCGTTTGGATTATAAATATCTGCTTTCCCCAGCTTTCCGTCCCCAGCTTGATCCTCTTCTTTTCTTCTCTAGTTCACTCTTCCTCCACTGACACCCACTCCGACCCATCAACTCCATCTTCTTGCTTTTATATCGCGTGTTGAGTTCGTTCCTTACCCATAACAAAATCCACTTCCATCATGTCTTCCCCACTGGACCAGTCCCAGAAGGGCCCCTCTTTCCACCGAGGAACATTTACCGACGAGATTGCAAATGCCCGGACCGATCTATCGGCGAAGTTGGTACTCGGCGACTCGGATACGGAATCACCTTCTGTTACAGAAGCAGCCCCGTCATTGAGTCCTGCCAGCACCTCAGCACCGTCATCTCCAGATATCGATGCTGTTGAATCTCCTATCACACCTCCCGACGCTAACGGCCATGTTGTTGGCGGCAAAGAACCCCTTGTGGCTGATAGTTTCGCCTTCGCCTTTGATATCGATGGCGTCCTTGTCCGAGGTGGTCGTCCAATTCCCGAGGCTATTGAGGCTATGAAGGTCCTCAACGGCAAGAACAAATATGGTGTCAAGATGTAAGTAGGACCTGAATGTATTTTGATTGGTTACCCCGAACTCTTGGCTCACCATGTTCGCAGCCCCTATATCTTCTTGACCAACGGTGGTGGTAAATCCGAAGCCGAACGATGCGGGGACCTATCACGCCAACTTGAAGTAGAAATTTCACCAGCACAATTTATCTGTGGTCATACTCCCATGTCAGAAATGGCCAGCAAGCATAACACCGTTCTTGTAGTGGGCGGTGAAGGTGAAAAGTGCCGTACCGTTGCCCAGAGCTACGGATTTAAGGATGTTGTCACCCCTGGCGATATCATCAAGGCCAATGCCGCTACCACCCCGTTCCGCAAGTTGACATCCGAGGAGCTGAAGAACTCCAAGGAGCGTGACTTCAGCGATGTTGTCATTGAAGCCATATTCGTGTTCGCCGACTCACGCGATTGGGCTGGTGATCTGCAGATCATCATCGACCTCGCCATGTCTAAAGGCGGCCGAGTCGGCACTCTTTCAGAGACCTTCGACGAGGGTCCACCAATCTACTTCTCCCACAACGACGTTGTTTGGTCAGCCGCCCACGAAAACGTCCGTCTTGGCATGGGTGCCCTGCGCGGTATTGTCGAGTACACCTTTAAGGAGGTCACCAAGGGCAAGACGCTCACAACACACGCCTTTGGAAAACCCCAGGTCGGCACGTTTGAGTTTGCTACGCGTCTCTTGAAGCGATGGCGCAAGAACGAGCATAACCTCAACTCTCCTCCCAACACGGTCTACTTCGTGGGCGACACGCCCGAGAGTGATATCCGAGGCACTAACCGATTCAATGAACGTGCCGAGAACGATTGGTACAGCATCCTCGTCAAGACGGGCGTGTATCAAGATGGTACCGAACCGGCTTACAAACCCCGTGTGACAGTCGACACCGTCCTAGATGCCGTGAACCATGGTATCGAGCGGGAAATGACCCGCCGGAAACAGCGAAAGCTTTCGTTGACGAACATGCCCACGCTTTCTCTCGACGATGGCAAAATGAATGATGTTCACATTCTCAGCCCTGCCATTGAGCGTGAGTTTGAGTTTGAGGCTTAAGTCACCCGTTCGTTCATTCGCTCTATCCATTCAAATAAACACCCATCCATTTACATAATCTTCTGACGAGATCACGACATCATTCCTTTCTTCCATCCTTCATTTTTAATATGATACCACTCGAGTTTTACTTCACAACTTTCCTTAGACCCCAATAGACATAGACTATGTTATAAACGGGGATCTTGATCGGGGATTTTCATCATCAATCGCCAACCTAAACTACCTCACTACCTACCTCTCTACCTTTCTCTCTATCTATCTCCCTATCTACCGACCTCTTACCATACTTGCATGTTATCGATTCAGTCATTTATTAGCATGGTGAAGGATATCACTCTTGCCTTTTTCACCACTACGGGATTCTCAAAGTCAGTTGGAGTTATAAATTATGGAATAGGCATGTTGAGGATTTTACTGGGAATACTGTACCGCGTTTGACGCGGGATTTCTTTTTAATAGAATATTTGGATGTGCAAATAGATGAATAAAATAAATTTTCAAATTAGATCTACGTTTTCGTATCTTTTTTGTCTGGCATGTGTCATAGCATATCATTAATTGGCTGTGATCAATTGATTCGCGAACGCCTTGCTTAGATATATGCGGTTTTCTTGGCCCAATTGCAATCCCCCTTTCACTGCAAATTCACAAACAAACCCCCATCAACAAGCAACTGCGCACCAGTGACATAGCCACTCAACTCCTCGCACGCAAGAAACACCGCAGGGCCCGCCAGATCCCCCGGGACCCCCGTCCTGCCCAGCGGGATCCTCCCTTCCATATACGCCCTCTTGCCGTCATCATTCAAGTCCTCCTCGTTCAACTGCGTCTTAATAGTCCCCGGTAAGAGCGCATTACACCGTATCCCGTGCTTCCCCAACGCCACGGCGCAGGATTGCATGAGACTTGTGACCCCGGCCTTCGTGGGCGTGTAGTGCGTCTGCTGCCCGCCGCCGACGAGGGCCGATATACTGCTTATCCCGATTATAGAGCCCCCCGGCGGCGATTGGGACGACATGTGCCGCGCCGCGGCTTGCACTATGTAGAATGCGCCGTCGAGGTTCGTGCGCACGGTGCGCGAGAACAGGTCGGGGGTCAGCGTGAGGAAGTCTGCGAAGGCGCAAATTCCGGCGTTCGAGACGCATATGTCGATTCGCCCGCCGTACAGCGATGATGCGTGCGACACGAGCGCCGCGCCCGTCGACGGGTCGGATACGTCGCCTGGGATGTGGGAGAGCGAACCGGGACGGATGGACTCTGCTGAGGAGAGCAGCGAGGCGAGGTGTGGAGCGTCGCGCGCGAGACCAAGGTGGTTGACTACTACGTTGGCCCCTTGTTTGACGTATTCGAGGGCGATGGCGCGGCCGATGCCTGTTGTGCCGCCTGTTATGATGGCTGTTTTGCCGGCGAGGAGGTTTGTTGGAGGCATGGTTGTGTTTAGGTGATGGGAGGAAGGGAGGGGGTTTGGGGGGTCTATTCGTGCAGATTCGAGGCAATTGAACACCTAGTGGAATGATGAGTTGGTATACAATGACGAGATCTAGGTACGGTAGATGTTTAGAAGGTAGGTTGACGTCGTGGGGTGGTGATGTCGATGCCCCTCATCATAGATTGGTGCGGTCTTGTGTTCCCTTCTTTCTAAACTGGCTCTTCACCAGGTCAATCGTGCGTATTATTTACTGATTTTACTATTTCACTTATCATCATGATGCATACGACGTGGTGCACGGGATTGTGGACAGTGATAAACGTCCTGTCATTCATCAATTCATTATTTGATAGCTTTAGATTTGCGAATATCGTCTTGAATAACTTGTTCCAATAGAGGATCCACCATCACACGCTCGAATTACACAATACCACCAAGAATCTGCCGATCTGCTCAACCATATCTCATGGTGAAATCTGTGAAGGCGAATAGGTGAAATGTATAGTACTATCGTGATCACTGACTCGTCACTCGCGCCGTGCTGCACCCTGTGCTAGAACCCTCACCATCACCACCCCGCGTATGTCCATGTCAACGGTTTCTCGGTGTAGAAACGACCGAGCTTCGACGGGGTCTCAAAAGTTCATATTGCCTCCATCTTCCCCACAATCGTTACTATATTGGCTGGTGAAGGTTTCGACTAGTCTCGTTGAGAGCAAGCTTTCAGTCCCGACTAGAGCCGAAAGGAGTAGCGTGCACGTCCGGGGATGAGTGATCACCCGACCTCGGTGTTGCTATGAAATGGACAAAGGGATGAACAAGTAACGATTCAGACTAGAATACTCTGGCCCCAGATCAGATGGACCGAATTGACGGCTACTACCTTACCTAGGCCGCTCTCTGATGGAAGACGGTCACAGAGTGATGGGGAATAGGAAGCACCGGAGACGCGTCCGTTCAATTTGTCCTAGTTTCCCTTATTCTATGTAGATGCACTAAATACGTACTATGTATTAGAGAGATCGGAGCGTCTCCGGGTCATACTTAATCTTGGTGGGGGCGAAGCGTAACAGGACACATGCCAATCATGATGACCTACTTTTTGAGTTTTGGGGGGGGCTTTTTCTCTGTTGGAGAGGACGAAAGGAGGAGTTGAGGAGTTGGGCCAAGAAATGTATAAGAAGTCGGCAGATCTGGCGCCGACCAAAAAGTGGCCACAGACTACATGTAGGCTTCTTCTTCTTCTCGCTTCAAGTTTCCTCAATAGAATAGATACCATTCAAGCGATCTTGTGTTCCTCCGTGTACGTTGTTGTTGTTGTTGTTGCTGCTGCTGCTGCCTCTTGTCACGAGATAAAAGAAAAGAAAAGAAAAGAGCCGAGAAGGTCGAAGGCGCGCGATTGTCCGACTCATCACTCCTTCTCTTATCGAAGGCGTTGTTCAACGTACAACGAGTTGTGCTTCTTGAACTTATATCTGGCTGTTCCCTTCCCCCACACTTGCTCCAACGTTCCGACATCACGTCGGCACCAACATCAACGACGGTAGAAAGAGAGAGAGGCGATAAGAAGTTCGACGAGAGACAGACTCCCCATCATATATCGGCGACATATCCGATCAACTGCGGCACGACCCAGAGCTCGAAACCTCCCTTTTACTTTCTGCCCTTGCTCAAGCACCAGAGGCAGTGATAATGGCTTCGGTCAGACAGTTCCCTACCATCAAGGCTGTTCGGTCATTCATCATAGATGGTGTCGGATCAGGTACGCATTCCTCCAGAAGTCTTCTTCTGGATGTCCTATGTTATATATGAGTTCAAGCTGACAGGGGCTTAGGTGGTGATTATCACAATGTGAAGGGAGGCCATTGGTAAGTTGACGAGCGAGGCAGCTCTAGGTCAGGTACGGATTTGTGGCTTACACCACACGTCTGTGATAGGTTGATCGATACGGATATCTCGACGCCTGCCTCCATCTGGGAGCAGTACAAGAAGTCGAGAACAAGCTGGGGTATCAACGTCTTAGGATCCTTCTTGGTGGAGATAGAAGCTTCGGATGGCACCGTGGGGTTCGCAACAGGCTTTGGAGGTAAGCTTTTTCTGTCTTTCCATTCTCACCTTTTTGCAAATACCGTCAACCACGTAGAACGATAGAACAGATCGACTAAACCATATCATCTAGGTCCCCCAGCATGTTGGCTTGTCCACAAGCATTTCGAGCGATTCTTGATAGGCGCAGACCCCCGTAACACCAACCTCTTATTCGAGCAGATGTACCGTGCCTCCATGTTCTACGGTCGCAAAGGTCTGCCGACGGCTATCATCTCCGTCATCGACCTGGCCATCTGGGATCTTCTTGGGAAGCTCCGAAATGAGCCCGTGTACAAGCTCATCGGTGGTGCCGCCAGGGAACGACTGGACTTCTACTGCACGGGTCCAGAACCTGCAGCTGCCAAGGAAATGGGATTCTGGGGTGCAAAGGTCCCTCTGCCATACTGTCCAGCTGACGGCCACGCGGGGTTGAGGAAAAACGTCGAATACCTGCGCAAGCAGCGCGAGGCCGTGGGACCGGACTTCCCCCTCATGGTCGACTGCTACATGAGTCTCAACGTATCGTACATAATCGATCTCGCCAAGAAATGCGCCGATCTAGACATCAACTGGTGGGAGGAGGTCTTGAGCCCCGATGACACGGATGGATTCGAGCAGATCAAGCGCGCGCATCCTCAACTCAAGTTCACAACAGGCGAGCACGAGTATTCGCGGTACGGATTCCGTAAGCTGATCGAGGGTCGCAATCTCGACATCATCCAACCCGACGTCATGTGGCTGGGTGGATTGACGGAGCTGCTAAAGGTGTCAGCTATGGCAGCGGCATACGATATCCCCGTCGTTCCACATGCCAGCGGCTCGTACAGCTACCACTTTGTCATCTCGCAACCCAACACGCCCTTCCAGGAGTACTTGGCCAACTCACCTGATGGAAAGAGCGTATTGCCCGTCTTCGGCGACTTATTCCTGGACGAGCCCATTCCTACCAAGGGATACCTCACTACCGCCGACCTTGATAAGCCTGGATTCGGCCTCACTCTCAACCCGGCCGCTAGAGCGAAGCTGATCCCATCTGATTATCTGTTAAACCCGCCCCCGACAGCTGGGCTTAGCCTTAAAGCTGAGGTTGGACCCGAAGCACCGACTGGTCCTGACGCAGAGGATAGAAAGCCAATCGATGCGACAACTGAAGCTTCAGCTCCCGTCGAAGAGACGAAGCCAAGTGAGGGAGCAAGTCTTGTAGACACCATCACGAACGGTGTGAAGACCATGGCAGCTGCATAAGCTTAAGAATCTGCTTTAGGGAGAATATGGAAGTATATAAACTATTATTCAGGTGTCACACAGATACCATTGCCATATAAATCATTGTTTGTTAACGAAGTTGGTGTACTGTGGGTGTACCTATCTGAAACAGCATGACGACATTGGAAGGTCGAGGATACGAAGGAATGCCATGTCGTGAGCCACGCATGGGGATGAAGAGAGCAAATATTAAGATACCGTACTTAAGTCTAGTAGATGACGAATCTCAACCATTAAATCTATTCTATTATAGCTGCTAAGGCCCGTCCGCCATTCGGAATCCTTCCAGCACCCGGTCTGGGAAGGGAGGTCTATATTTTTCTATATATAAGCCCATCGGTCCTCGAAATTCCGAGAGGCGCCGGCATGTCTCAGATAAGCGGTGGCTAAATAGTCTCATTATATCTACCTACCTATATAGACCTACTGTAGCCGGGTGACTAGTCAGCCTGAACTGAGACATTTCATTCTTCAGCATGTACGACCTCGCCTTGGCCTTCCGTACAACAACGACGACATACGAGCATAGATATAAGCGTGAGCATAAGCATGCGATTCGTGATGCGACGCATGTCTCAGGAAGCGCGGCGGATTACATACGGAAAGGGATGCCTATACTTGTAAGGAGAGTGAGTTAGTTGTTCTGTCATTTATCCAGGCCTGCTTTCGCCATTCGGAGGAGGGTATATGTCACGATTGAAAGAGTGATAGTACCCAATATTCAGGAATCGATGGTTCCAGTATCTATTCCTCTACCTGGGCATCTATCTCTCTTGCTCCTGCTGAATAGATTGCACACACTTGAAGAGTGAAGATCAACGAAGTCAGTCTTTTGGGTATTCTGTCCCTTCCGTCTATTCTACTCTGTACTACACTTTCACGTAACGTTCACCAGTTCCTCTAGCAAATGTCTCACCACCTGCTCACCTACTCACCTGGCTATCCGTCTTCGCATACCTAAGCCTGTATAACCTCGTGTAGAATACCTCTTCGTGTCACACAGACGACACCTTCAGCTAGGTATGATGTACACCTACATGGTTGTGTGCGCGATGCTTCTCTTAGAGACCCTACTTAGTGGCAGCACTTCTAGCCGTCAACTTGGTTATACATCCCTATTTTCCCCGACTCGTTGGATTTCCCAGCCCCCATTTTCTTTGCTGCATGTTCACGCCATCTGTTTGAACCCCAACTGACAGGGTTCTTTCTCCGGCCCAGACGCACGACCGGTCAGTCTTCCCCGCATTCGCCATGGGTGATGGGAGGGGATTGTATAGTATATTTACTGTGTACTTGACTATACTGGTCTTGGTTCGGGCATTTTGGCATCTCATACCTAGCACGCGATATCTATTCGGAAGTGAAATTGAAGGAAGGACAGACAGGTGATTGAATACTTGGCACATCTGTAGGTCGTGATTTTATATCACATTGTCCAGAAGTAACGAGGGGTCTCCATGAACATTCGACTCTTGGTGATCCAGTTACGTATCATCGCCAGGTATATCATACCGGTATGCGTTATTAAGTGCTTGATTGATATCGAGGTCGCTATCGGTGTTCGAATTGGTGTTGTACAGTATGTCGTCTGTGCTTTTATTTGTACTCCCATCTTTTTCTCGCTCTGCCTCTAATTTTTGACATTGCCTACGGCATCTCATGCCTCGTAACGTAGATACGTACCTAGGAAAGTATGTATGTATGTAGGTATGTAGTAAGGCGTCGTCATATAATTACCTATGAAATAGCTCCATCACCATCTACCTATCTCACTTAAACCAGGAGTAGATTCTTATAGTTTTAATGATCATGGACGAGGGTCAAAAGTACGCCGGCCCCCAACTCGACAATCCAATCCTCCACTAAAGAGGAACAGAGCCGGCGACCCGCATTCGACCCCAGATTGGCCTCGGCCTTGATGGGGAAACAAACCCCAGAAAAAACGATGGGATTTTCCCTCCATCTACCCTCTAAGTAATCTGGGCCATTACCGTACTGCTGACTGCTGCTGCAGCATAGTCTCGCTCTCCCCTACTTCCTCTACTTAACATTAGCCCGAGCAGCTTCTTAGTTACTTGCTTTCGCTCGATCATGTAGCCGAGCTGGGTTCAATTCGTTCGCAGACAATCACGCTTTACCCGTTCCTGCGGGCGCCGATACAATCCCGACACAGTTTAGTCGAGACCTGCGTGTTGCTGTGTGCGTGTGCGTGCGCGTGTGTATGTGTGTGTGTGCGTGTGTGTATTAGTTCACACGGTCCTATCAAATGCAGACCGTCCAAGTCTCGCAGGACGGCGGCCTGCAGCTACAACACCAACATCAACATCAACAACAATCACAAACACAAACACAACCACAATCACAGCAACACCAGAATCACCACCACCACCATCATCATCATCATCAACCACAGCATCACCAAAATCGCCGTGCTGAAGACACTCATCATAATTCACGAAGTACGGAAACTGGAGCTGGAGCTGGAGCTGGCTCTGGTACTATTGAACATGATAGCGACGATGGAAATGCTCTCATAAGTGCTGATGAGAACGACATCGAAGAAGATCATGGAAGTCCTGGCGCTTTACGGAATGGGAAACGAAAAAGACCTATTTCAGTTTCGTACGTCTTTTCTTAACCGTTTTGTGAATTCTACATAGTCTCTATACTCGTCGCTATTATCCTTGACATCCACTCGGGACAATTCCCAATTACCTCGCCTCATCCAACGATAACCACCAAAAATATACTCAAATTGGAGTTTTTATCCTGTCCAATTCATCATGAAATCCCGAGCGCCCTTCTTTCTGACTAAGCTGTACTAACATCGTACCACTTAAAGCTGCGAGACATGTAAACAGAGAAAAGTAAGACTCAACATTGGACCGCTTCTCAACAGAGCCTCAACAAAGCGTGACTGCATTTCATCTATATCAGCAGAAATACGCTCATCCATTCATATATCTGCATTGACTAACCCGAGGTAATTAGGTAAAATGCGACCGAGGTCAGCCATCCTGCGGTTGGTGTCGCCGTAACTCGGTGAGCTGTGAATATCGTGAGCGCAAGAAGCCCGGTCTGAGAGCTGGTTACGGCAGGGAGCTGGAGCAGAGGTTGGACAGGCTCGAAGAGATTCTGCGGTCTCACTCGGAAATCTTAAATACAACCTTCATAAGCTCATCCCCTACCCACCACGGCCTACCACCGCCTAGTGTACGGAACAGTAATCCTAGTATCCCCAGCGATCATGGTACTCCGCGAGAGCCTACTTCTCTCTTCCGTCCTAACGAGTCTTTGCGGACTCCCCAGGCCGAGACGGCTCTATTCATACAGAAGCCCATCTCCTTCTCCGCCGCGGCGCAGGGTCCTGACTTTGGTATCCCGCCGACAACCTCATCTATGCATTCCGTGAATGATGGCTACTCTACCCATATACAACCAGCTGGAATATCTCCTTCTAGCCATTTATCCACCACCTTACAGCCGAGCGCCGCCGCCCAAGATTATTACGGCCAGCCACATCAACAGGCGTTGCCATCACCTGGGTTAAGTGTAACCCAGAGTCAGACACAGATTTCTTCGGAGACAGAACTCCCGCCGTATGATCTATTGTACGCGCTGGCCGATCTATACTTTAAGCACATCAACACGTGGTGTCCTATACTTCACCGGAAGACAACGTTGGATTCCCTCTTCGGGCCATCGACACTGGATGAAGCGGACAGAGTACTGCTGCATGCTATCGTAGCCACGACCCTCCGTTTCTCGACGGATGCGAGACTCACAGAGGAACGAAGACGCCATTATCACGATGTCTCGAAACAAAGAGTTCTCCTCTACGGTCTGGACAACTCATCCGTGAAATCACTCCAGGCACTCGTCATACTCGCCCTCGACCTATGCGGCAGCAGCAACGGTCCCCCAGGATGGAACATCATGGCCCTGATCACGCGGTCAGTAGTCCAGTTGGGTCTAGCAGTCGAAAGCAATTCTCTCTCGGTATCCCCCCACTACGCATCCATCTACACGCTACGGGCCATGGTCCTTCCCGAACCGAAAGATTTCATCGAGGAGGAATCGAGAAGACGCCTCTTCTGGATGATTTACCTATTAGATCGGTACGCTACCATCGCCACGGCATTTGACTTCGGGCTCGCCGACAAGGATATCGACCGCACGCTCCCCTGCCGCGACGACCTCTGGATCAAGAATCAGAAGATCGACACGCGGTGGTTCAACTCCTCCTCGCAAGACCAGCAATCCCCCCTCGACCACCAGCCCGACCACGAGATCAATCGCCCCGAGAACCTGGGCGCGTTCTCGTATTATATCGAGATATTGGGCATCCTCTCCAAGATCCACCAATTCCTGCGCAAGCCCGTCGACATCGGCGCGCTCAACGATGTCGAGCAATGGCAGCTGCAGTACAAGGACCTTGACAACATGCTCTCGTCCTGGAAATTCGGCCTCCCCGGCGAATACGGCAACATGGCGAAGCTATTCCAGCCCGGGTGCGGGAAGACGCTGAACGCGGGCTGGGTCATGCTGCACGCGACGTATCACACGGCCGTCATCCGATTGCATTCCTCGGCCGCGTATCCGACGACGCGGTCCCCGATCTTCACGCCCTCGTACAGCGCGAGCCAGAGATGTCACGGCGCGGTGGAGAATATCGCCGCGTTAGGCGAGTTCGTGGTGCAAAACGCCATGTTGACGAAACTGGGCCCCCCGTTCGCGTTCACGCTTTGGGTCGCGGCGCGCTTGCTCCTTGTCCACGGGTCCACGGTGGAACACAAGCTCGCGCCGCAGATCGCGTTCCTCGTCGACACGTTGCGGGAGATGGGGCGGTACTGGCCCGTCGCGGCGCGGTACTGCAAGTTATTGCAGCGCGTGCTGGACGAGCACTCCGATAGCGAGAGGGCGGTGGGCCAGACGGGGGAGCGCGTCACGCCGTCCTCGGTGAAGATCCTCGCCGACATGCGGCGGACGGCGTTCGATCTGGACTTTCTGATCTCGCGACAGCCGAGACATGTCATCGCGACGAACGGGAATGGTGGCGTGGGCGGAGGTTCGGCGGCGAGCCGGATGCCGAGCGTCACGCCTGCGCGAACGCCCGCGCCGAACGAGCTAGAGTACCTTGACGTTTTCGACTTTTTCAACGTCCCGCGGTTACCCATGAGTCATGAGAACTCCGCCGGTCCACCGGGCAGTAGCAGTGGTGGTGTTGGTGGCGGGGAGAATATGAATGTCGATTCTGGCCTGGTGAATAAACTCGAGGCTGGTGGGGGCGGGGGTGTGCCGAATGAGTTTAATATCACGAATTTTATGATGGATGCTAGTAGCGATTGGCTTTTCAAGGCAACTCCTTGAGAAACAACGGCAACAACAGGGAAACGAAACAAAATGCTGAAAGGCAATGGAATATGGAAAAGAAGGATAGGGGAGTTCGTGTATATAATTTATCTATCTATTATACCTCGCTGGAACTGGGGTGGAAGGTCTACAGTCTACATGGTACATACTAATGGTTATAGGAAGGGTCTGGTGACGGGGAATGAGATGGATGACTTGTTGCGCGTTGGTATTCACACCCACATAGGTAATTTGAATAGTTGCCAACCGTTTAATTTAACAAGCAACTACTCTGACCGAGGCAACTCCAGCCCATGATTCATCCACTCTCCAAAGAATGTCTTCATTGTAGCTCCTCACTGGGTCATTCATCGTCGTCGTCTATCGAGCATAGGAAGCCAACCATCACAGCAATGAAATAAAAAGAGAATTAAGCCTTATTATTCACCCATTAAAAAAGTCCATCTATCACAGCAAGCCGTGGAAAGGCAGTAGACATCAATAAATCATTGAATTCATATATACAACCCCTACCAGCCATAAACGCCAATGCTACGTTGAGGTGCGTACGCCAGAGCTTATTGCTTATTTCCATCTCTAGCTCAGTTTAGCTTATTAATACCCCCGGACGGATATCGTCTACCCAATTAGCCGTGTTAAAACAACCTCTTTCGCCAAACCAACCCCTTTGATATGCGTGACTATATGAGATACAACAGACATCATCATCATACATCTATCTTCTCTGTCCAAGGCACTGGATACGTGCCCACCCAGTCCGACACCTCAGCGCGCAACTGGACAATCTCGGAATCCTCCTCGCCATTGCCTAGATAGTCGAAGAAGAACTTGAGCCTGTACTTCTCACCCTTGTCCTCGGCTGCCTTGCGGGCTGACTTATCGATGCGTGCGGCGATCGTCACGGCACGACCGATAATGTCGGCGACTCGTGTAAAGTCACTCTCAGTGAAGCCCCGTGTCGTCATGGCTGGTGTGCCTATCCGTAGTCCACCAGGCATCATGGCTGACTTGTCACCAGGGACCGTGTTCTTATTACTGGCTACACCAACGAGTTCAAGAACGCGCTCTACACGGGCACCATCAACGCCCTGTGGCTTCAGATCTACTAGCACCAAGTGGTTATCAGTACCACCACTGACAATCTTGAAACCCAGGCCACCGTTGTTCTTAGACTCGCTGAGGCGGGCTGCTAACGCTTTCGCGTTAAGGAGGGTCTGTTCCTGATATGCGCGGAACTCTGGGGTCTGGGCTTGCTGGAGGGCGACGGCCAGAGCGGTTATCGTGTGGTTATGGGGACCACCTTGGTGACCGGGGAAGACTGATTGGTTGATGGGTCCTTCGAGGTTATACATAATCTCTTCTTTGGTTTTGGGGTTGACCTTGCGGACACCTTTCCTGTAGAAAATCATGGCTCCACGAGGACCGCGCAAACTCTTGTGTGTGGTCGTGGTTACGACATCTGCAAAGTTGAAGGGGCTGGGAATAACCTTGGCGGCAACCATACCCGAGATATGAGCCATGTCAGCTACTAAATAAGCATTGACCTTTTCAGCAGTGGTCTTCATCTGCTTGTAATCGATAAACCGGCTATAAGCACTGGTACCGGCAATGATGATCTTGGGTCGGTATAATTGCGCTAACTCGTCAAGCTTTTCATAATCGATGAGGCCGGTCTCCTCGTTTAACCTGTAGGGTACAGTCTCGAAGTATTTGGATATGGAGGATATCTTTTTGGTAGGAGTCTGATAGCCGTGGGAAAGGTGACCACCGTGGGGGAGATCAAGCCCCATTAGACGATCGTGAGTATTCATGAGGGCGGAGTAGACGTATAGATTGGCAGGAGAGCCGGATAGAGCTATAATCAAGCGATTGATTTTAGACTGGCGTAGGAGACAATAAGAGTAAGGGAAAAGAGACAGAGGGGAGGAAAGAGCACGTACGCTGTACATTAACACCCCATTCCTTTTCATTCAAACCGAAAGCTTCCAGCGCCCTCTGCTGACATAGTCGTTCGGCCTGATCTATGAATTCGTTTCCTCCGTAATATCGTGCGCCGGGATAACCTTCCGAGTATTTGTCTGGCGCAAATAGTTAGTCATGTTGATATAATTGTCGCATCTGTGTCTGGCATACTCTGCATAACACTGCCCAAGGCATCGAGTACGGCTTGGGAGGTGAAGTTTTCGGAAGGAATGAGGTTGATGAAATGCTTTTGCCTGTTTTTCTCCTAGAGGCCATTGTCAGGAGTCTGGGACTTAGAGGTATAGAGCTTGGGTCGTGGTGGGAATTGCTATGATACGGCGGGCATCACTGGGATGTACCTTTTCGATTATGTCAAAGACGGCGGGGTCGGCCTTTTGGAGCTCGGTGGATAGTAACTGTCATGGTTGATGCAAGGTTAATCAATTGAATCACAGGGTATAGAATTCAAGAGCACCAACGAATAGTAAGACATTGTGACAAGGCCGAGGGGTGAACATACTCGCTGCTGGCCATCGAGGACAGTAGAATACTGAGCTCTTCTGGCGATGGACTGAAATCTTGGCAAAGAACGGAGAGTGCGCGAAGCACCTCGAATACTGGATAGAGAGGACATGGCGAGCGACGAAGGATTAATAGTAGAACGAGAGGTGGATTGCCCTTCTCACAGGCGACACTGGCAGCGATGTCGACACACTCTGGCCTGGGCTGGGAAGGGTGGTGACGTGTGGCGATGGTGGGGGAACGAAAGTTGGAGGGAATGATATCTCTCTTTTATCCGGATATGGCAACAAAAGAGTTATAGTTGTCTGTAGGGTCGGCCTCGAATCTCTGCGACGCCAGAGTAAATACTTCTACCTGACTCGGCCAGAAAGAAATCTGCAACTCGAGGGTAGGTAGAGGGATATGAGAGGTTGAGTCGGATTTTTGATAGAAAGAGACGAAGGGACTGTCGACCGATGCGATATGAGTGGGGCCGAATCTGGGGTATCCTTTTGTGTTCGATACTCGGACCTTCAGCAGAAATCCGGCGGTGTGAGTGGTATGCAGTACTATTGTTCGGATCCCGAGAAAGATATAGTAAGGTTCATGTTCAAGTATATTCAATCGAGCCCGCCAATGCTTGTCTATCATGACGTCTGTTCTCTTAGTATTGGGTTTCTTATTTGACACTGGTTCCTCAGGAACAATTCAATTCAATTTCTACGAGGATATCTACTTATACTTAGTCAAGGCAATTCTTAAAATCTCCTTCTTACGTACACCTAAATACATCCCGGTAAAGCACAATCTCCTCCCCATTCAACTATTCCCATCACAAGCTTCTCCAAACGCCTCGCTCGGAAGGGTGTCCGAGGTACTTACTTACCACAGGCGAGTTCGGAGGATCACTTTCAATTACCCACTGTAAGTGGCTGCCATACTCCCCCCAGATCCCCCCCATTATCAGCACGTGACAAAGACCCACCTCAAATCTCTCCCAATAAAATAATCCACACCAGGCAAATCCCCCTTCTTCTCTCTTTTCCCTTTCTTCTGTATCAACTATAATTGGGCGTGACGAGTCCGCTTACCATTTCATTTAAGCAATAAGTTTCCGCGCCTCAAAACGCGGGAGCTATGTGCTTCATGTCCCCGGCGGCACCTCACCACCTAAAGGGGACAATGTGAAGATATCTGATCCAATCAAAAGTTGATCATTCATGCGTGTGTATGCGTCTATCTTCAATCACGACGCTCGTTTCTCTATTTTTTGATGTTGATATTATTAGCTGGGGGCTCAGGGGTAGATTTTAACTCTAGTAGTTATATTTCTATAGATGCATCTACCTTGTTCGTTGTACACCGTCTCTTTTATGTAGCTTGCTATTGCCTAATTAAGGCCAGTGAACACGACACGTTGTGAGGTGGTTATATCGCTAACTCTGCTCCATACATAGTACATGGTGATTAACATGGGCCGCCGAATCAGGAGCCACAGTCTAGCAGTGACAATCACTTGAAGTCGTGTAGAAATTTCTACTCGAACTTTATCTGACAGTCAACCGCCGCAATATGAAGACATCCATAATACCCGTGGGCATCTTTGCATGCATTACAGTCACTTTCTCACATCGAGGGGGAAAGACGATCACGGGAGAAAAGAGACATTGGACGTGACTTGGACAGAAACTTATACTAGTAGTAGCTGTCCAGATCGTGGATTCCGTTTTTTCAATGCCGTACATGCAAAGCAATACAACCCAATAGGCTGTAGAGGAAAATAGTAGAGACCCAACCATATACTCCGAATGCAGCCGTCTCAGATCAAAATCCGGGGTTCCATATGACATGCCGCCTAGCCTGGCATCTATGGCGTCTAGCTGCAGAATGTTCACATGGCGTGTCGTCGTTACCACGTCCCATCGACCTCCCGTCGCCGTCCTGCCCCACCAGCAGTAGCACCACCACAGCCATGAAGGATGCTCAATCCCGATGGTGCGTTTATGCCTCCTCCGTCTCACCAGCCAACTCTTGGCGCTTGGCTGCTTGTCTCTCGGCCTTGCGCTCACGGGCAGCCTTGTTCTTCTGTCGTCTAACGTCCATCTCCTCGGTGATAGCACGCTCACGGGCCATCTCAGCCTTGGCACGGTGGATCTTGGACAAGTCAGCATACATCGTTTGTTGCACTGAACAGTGCAGGAAAAAAAAACGTACGTGTTCGACGAGAGCACGCTTGTGCTTGAAGGCGTTACCCTTGCTTGAGTGGTACAACTCGTGGTAGAGGTGCTTGTCGATCTTTCCGCTGGCACGGTACTTTACGAGGAGACGTCGGAGAACACGCTGGCGGCGCATCCATAGCACTTGTCTGAATAGCGGAGGGTCAGTCCACAAGTCGCACATACGGTGGCAAATCAGAGGACCTCTCTGGCGCCGGGTGGTATGACATACTGAGGCATACGGGCATCGGCAGTACCCTTTCTCTTACCGAAACCACGGTGGCGACCATCCCGTCGGGCCAGGTTTAGCTCACGGGCTCGGGATCGGGAGTGCATGGTGACGGGCTTGCGGATGATGAGGCCATCGCTGACGAGCTTGCGGATGGTCTGGCGGGAGTTGGCGTTGGAGATCTCGCTGACCTCGTTGGGGTCAAGCCAGATCTTTCTCTTACCGCATCCGATGACGGAAGCGGCGAGGCGCTTCTGTGTGCGTAGGTTGACCCTGCAGTAGAGTGATATGTCAGTCTGGGTCTACATATACTCCCAAATGAATATCATGCTATGGCAGACTCTTGCAACCACCTAGCTGCATGCGGCCCAGTGTTGGCGTTGCGATGGGGAGAGGAGGAAGAGAGATGCGATATTTGTGGTTCGTGATAGTCGCTAAGATGGATGACGAGCAGAGTGGCGAATCACGATTGGTGTAGGATGAACGGGCTATTCATGTTGTCGAGGTTGTCGTCGTATGAAGTCGATTGCCGCTGCGGTCGTCTGTGTCTCACAGGCCAATCTATCGTCTTTCGAGTCTCTGTGTCGCCATCTCTCTCGCTTCTCCTCTCCCTATCGCTCTGCCTTTTCCTCCCACCTCTTCCATGCTCGAGTATGCAAGCATCAATACGACCACGACGATCATCATGGTCGACACATCCATCGCACCGATTGATTTAGAGGGAGAGCGGTGAAGTTTAGGTCGACTTACATCTTGATGATTGAGATTTGGTGATGGCCAAATGGGTGCTGTGGTGGTTAGTAAAAAAGTGGTCGAAGGAGGTCGTGCTGGGACGCAGAGAAGGTTTGGATGTAAAATTGATTCAGCACCAGCGAGTAGTGGGTGAGCAGAGTCGGTGTCCCCCTCAGTGAAATGCGCTAAGCTGTTCCTTCCAGGCTGGGGCCACACAGAATTTCTGACCGGATCTTCCGCTTTTGAGAGGTTGTGTAATTTTTGCCAGTTTGGGCCCCGGCTTTTGTCCGGCTAAGCGAGTTTGCCCTCTCTTATCGTCACCTGACCTTCCACGCTTATCATCACTCACTTAGTAATCGTTATCAGCCAGGCCTTATCGACTACCTGCTACCTACTTAGGTATCTTTGTATCTTGATCAAAAAAAGTGATACATCTTCTCATTTGGAAGAACGAGATCGAGCTTAAGCGCTGATAATTCCATCATGATTCTATCAAGAGGAAGCGTATGGGTCAAACACAGGTGAGACGATATCGTTATTCACACAAAGATGTCTATGCCTGATATCAAATGATCTGGTATCTACGTTGATTGCCTCAATCCTTGATGTTAAATTGGAGTTCGGATTTCAATCATGCTACCAATGCTATGCTATGCCATGCCATGCTGTGTTATTGCTGCCCTTTGCCGCCATGCTTATTTATGCAAGAAATAGCAACCCAAGTTGACTTCAAGAAAACATATAATAAAATCAATTGTAAACAGAGATGGCACAAAGAGGAGAAAACGGAACGAGTTCGAGCATCATCATCATCATCACTACGGGGCCGCGACTAACGGCCCATGATTTGTGAGATAGTCTGTCTCTCCCACATTCGATCATTGTACGCGTAGAGATGCGGGAGCTGGGAGTGGATAGCCCCATGAGCCCCCTTCTTGATCCCGCGTCCGTTATCCCCTGGTATGAAAGAGAAAATATCACGTAGAACGGGCCAGAATGCAAAGTCAGCTAGACTTGGTTCCGGGCCGGCAATGAAGGCACTCCCTGCGGCGTATTCTTCCCAAGGAGCCAGCAGCTTTGCTATCCTTGTTACATCTCTAGTCTCTTTGTTTGGCGCGGACGGGAGAGGATTTGGGGAAGAAGACCGCCATAGATCTAGAAGCCCCATACCCTGCTCAAATCTGTCACTAACGACAGCTTTCACATTCAGCGTCTCCTTTTTGCCGTGCAGCTTGTCAACGTATAGCATGATATCCCGCTGCCCGGATATGATCGTCCTCCCCTCGTCGTTATCCACGAACTTAACTGGCACATCAGAGGCAGTATTAGCTTCTTTAGCGGCTTCATTTCCAGAGGTACTAGTGGCGACGGCATGGTTGCCTGTGCCGCGATCATCCCCTCCAGACAAACTGCCAGTAGCATAAGAAACGCCTAATTCAGCCAGTAGGGTACGCAGGCGCATATTTACCACCGCATCACCAGATAGGAAGAGTCTTTTTGCAGCAGTCATGTGTAGAACATCAAAACCGGTGCCATAATGTTCATTCCAGTCGAACTCCGTGTCTCGGTTTTCGCGTCCGAAGGCCCTGAGCATCGCGATAGCACTATCCGACAATCCGTTAATGACGGGCTTTGCACTTTCACGTGTCTTAGCTGTCGCGCCTTGTCCCCATATCCGCGCTTCATCTCCAGTCAGAAATGTAGCGATCTGACGGAATGTCAACGATATGCGGGCACCATCATACGCGAGCTCCGCAGGCTCCTTGTCGCGGGGTGCTCGCTTGTCTTGCTTAATTCCGTGCAGCCAACGCTCATTCGTTGCCAAACCCATTTGGAAGAGTGAATTGTGTGGGAGTCGGGCACGCTGGACTTGTCGCTTGAGGCTGTCTCCATCTCCATTCCCACGCTCGACCTTGGGTTCACCACCCAGATCCTCATCACTCTTTGCCGAACTTGACTTGGCAGATTTGGGTTCCCGCTTCGTGCGCAACGTCATGGTGCGCTCCGCACCAAGGCTGACGTTAGCGATGAAGCTGCCCCGCGCAATGTCAAGGGTCTTGTCGCTATGTTCAGAGATATAGTCTGTACCGGCACGGTAGAGCTGAATGAGGACATGGTTAAGTGGATGACCTAATTTCTTCTCGACGACAGCACGGACTGCATCCACAGCGGGTGTGAAGGGATGTAGAGGTGGGCTTTCGTCGGCCGGGTGGCGGTAGACGGGTTTGCTGCCATCGGACTCGACCAGACCCTGCACGGCGACAAGACGAGGAACTTCCCCACCTTGATGCGACATCCGCTTCCAAGCAACCTCGGAGTGGATGCGCTCAAACATTGTATCAGAAAGGTCCTCTGGGAGAATGTTATATATGACTTTTGTGTCACCTTCGCAAAGCGGTGAGCTTTGCGCATCTAATTGCGGTGTCATCGTGCTAGGTTTGATTGAACTTGAATTTGACTTTTCAGTTTCGTTTTGATTGGTGTTTGCTGTATTCAAGGATTCGGTCGATTCTGTTGCGCTGTCCTTGGGTCTTAGTTTAATATTCGTCGCAGGCGCCTCTAGTGACTCATATAGCTCCCTTGATGAGCTTAAATTGATTGTATTGTTCGTCGTAGCTAAAAGGTCTTCTATATCTTTCCACCTACTTCGCTCTTTGTCAACGCTGTCAGCATTCTTGGCAACACTAGCGTCGTTGTTGCTGCTCTTGTTGTTACCAGTGTTCAGCTCTGACGAGGGAACAGGCGGGGTGGTTCGTTGGGATTGCTGGGATCTCCCCTTCTTAGATGATAATGGTGTTGTTGGATTCTGTGATAGACGGCCGGCATGCAACACCGCCTCGTTGTCTTCCTTGTCTAGTTTCACTGACTCATGACTGCTGTCATCGGATTTTTTACTTTTCCTAGTCCCAGCTCCTGCGGCCGAAACATGGTCATTACTATGATTACTATTATCATTATTAGCTGTTGGTGATGGTTGCTTGTTTGAAGTTGCTGCTACAGGATCTCGATCTGTCCTGTTTTTGGTCTGTGGGTAGTTAGGCCTTGCCAAGGACTGTAGCGTTGATTTTGGCTGTGATTGTGGCTGTGATTTTGACTCTGGCCCTGGCTGTCGCTGTCGCTGGCGCTGATGCTGCTGTGGTGATAGTGATGGTGACGATGGTGCGATGACCGTATGCGCATGTTCGTCGGTGGCTGCAGGTTCACCACTTAGTGACAATTTCTCAAACGACGGTTGGATATCCGAGGCAGACGGTGCAATATCATCGTTTTTGCCTCTTCGATGACGTACGCTTGGAGATCTACCACTTGTAGCGCCGCGGGAATGATGATGCCGCTGCTTGTTCGTCCGCTCAGAAGAAGTCGGCTTCGGGCGCATCATGGTTAAAACCTGGGCGGCTGGGAGCGTGTCGCAGCCCGTGGTGGTTGTGATATTTCCAAGGGCTGCACGATACCGAGAGAAGCTTTGCGCGCCACAACAATCATCGACAATGGTAATGTTGTATCCATAACTGGCGGCATCGACTGCCGTCGCCATCACACCAATGTTTGTCAGTGAACCACAGATAAACAGCTCCGTGACCAACTTGACTCGAAGTATTCTCAACAGCTCCTCTGCCCTGAAGGCCGAGTAAAACGTCTTAGTGAGTACATAATCCTTAGGCCCGACCGCCTGCTTGACAATGGGATGCATCTCCGTCCCTGGCATGCCAGCCCTGACGCAGGTCGGCCCCTTTTTGGCATCTGGTGTAAGGAACGCCTCGGGAGAGAAAACTGGCTCTGCTGCCGGGGGAGTAGTACGCGAGCGACGGCCTCGAGGTTGTGCTGCGCCTGCAGAAGGACTCGATACGTTTGATAGCATGATCTGCTCCTCCTCTACGGGCCGGGAACGCTCAAATTGGCTCTGCACCCATATGGTTTCGCCACCGTTCTTCCGAAACTCGGTGGCGAGATCACTAATTTTCTGAGGTAGGTCCATGGGTATTGTGATGGGCAAGGCTCCATCTTCGGCGAGGAAATCATTCTGAGCGTCCACGATGAGCAAAGCCTTCCGTGTAGCTAGTGATGGCAGCAGTGCGGCATCTATAGGAAACATGATGATTGTGTCGTCTATTTGCAACAAGAGTAACTGAAACTGAAATTGACTTTAGTTTCTTCGTCCTTGTTTGTTGAAGCTGGCCTGAGTGTGATCTAGTTTAAGCTAGAGAGAGACTATCCAAAATCCAATAGGGAGAAAAGGTAGATATGAAAAGCAAACACGAGATGTGATGAAAGATGCGTCACATTAAGAAGACACATTAGCCCTGACAAGCGGTGTGTGCTAATGCTAATGTGTTATTCTGCCACGGCTTGTCTGACTGACCAAGACGGTGAATGAATGAATGTCGTCTGTTATAAATTCGATAGGTCGGGATTAACATGGGAAGACCAACAATTCACGCATCGGTAGCATCGGTAGAGGAAGCGATAGGGAGAGCTAGATTGAACGGGTTGAGTGACAGGCCAAGAATAGATACCACTAGGCTAGGTAGTGGTAGTATGGTAGATGATTGGGTTGTTCCAATCCAGTCTAATAACTGCATTAAACTCAACCAACATAAGAATGTATGAGATGGAGAGTCAACTAGGCAGGGCCACGATCATGATGATGGTTACTTATATAACCAGAACCCAAAAAAAAAAAGTCGCGAACCGGTTCTCGGCCGAATCAAGTGGGTAGGTGGATCGGTGCTTGGCGAGACGACGCCGTGGTGTACAGACAGGAGGTTCAGGTTATACGACGGCCGTGGAATCGGGCTTTGACCTTTTGGCCTGCCAGCCAGCCAGCGAGCCTGTGTTAGAGAGAAGAAGTAGGTATGTAATCACGAGCGGTTGTGGATTGCGGGTATGGATTACGCGGGATGCGGTAGTAGATAGTAGGTAGTAGAGAGACAGGGCGAGGATAGATTGGTGGTGACCAGGATCATTTCATGAGTGTGTGAGTGAGTGTGTGTGTGTGTGTATATATGTGTGTATAGGTATATGTGTTGGTGAGCCGGCGGAAGGCGGAGGAGGAGGAGCAGCAGCAACAGGTAGGTACTTACAGTAGGTACCTAGGTAGCGTGTAGGTGGTGGTGGGAGTGGGGTGGAGTGGAGGGGTGAGGGGCGCTGAATTGACGTGCGTTGTGCTATAAATATAGTTACTTTATCTGCCTAGAAGGGTAAGCCATAGGTACTTGGTAGATCTAGGGCGGCCTATCAACACCTACCGTACCTATCAATACTACCGTACCTCCAGTACTCCGTACTTACACTAACTAACTGTCAGTCCTGCACTTCGCATGTCGAAAGATGAAGTGGCATGCTAAGACTTCTTTGATGCAGTCAATATCCCACCTTACACAGGTGTAAATGAAGTACACGGGCATGTATACCCTATGCAGTAATCAGTGCGAGGAGGTAGTATCGATGCATGTTATTTCGAGTGTTCATGTGTGCGTACAATGTATGTACAGACACATACACACGCACATCTGTATGTACGCACGGCATCGGCATCGGCATACCACCGTGAACCTCATACAACCAACCCATTGTAGCGTAGATCAATGTAGGTAGATTCTACCGATATCCCGTGCGTAGTTTTGCGATCTGTACTACTACTACTACTGCTGCTGCTGCTGCTATTCCTAAGGCAGTGAGCGCATCTGTAGGAAACCGATAAGCTGCCGGTACCTCAACCTGGTACGTAGGAAGCGAAAGGATCTTTATGCCCGTCTGGTGTCCCGGTGGAAAAGAGATCACGCGAGGATAGAGATGACGAACGGGACCAGGTTTTTGATGCCGTGTCTCCTCGGAGCAAGTCTCTTTATGGTTCTCTCGGTAGGTCAAATCAACATACTAGGTAGGTATGTAAGGTAGAGTGTATGTTACTAAGTAGATATCGCTACCTACCGCCTACTATTATATATAAGTACCTACATACCAAGATCTACATATCTAGGTAGTAACACATGAACAGAGCAGGCATTGTATTCTTGCGTTGTATATTTAGCTACTATCCTGAGTGAGAATACTGCCAAACACCTACACAAGTTATATACATACTCGCACAGGCAGTGGCATGCTACACCATGAAGCTGCTTCATCAAGTATACGACATCAGTATACTACCGCTACACCACTAGCAAAACGTGGGAATTGGAGTCGTTGTGATACCCGAAAGATCCCCTGTCAGCCCACTACTACTGCACGTCTCTTACATAGTACTTCGTACATATTGAAAGGGACCGGGTAGTCTACTTAAGTAAGTACCTAGTGAACTACTATATACACGGGACCGATCCTTCTTGGCTCGTCATGCCTAGATGATATGTCCAGGTAGGTACCTACTATATCATGTCTTTCAAGGTTTTGTAAACAGAGGAAGAATCGGTACGACAAGGTGTTCGCATCTACACTACCTACCTACCTCCCTTGTCAAAGGCAGGACCTGAAATGCAGGGTTCCAACGTGCCAAGGCCTCCTTCATGTGTGAAGGTCAGGTCAGACTTGGCAGCGCACACCTCGCATCTTGATTACCATACCGTAATACGGTACGTTATAGAGAATCCCTTGTCGTTGAGTATCTGTTATATGTCTACGATAGTAATTAATATCGGAGAGTGGAGGAGAATCTGGACAGAGAATGGGAATAAATATGCGTACGTCGGCATACACGTAAGTCAGTAGATACAAGTAGATATCTCAGCTCGGCTGATACGGCCATATGTGGAAAGGAACGCGGCGGCCAATTTGACGACGTCTAATCAAACAATCAAGTCCGAGCCAAGCAGTGTATACAGATCATCATCCCCTGTCACCGCAATACACAGGCCATCAGCGTATAGAGTACACTATATCGTCATCATGGCCTTTTAACCGAGAACGTGTTACCCATGTAGGTCTGATGTACAGAGTTTGTCGACATGTACCTACACTACACCTTCTCTGTCACCGCTTCTTCCTATCGAACTCGACATTCGCTCTCCAGGTAGGCTTGTCAAACATGGCAAGACACGCAAATGCACAGAGAAATGCGAGGATAGAGATGTGAAGACGTGGCACTCGATGAGCCGACAAGTCCTAAAACATCTCCTCTATATACAGTCTGTGTTCTGTCACATACAAGGTTGGCCTTGACATGCGGTGCATACCCTGTATACATGTGTCAAGGTAAGCAAATAATTATTTCGTTATTGATTCGGCCAGCTTGACCGTTAACTGTCAATCAGCTGAAATCTCGGCATCACAAATCCGCGGAGACCACTCCCCTTTACAGCGTAGTTTTTCGTTCGCCGTTTACTTTACAATGTACTTTATGCGTAGGTAACGGGACAGACGACGCTGACACAGGTTGAAAGATTCATGGCCAATGACTTCGCTAGGATGGTACAGTACAAACGAGATTACAATGCACGTAGGTAGCGTAACTCGGTGAATCGTGACCGAAAGCTCCAATATGCTTCGGCGAGTCCACTTACGTGCCGGTATTTTCCAAGGCATGCCATGTAATGTAAGGTGTGCAGGGCAGTTTGAAGGTGAGCCCACCCTACCGCCATTGTAAGTATGTATGTCTGTAAATGCCGGCGGCAGATCACCTATAATCAATCACCTATTACGAAGTATGTAGTACCGTAGGTAAGTATGCACATAGTCATACCTAGCGATTATATTCTTGACACTGATACTGACACTGATTCGATAATGACTCTGCTGTGTACTGTAGGTCTCTCTGAACATCGCAGGCTCAAAGAAGTAGAAGTACAAGCGTTGATACAGATCCCATGTTCAGCTGTCTCTGATCCAGATTCAGCGAATTACGCACCTTCTCGTCTAAACGAAGACTTACGGTACGCGCAGCGATAAAATCCGCGCTTCCGAACTGTACTGTAAGTAGCGAGTGAAACACGGCGATCGGGTCCGAATGGCTAAATTTGCGTCCCCCGTTGATACGTGTAGAAAAACTCGCTGTTGTATTACTCTCCATGGCTATCCCTCTAGCTCGACTCGGCTGTCTACGAATGTAATAAAGTTGACATGACCCAATCCGTTGACATAATGCCTCAACGTTTCAGATTTCGAAGATCTACCAGCTCAATACCACCCACCAAATGTTTTGACGGCATATGGTGGTCAGCAAATGAGTGGATATGTAGGTAGGTAGAGAGTGGGCGAGCTGTATCCCATCATCCCGCGATTGAAACCAGGTATATCCATGTTCACACGAAATTTCGAAAGCGGTTGTTCCCGTTCCCTCTTTCTTTCCAACGCGATATGATGGCCTCGTTCCTTTATGCTCGCCCGCAGAAGCCAAGGAGCCTATAGGCTATCAGAAGTCACGATGCATTCATCACGCTCATACGGAGGGTTACAGCAAGATCCTGAAAATAGACCGCCTGCATTGTTTTCTTCCGTTTAAACGTACGATTTTGTGATGCGCGAAATGTGAGACTGAGCTGATATCACTAACAGTGACCAGTCTCTTGCCTACTCCAATTTCTTCCTGTGTTATCTAGAAGAAAGGTGACAGCTGTAATTATAATTGTTGGCAGTGAACTCAAGTCTGTCGTCCCAGCCTCATCCCTGCTGGACCCTGTCACTACTGCCATCCCTACAGCCGACTGTATTGATATCTAGGCTGAATACTCCATATAATACACTCCTAATAATTCTTGTGATCCCTGTAACATAACGTCTAACCTCTATAGCACAACGCATAACTTAGTCGTGTCGCGAGAACGGGAGCCGATGAACAAGTATACCTAGCCACCATATGTTGTGTCCTACCATGACGTCGCGGCCACCACCTTCACCTCACCACTACCCCTAAGACCCCCATGAGACATGAGGGTATCTGGGGGTATTGTCGGGGAAAGTGACCAACAGCCTCGGCAAACATGAGTCTTTCACACTTCTGGACATGAAGGCTTGCGTGGTGATTCAGTGTATGGCATATTCATCGGGTATAGTAAACCTCAAGACCTTTTCACATGCCGACGTACACCACTTACACTCCCCTCCTTCAAATACCCACTGATGGAAGAGGGCTTGAGTATAACCCCCAATCTCTTAGGA